AAGAACTTCATAAAATAGATATATTCATGATCAGCATCGCTAGCCGAGCCAATATAGCCATATCCACCAGTATCTCTGTCCTCCCTTTATTATACATATTTTCTGAACACCCTCAGCCTTAAAGCTATCTTTTTGAATTTTGGCATATAGACAAACATGCCACTCTTTCAGATATATTATAGACATGAACAGAAGCATATTAATAAAGTTTGGCGCTTTACGAAACATAATAATAATTCTAGCTACGAACCAAAATTTTGATGTCAGCAGTTGGTTTGGCGTTCCAGATATGATATATATTTCCTACTTGAAAGTTCTCATTTTAAATAATGTATACCTTAAAGTTTATAAGACAGACTTGGAGCTGCGTAGCAGGTTATTGCTTTCAAAATAGTTACTTGCATCTCATTGGTAAAATATTTGCGATTAATGAAATTACATATATGTGATAAAAACTTTAATGTGTTCTTCAACATAAAATACGAATGCCCCCAGCAAGTGTATAAAAATGACGTTGCTTTTGCTGCCAGCTGCCTCTGCCTCTGCCTCTGCCTCTATCTCTGCTCTTGCCCCTGCCCCTGCCTCCACCAGCGCCTCCGCCAGCGCCTTCATCTTTGCTTTTGCGAACGCATTTTGTTTTGTTTAGAGCGCAAGTTCTCTCCGGGTAAGAGTGTGTGTGTGGGCGTCGAAGAAGAGGGATCCAGGACAGGCAGCATGCCTCATGCGGCATGTTTCTTGGTACCTGTCGGCTTCAACGTCGTCGTCATCGTCGTCGTCGTCGTCGTCGTCGTCGTCGGCATGTGTGCCTTCAGCTTGGCAATTTTTGAATGCAGCTCTTTAAAGTTGGCAGCTTTGCAGCTTGCTTTAAGGTTCTGACATTAGCTGACGCCTGGACTGGGAGAAGGACAGCACGCCGGAAGCCCGCATCGCAACCCCTGAGAAGCACACACAGACACACACACACAACACACAAACACTGACGGTGTGGCGCACGCACCTTAACACATTTTTCCACTTCTTTTTCATTTTTCAGGCCAAATGAAAAATTGCACACGCGGGAATTTGATTTTAACATGAGAAATAAATACAATGACGTTGACTGCGACTGCGATGCCAGCAGCAAACATGAGCTGAAGATGTGTGGGGGGAGTGGCGGGGTGGCGTTAGGTGTATGTGTGTGTGTATGAGTTGGGTAGAAGGCGACATTGCTTTACTTGGCCGAGAGTCTGTCGCTTGCAACACTGATGCAGACAGCACGCTTATAGTTCGATTGCTCGGTCGATGATGATGATAGCGCTTTCAGTCAGCACGGTGCGATGCTTTCAGACCCCTCTGGATAATGATTTATGGGCCGTGAGTTGCGTTCAATGATTGCAATTGTTGGCCATTTGTTGCAGCTACGCGCAACGCGTCATCACGATAAACGTAGACCATCTCAAATTCTCAACCCTTTTACTTTTTGTTGCAGAGGCGCCAACCCCTGCCGGCTGTCAAGACAACAACGGGTGTAGCAGCAGCAGCAGCGGCAGCCAAAGTCGCATTCCTTGCCTAATGCCGGAATTTCAATTTAAAGCCTTAAACACTAAACTTGATTACACGCGACTCACTGAGCAGCAACTGCCAAGAGATAGAGACAATGTTTAGAGGCGGCATACACTCGGTGAGGGTAGCTTTGTGTCCTGTGTCTCTTTCCATTGTTTTTTTAAGGGGTCGGAGAAAGGGGGAGGGGTTGGGGCTGGGCTGCCTTTCTCGCATGAACAGCAAAAGTTACTTTTAGTCTGTAACTGGGATCAAAGTGGCATAAGTTCAGCAGCGCTCATCTTCAATTTATTTAATGCCAAAAACTTTTAATGTAATTAAAACGGATAATGCCTAAAACGCGCTAAACTTTAAAACACGGATGCGAGCGCGAGCTTAAAGTGCGAGAGAGCTTTAAGATGTGGGGCGTGAACACTAGCAGCAGCAGCACCAGCAGCAGCAGCAGCAGCAGCAGCTCCAAGTGCGCTCAACTCACACTTCTATCTCACTATCGCACACACACACCCACACATATACACCCACACACCCACACACACACGCACCAAAGAGAGTTGGATACAGTTACATACATACACGTGCCATAAAGCGCTCAAGTTACTTGCTGGGATTACATATGCCCCCCTCCCAAAGTTATAGCCCCTCCCCCAGGACTTTCGCTAAAAACTTTTGGTTCGCACAAAAAAGAGAAATATAATAGAAATATACAGTGGATACTCTGAGTTTAGCATACAATTCTGTGACCTTTAATATCCATCAGCGTAAAATTAAGTAGCCTCTGGCAAACTGATACATAAGGGTTATAGAGCTCTACTGAAATCCACTTGAGTCTTCTCATTTATTTCAATATTCATTTTAGTTTTCTTAGCTTTTTTATTAGATTATAATAAGTTATCATTTTTCTAAATGGCTATATAATTTTAATGAAACACATTATTGATTTTATTTAAATTTATTGAGAGTATTTGGGAATAATAAATTGAATTAGTTTTTTAATTGAAAAATTATAAATAAGAACTTTGAGGTATCTAGATACAGAAAATTATAAGACCCGAAACTATAATAAAAATATTTTTGCAAACATCTTCGATATTCTTTATTTCAAAGCAGTCAAGAAAAACATATTTTGAAAAACTCCAAAATTTAATATGTAAACTGAAAAAAATTAGAATGAATTCAAAGAGTTCCACTGTATATAAAACAGTAGTCCGCCATTTGGGCATGTTGTCCAGTTTGACGATCGCGCTGGGCTTTGTAGCTGTCTTCCACCCGCTCTCCGTCCTCCCGATGGCCATTGTGGACGAGGAAGCCAATGCGGCGTATGCGTCATGTAAAACTTTACATCAAGCAGCAGGCAGCCAAAGGAGTCTCTAACATTTTCCAAATGCTGCACATTTTTGTTGCTGACTACGACACAAATATTGAACGGGGAGAGAGAAAGAGAGAGAGAGAGAGAGGGCAAGTGTAACAAAAGGCAGCGACAAGGGTAGAAGGGGAGGCGGTGGGGGTGCTGGCAGTCAGTTAGGGTGGAGCAGGATGTGCGAACGGTCGAACAGACGAGGCGGAAGCACGGACAAACAAACGGATAAGAAAGCAAAGGAGCACGCAAGCTGGGCAGGCAGTCGGGCAGCGAAGGACGCACAAATGAGCGAACGAAACGTAACGAAAGGAGCGAGGAACGAGGAAAGCAGCGAGAGTCAAACACAAAACGAATACGAAAACGAATACGAATACGAATACGAATGCGAATAGAACGTACAACGTACATGAAGAAGATAAGCGCACAGAGCGTCGCTGATAACGCAAGTTCTGCTAGCCGGCACCAGGACTTGCCGAAGCAGGCAATTTCCAACCGCCCCACCCCCCCACCATCTAACGACCCACCCTGCCACCGCCTGGAGGCAGTCAGGAATAGACAGACATACAGACAGACGAGCGGACAGACGGACAGAGAGACACAGGCGCGCCATGGAGGACTTGTGAATTTTAACATTTTAGAGAAAAGCGAACGAAATTTTCGAATGTCAGCTTCGAGTGAAACGAATTGTTGGGGCAGCAGCAGAAGCAGCAGCAGTTGGGTGTAGCAAGTGGGGTTAAGGGGTGCGGGGCGTGGCATTGTATAAGTAGTAGCATTGCAGGGCAAAAGGCAGGCAGGCAGAGGCAGAGACAGAGAGAGCAGCAGCAGCAGCAGCAGCAACAACGCTGGAACGAAACAATTTGTAATTTATTTGCGAAGCGTGCGAAAGTTGAGGCAGCTGCCAAAGGCGTAGCCAGAGATGGCGCTGGCGATGGCGCAACTGTAGAGCAGCAACAGCAGCTATGCCACACGCGTAAGCAGCAGCAGTAGCAGCAGATACAGATGATGCCAACGCACACACTCAAACACAAACACACACATACACACACACACATACACCCATACACACACAACGCGCACATAGGAAAGCACACATTTTGTTAGCGCCGTGTGGGGTTTAGGTGGGTGAGGGGGTGTTGGATATGGGGTTTGTACATTTTTTTTGTTTTGGGTGCAATTGGGGGTTGACTGTGAGTCGCTTTAAAGACGTACACATTTGTTAAGTGTAGTTTTTGAAATTTATTTAAAACTTTATGCTTAACACAATTTGAAATATTGAGTTGTGTTTTTGTTATTTTATTATTTTAATTGTTTTGTGCTTTTTAATTAGTTTGCTATCCTTGATTTAATTTATGTATATATTGTTTGCTAAGTATATAAACTATGAACTTTAAATACTTATTTCGAAAATTTGTAAGCTTTTGTTGTGGTTAGTTTTTATTTGTTTTTAATGGAAGTTTTTTTTATTATTTTATTATTGACTATGTTACTCAGTCCGGCAGTTTTGAATGAGCTTTAATTATTTTTGTGCAAAGCTCTTGTCAATTTACAGACTTGAACAACTGCTGCAGAGCTCGGTGTGCCTATGTGTGTGGGTGTGTATGTGTGTGTGAGAAGGAAGCCTTTAAAAAATGACGTATAACATGCATATCTAAGCCATTTATCCCGTACTAAAAAAGTATATCAAAATTCATTGATTCATCTATTTATGTTCTATATGTGATTTTTTTTATATGTATATGCAAAGCATAAAAGCCTTGCTAAGTACAAAATTGTTGTAATAATTGATATCTTTTATATTGTTTTTGGGCCTGTTAGTTTGTTGTTGTTTGTTGCTATTGCTTGGGTTAACACAAACGAACTGAATGTGTGGGCTATCGTTATAGTATGGTCTTTAGGTATTTGCTTAATCAGTCTTTGTATACAAAAATAATTAAATTAGCAAATTTACTATGTTACTATGTACTCAATCATTATTCACATGCTAATTACGGCTTTTTATTTCGTTGTTCATGCAGCATTTACTAGTCAAAAAAAAAAAATATAATAATCCAAAAGCCATTCTAAAAAAAAGGTTATGTTTACTAAATTAATAATACGTAACAAGTATAAGTGAAAGACAAACCATTTAATGGAGACGCTTGAACTTGGTTATTGGATCTGCTGCAACCTACATAGATCAACAGTGACGGTATACAGAGAAATTGAGAATCATATTTATCATACATATGGATGAATGTGTTTACAAATAGTGCCATCGCTTTGTTTGCCCATTTAATGGGCGTGATGTGAACATTGAACATTTCGCTTGCTTTGCTTAATTAAATTAAATTATATTTTCATTTGACACTTATAAACAATAGATTTGTAGAACAAAAATGTATATATATGTATAATATAAACAAATGTATATATATGTTTATATCAATAAATTAGGAATCAAATATTACAATACGAGACAGTTTTGTTTTTATATGTTTGTTTGTTTTTTGAAATTATATATATGTACAAGGTTCTCGAATTCACATTCAATTACAATGTTTCCCCCTTGTGAGATTGGAGCTAAGCCACAGCGTCTTTTAAATGCAGTCATCGGCCACTAAAAAGCCAGGTTACAAGTGGAAGTACTTATGCATGGGTAAATCATCAACATTAATCTGATGCTGCTGTGGCTGCTGACTACTTCCAGTTGATGGAACGTGAAACATCGCTTAATACTTGCTAACTTAAGAACAGGCTATAGATTTACAATTGTACTTAGGCCTAATATTAAAATTTACAATTTTTAGTTGTACACTTAGACGACATTGGATTTATGTTTGTGTGTGTGAGCGTGTGTGTGTAGGTAGACAAGGAATTTTGGCCCAGCAGCCGACAGAGAATATATATACATGTATATATGTATATAGATAAAAAAAAATATAATAATAAAATAATTTGGAACACAAATTTGCGCGCTTATAAATTAGACCTAACTCCGGCTATCGTTGCTCTCGCTGAAGCTCTGTTCACTCGACTCACGCCGGCTGCTCACCGGCTTGGCCTTGTATTCTGTGATGAAAACAGTGACGGAGTTCACGGTCACCTCGCGCGTCTGCGCCGTCGAGCGATCCACGTTCTTTAGACGTGCCGGATAACGTTTGTGCCGCTGCCGGTCGTGTCCGCCGCCGTGCCGTGAACTGGATGCTGGCTTTCCGTTGGGCATGTTGCCACCACTGGCACCGGGCAATGTGGCCGCCTGCTGAGCGACTAGCGCCGAGTTCAGGCGCGGTTTGCGCGTCGATGTGCCTAACATCCGCAGCAGCAGCAAAAAAAAAAAGAAAGAAACACCAATAATGAGTAAATGTGCAAAATGCCACAGCAAATAACGAGAGATGGCAACACTATGCCAACAACACACACACTCACATATATATATATATATGTATAACATGAGCAATTGAGTAATGAACAAATTACTCAGAGCGACCCATTTGTGGTCGTCCTTCAGCGCAATTCGAATGAGACGACGACGACGACCGCGTTAACGTTGACGGCGTTGACGCTGCGTCGCAGTCGGCGTCGCCGTCATCGAAATCGAGGTCACTCACCTTTTCTCACGTCACACATGCGACACTTAAACGCCTCCGCCGAGTTCCTGTACGTGCAGACGCTGCAGTCCCAGAAATTCTCCTCGATTACTTTCGCTTGGCGCTTTTGTCGTCGCACGGGCGATGATTTCTTGTCCATAATAATATCGCTGACCCAAGTGCGAGATGTCAAATGCAGCTGGCTTAATTTTTGCAATTGTTGTTGTTGGTGTCACTGCTGCTGCTGCTTCTGTTGCTACTGTTGTTGTGGCTAGTCGCAAACACTCACTGCAGCGTCCTGGCTAACAAAATGTGCACACTTTTACTTGTATCACTCCATTAATGTAGAATTGGCAATTGATAACTGCTTTTTCTTGTGAAAAACTCGTCTTCTGGCCAAATAGAAAATTGTTGCGGAGTTGCCGTATGTGATGCGAGAATAAACACAAAATGTTGCTGAACGACTGCACGCATATCGATGTATCGGCCCCGAACGCTCTCCAGATATATCGATAGCATAAGTATCGCCAAACCGTTTAGATATTTGGTTTATATATTTAAATGTGAAATTTGCACACATTATCAAGTAAAAATCGTGTAGTTAATTTACGAATAAATATCCAAGGTATAAAACATAATCACTTAAATTTATTTTATGTAACTTGCAGCTTATTGCTAAATTCAGCTTTACTATTCTAAAAAATTTTAATTTAGCTTTACTGCTCCATCATATTCTCAAAGTCTTTCAGCTCCAGCTCGCGTTCGATGACTTGTGTATAGAGATTATCTAGGGTCTCCTGCATGCGCTGCTTTAGCGTGGCATTCTGTATGGATGCGATTTCGGTGGACTTTTGCGATTGCTGCGCCTTGAGTTCGCTAATTTGGCGTGTTAGTTGATTGACCTTGTCGTGAATCTGCTGCTGTGTATATTGTGGCTGTGGCTCATCTATAAACTCCATATGATCGAAGTCCTCGCGTTTCGTCATCAACTGATTGTCATAGAAACCGCTGGGAGCCGCCAGATTGGAACTGGAGCCAGCTGCACTCAACTTGGGGCTGCTGTTTTCGCGTCCAAACATAGATTTGCTGAATTCGTTGGGCTCTGTTTTAATGTCCAAAGCATTGGCCGCGCTACTGGCGCCAAAGAAATCGGACATGCGAGAGTCGTCGGCGGAGAGCCGAGAAGATTCCTCCATTGCACGTGAATCATTGCCGGGCATTGTGGGCTCATCCTCGTCATCCGTGGTAGACACCCCCTCGCCGAAAATGTCATGGGCTGCCACGCCCATATTGGGTGCACGAAGTGTCTCGAAATTGCTGGTCTCATCATCATCCGACTCGACGTTAATGTCACGTTGCGAGGCGCTCTCATTGATGGTTTTATCACTGGCATGCATCGTGTCATCCTGCAAGTCCTCATCAGCCAAATTGTAGGGTTTAATATCGGACTGATCGAGTTCATCGCCGGGTTTGTCCTCCTCATTGATGATCTCGTAGTCGACGCGCACAGCCTCGTTGTCGCTCCGCAACAGATGCTTCACTTCCTTCTCAATTTCGGGAGTCTCCACGTTCTTTTTTTTCAGAGTCTTGCGAAAGCGTCGTTTGCGAACATTTTTACACGGCGGCGTTATGCCATGTGGAAACAGATACTTTTTGTCCACTTTGTTGGGATCCTTCTTCTTGTTCTTATTCGGCGATTCTTTCTCGGTGTCGTCCTCCGGCTCCTCCTTGCACACCATCAGCTGGCAAATGTCGGCCGATTTGTAGAAGCTTTTGTTGTCAATCGTTTTGTAGCTCTCCAAAACTGTGGGCAAATCAAAGATTTTCGTGTAGAGCAGTTGCTCATCGAAACGCACTTCACCATAACGCAAATCCTGATCCAATTGTATGGTCAACCGATCCTTTATGTTGCCTGCCTGTATTGCCTCGTGAACCGCTGTGGCAAGGTGCTAAAAAAAAAAGAAACAAAAACAATTGAGAAGCTGGTGCTCACCACGGGAGGTACCGTGCCTACCTTGGGGAAGCGCATTATGAACTGGTTCTCCAGCTCAACGCCATCATCCCTGGGCTTATGCTCGGCCTGTTTTTTTTTCTCAAACATTTTATTACTTGCTACAAAAATATTTCAACATATTATAAGCACTAGCTGTGAAAAATCTGGTTATCTATTACAACACTGTTGCATTTTCGATAAGCAACACAGAACATTTGATAGGCAAAATAGTGCTGCAAAATGACAATATATGCAAGACATCTGGCAACCTTCAATGTTCAATCGCAAAAAGCGCGCACAGACAATTAAACATAGTAGAGAAAAAGCTATACTTTGATTATAAGTGCGGATCATCACACTTGAGTTGAGTTGGAGTTTTGGCAAAAAGCAAACAATCAAAGATGACCCGCAGCGCCCACACAGTATGACAAAACTGGACGCAAAGGCCGCAAAAATGAAAATATAAAAAAAAGAAACAACCAAACGCAACTTGTTTTTTTGTACACACACACACATTTATATATCTGCAGATCTTATAAAATATATCTAAAAGGAAAAATTAAACAAACAGCTGATGCTACAGTAACAATTAAACTGAGATAGCCGTTGCTTAAGCAAATACGTACATATATCCACGTGAGCTTATCATATCTTAGTTTATCGCGTTCTCGAGTACAATCCGCGTCATTTAACACCCTGCGGATTGTAGACGCCCAGGAAGCTGTTGCACTTGCGGCAGTAGTGATTGCCCGTGCGGCAGCTACGCATGCAGTAAGGCACAAAACAAGCGCAGACACACCACCTATAAAAAAATTAGTGAAAAATATAAATAATATAACATATTTCATTTTCGCAATGAAATTTTAATGCATTTAAGGTTGACGCCCTAATATGACGCGCCCTAAATATATAAAAATATGTGTTTTTATATGGCGGACTAGCTCTAAAAATGGTTATGCTAGTTTTAAAAAAGTATTAAGTTAATGACCTTTTGCCTAAGAGAATATCATCAGTTCCTTAACAATAATTATATGTTCAAAGATAAAGGACTTGATTTAGGAAAGTTTAGAAGCTAACTCAACAATTATGATCCTAATCTACATTGGTCTACTGAATTAAATAGCTCAAATGGTTATGGATGCTCGGAAGTGAAGTTCTCGAAATTACATGTGCTACATGTGATCTGTCTGCAAGGCATTTGAACCAAAGGAAAGACTTCTCCACCATCCTGCAACACTCACCCCACCAGGCAGATGAGTGCAGCAGCCATATGAGTACGTGCATTTGGTGTGTACGTCATGCGTGTCGTCTTCTGGGCACCGCAGACTGGGCACAGCACACGGCAGGGATTCGGGCCCAGATTTGTGGGAGCTAAAGTTTAAAAATATTAAACAATTTTAACGAATCTCTTGTGTAAGTGTTGTGTACAAATCCGCATTTACCGGTTTGCACAAATGTGGGCTCTAAAGGTTGTTGCTGCTGCTGCTGTTGCTGTTGTTGAGGTTGTTGTGCTGATTGTGGCTGCGGCTGTGGCTGTGCAATAACAATCGTCGCTGGAGCGGCGGGAGTGTTTACTGCAATTGCCACATCGTACGATGGCGGCGCCTCAATGGTCGCCGTCTGTTCGCTGCTTGGCGTTGGCGTCGGCGTCGCCAGCGGTGCGCTGGGCATGTTGAAATCCACTTGTGGATAGAGCATGGCTCGCTTTTGATCCATGTCTAAGTACGAAGTTCAGCTTCAGCTTTGGCTAACTACCAAAATGAATCAGTACAAAATCACAGCCCGTAAAGCTTTCCGTTTGCTTGTTTGCTAATTGACAAGCTACGTCAGCGACGTCGTCGTTTTCAGTCACCACTCGCTTGAAGCTCTCGTCCCGTTGACTTTGCCGTTTCACTTTCAAGACGCGACTGAAATCGCGTTGAGCGCTAAGCTAATGAGCCGCCAGAGATCGGTTGAGAGCGAGCTTAAAAGCTAAAATGAGAAAAAACAAAACCACACAAAAACGAAAACAAAACTTTTGCCATTCGTTCGCAGCAATTGCAAAAGTGGAAAAGACGAAAATTTCAGATATTAACTAACAATGTATTTGAGCAATTTATCTAAGGTACACAAACGTCTGTTCTTCATGTATTTAACATATATATATGTGTATTTTCATCTGTATTTATCTCACGTAAGACTGTGTATTTGTGACTCGTATTTTCAGCCAAAACCTGCTGCAGATAAACATTATTTTTTTTTTTGGAGTTCCACATCCGGCAGAGTGACTTTATTTGCGCAAATAGGTGCCCAGGTACCTATCACACATGCCACAATAGTGATTCGTGTTCATGCAGCTGGAAATGCAGTAGGGCAGGCACACACAGCAGTAAAGTCTGTAAAATAGAAAGCGTTAAATCAGTCATGAGTTTGATTAAGCCGTTTCCTCTTGAAAATTAGTACGTTTTGCTTTCTAGAGTTTATTCAAGCTCGAGTAATGTGCTAAATTTATATATTTTTTTGATTCTATCAATATAAAATAATTGCTCTAAATTTAGTAAATAAAAAGAATTAAAATATATAAAATCGTTAAAATCTCGATTGTAAATATTACCTAATTTTTATTTTTAGATAATTCAATTTATTTCAAGTAATAAAAACTCAAAAATATTATGCTTAACAAGCAAAAGATTTTTATAAATTCAGTTAAAATGAATGCATTTTTTATGGCATAAACAAATTGAATAGCTTTGGCTTCCCTTGCCTATGATTAAGAAATATACAATATTCATACACTCAAAAATCGACATTTCGAATCGAATAAGCGCAGCAAAAACAAAGCAATTTGTGTATTTGTGCAATCAAAATGTAATGAATTCATGAATTGGTAAGGTTTAGAATACACATGGCTATTTGTTAGAATTTGTAAACTGGAGATATCATGAATTATATGGCATAAACAAAAGTGTTAGATAATAACATTATCTGTGTCGATTACTCACTGAAACAGGCACAGCAGCAGCGCAATGAGGTGCGTTCGGGAATTTGGTCTGTAGGAGACTCGAGTGCGCGTAAAGTTGTGGCAGTATGGACACTGGACGTCCTGGGGTTCAGGTCCGTAGGGCGAGGACGGGACAACGATCACCGTGTGCTGTGTTGCTGTGGTTGCTCCAGGTCCCGTTGTCTGTGCGGGCGTGGTCGTTGCCTGATCGTAGCTGGGTGGTGCTGGTGGCATCAGCAAGTGCTGTTGCTCCGTCTCATGCACTTCCTCACTCACATCGTCCTTGGGCAACACTGTCATCGTTTTGGGTTGAGCACTATCCATATTTCTCACTGGTGACGAATTTTCTGTTGGCTGTCAATAAGTGTTAGCCACTAACAAAAAAAACTAGCGACGCACCCATTTGGCTCTTATCAATGAAAGCCATTCGCGCAGCTTTGTGGTAGGTTTCTGTTGCTTCTGCTGCTATTGCTGTTGCTGCTTCTTCTTCCGTCATTTATGTTGAAAGCTTCTCGACGATTGTGCGCTATATTTGTTTACCATATGCGTAATATAGCTACAGTGATCGCTCGATATTTAGAACGTACCAAAGCAACTTTAGCTACAGGGTTTATAAAAATTCTTTTGTTCTTTTCTCTAAAAAAATCAAGATTTTAATTTGCTATATTTATAGATATTTATTTATACATATTTATAGATATTTATAAAAGATCAATTCAACTTAAGAATTTAAATTCAAGTAAATGTTATTGCATTGCAGTAATCGCTGCAAATTTTATTCATGAATGTAGTTTGTGGTTCAATTTTAAATAAGTTTCTTAAATTCTAATGGATTCAAAATCATTATTACAGTTCTATCATATGGCCAATTTCGGGAAGTTCTGCTTTGTCGAGCAACCACTGTGTTTTTGTATACGTTTATGTGGTTATTTCTTTCAACACCAAAAAAAAATGATCGCATTCAGGGTGGAATATTGTTTACGTTTATTTTTTCGTACGAGCTTGAGGTCCATTGATTTTTGGAGCATTAATCGCTGCTATAAACGCCCACAAATTTGTTGCAGTTTCCGCAGAAATGATTCGCATTCATACAGCTGGTGGCACAGTAGGGCAAACAGGCGAAGCACCACAGTCTGTGCGACAATCACAATTCAGCATCCGCAGAAGTGAAGACAAAAGCACACACAATGCGATAAGATAACCAGAATTGATAAGCGAATCTTTCTTACCCCACTATGCAAAGGAGCGCTGCCATACAATGGGTCCGCACACTGGGCGCATACTCGACGCGGGTTAGTTTCTGAACATGGCAGTGGGGACAGCTAATGAAGGATGGATCTGGACCCACAGCAGGCGGCGGCTGCTCTGCAAAATGTCAAAAATAATGCCAGTAATCAACACTTTGTGACAGCTTCAGCACACACACACACACACACACACACACACACACACACACACACACATACTTACGTTGTATGATTACCACCTGAGCTGTTGCCGGCACGTCAAAATGTGTCGCCTGCTCGTAACTGGGCGGCTGTGGCATTGGCGGCTCCCGCGCTTGCGCCTGTGGTTCTGCTGCATACTGATAACTCCGCGCCGCACCCACCCCTCCCGCAGATTGCTGCCTATTCTTGTTCATGATCAGATTTGTGTGTTTTATCCGCGTGCAGGTCTTTTGATAAGCAGCTTTGATTTCATACTCGCCGCCGAATTGCGCACTGTGACTGGCAACAATGTTGCCAGCGCGCTTGTTGCAGCAACATAACGTAAAAGCTCCGAAAGCTTTCAATATACTTTCTGCCCACTCATTTACAATCTTTTCAGCTAAACGTTTTTGTTGCGACTTGTTCGCATTTCATAGTCGCCTTATCGGCATCTTTTTAATAAAAACAAACAAGCGCAGACACACCACCTATAAAAAACCAGAGACAACGTTGCAGTCGGGCCTCACTGACTGCGAAATACTGTGATACCATAAGTTATTCCAGCGGATAACAAGTAACAAAGAACAGGGTGGCTGTAGCCAGGAAGTACGGTCCAAGTTCTCCTTTCGAAGTTTGGTAGCTGTAGCTATTAAATTGTGGGAGATATAGGCTTCTGGGAATTTTTGAGGCGGGATTGAGCGTGGTCAAAAAAAATGTTGGAGTACGATCTTAGTAATCTACCTTTAAAGTTTGGTAACTGTAGTTCTTAAATTGCGGGAGATTTAGGCTTTTATCGTTTTTGGGGGTAAGGGTGGGCGTGGTCCAAAATTTGTTTTTCCGGATATTTCCTTTCAGATTTGGTGACTACCTTTCAGAGTGTGTGAGATATATGGTCTTAACAGCTGTATCGGCTTAGGGAGACGGATTGGGCGTGGCCATCCAATTTTTTATCGGTCCCTTAGTCGAGTTACCGGTTGGCAAAAATTCCTCAAGGCCCGGACAACTAAGCTCATCTCTGCAATCTACCAGAGACTTTCACCATAGCATGTAATAAGGCTTTTAAGGCAGCTTGCCCTATCAGTAAGCCAGTACACAAGAAAAAACCACCATGGTGGACACCTCAACTAAATGTCCTTAGACAAAGTTGCAGGTCTCTCTTCAATGCAGCGAAAGCGCAAAATAACGAGCTGCAGTGGTCTAAATACGAATCAAGTCTGGCTGAATACAAAAAAGCCACCAGACGGGAAAAAAGAAAGTCTTGGAGAGATTTCTGCACAGATATTGATTCAACTAATAAAGCTGCAAGACTTAGAAAAGTTTTATCAAAAACCACACCCACACTAGGTTATCTGAAAAAGGATGAAAACTCTTGGTCGGTCTCCTGTGAAGAGTCACTTACTTAAAACATACTTCCCTGGCTGCTCCGAGCAGACCCCGAGCTGCGCAGAAACCAACTGTATAGAGAATACATCTTTGAAGTCTCTTATACACAAAGGTAACATCAAGTGGGCAGTGACCAGCTTCAAGCTGTTCAAATCTCCAGGCCCAGATCAAATAAGCTCAGTCCAACTACAAAAGGCGGGAAATACAACCCTAAACTGGCTACATGAGATCTTCGGGAAGATTCTGAAGACTGGTCGCATCCCACCGACATGGTTCCAGTCAAAAATAACCTTCATACCCAAAGCTGGGAAGCCATCGCACACCAGCGCCAAAGATTTCAGACCCATCAGTGTGTCATCTTTCATGCTAAAGACCCTGGAACGACTTATAAGTCTCCATCTCAAAGCATCCATTGACCCCAGGCTTATGTCGGAGTCCCAACATGCTTACAGGAAGGGCAGATCCACAGATACTGCCCTTCACACTTTACTCCATAAGGAGTACACCCTAATAGCGTTCCTCGACATTGAGGGCGCCTTTAACAACGTCACTCCGGCAGCCATAACTGGAGCTCTGCTGAGACTGGGGATTGATACCGGTACGGTCGAATTGATCAGTCAATTGCTCACTTGCAGGACTGTGATATCCACACTAGGGTCGTTAACTCTCTTCAGGTTCGTAAGCAGAGGTACGCCACAAGGCGGCGTCCTGTCACCCCTACTATGGAACGTAGCAATTAACAAACTGCTGTGGGACATGGAGGGGGGCAGCTGCCAAATAGTTGCATACGCAGATGACGTTGCTGTAATTTTCAGAGGAAAATACCCACAAACTCTCTGTGACCTCATGACTAGTAAACTAAACATACTTTCATGCTTGGCAAAGGGGAGTGGATTAGGGGTAAACCCAAATAAAACCCTTCTCTTGTCCCACCCCGACTAAATGTGAATCTGATCTTCAACAACAGTGCCAATTTCCTAGGACTGACACTCGATAGGAAACTAGACTGGAACCTAAATATCCAATCACGGGTTAAGAAGGCAACAGTCGCCCTATACACGTGTAGGAAATCCATTGGTCTGAAATGGGGCATGTCCCCAAATATCGTTCAATGGTTATACACATCTATAGTCAGTCCTATACTTTTGTATGGCGTCGCAGTATGGTGGCCCTGTTTAAAAAAGAAAACCACCCTTTCTAAACTAAACAAGAACTATGCATATCAGGGGCGCTTCGTACCACACCTAGTGAGGCACTTAACGCTATCCTGGATATCCCTTGTCTGGAAAGACAAGGAATGGAAAATGCAACACTCATGGCCATAAGACTTTGAGAATCCCTCGCCTGGGCTACACAGAGCGCTGGCCATGCCTCAATCCTAGAAGGGAAGCCGATTATCCCTTCAAAATCAGATTACTGCATGCCACAACTGGAAACTCCCTTCAACATATACTTCCCTCAAAGGGAGGAATGGGTTCATGGCACCCCCCTCCTTCGGCGACCATAACCTTTTTTACAGACGGCTCCAAACTAGACAACCGCGTAGGCGGAGGGGTCTCCTCCTAGCAACTCAACATACAGTTATCCTTCAGCCTTCCAACACACTGCAGTGTTTTTCATGCTGAGGTACTGGCCATAAAGGAAGCTATAGACTGCCTAGAAAGGCTCAAAGTTAGCCCTAGCAATATAAACATATATATTGACAGTCAGGCAGCAATTAAATCCATCAGCTCGATATCTTCAAATTCGATATTAGTAACAAGCTGTCGCAAATCTCTACACGAGATGGCTAAACAGCATGTTATTAGCCTAATATGGGTCCCTGGCCACCAGGACATTGAAGGCAACTGGAAAGCCGATGAGCTAGCTAGGAAAGTTACTATACTACCACTCCTCGCGGACAAGGAAGGTATAAGTATGCCTCTAGCTACCTGTAAGCTTAACATCAAGGAAGAGTACAGGCGCAGGTCATGCAGAAAATGGCAAAGTGGCACCTGTGCCCGCATAGCATACAATACATGGCCAATTATCAACTCCAAGGGCAGCAAAGCGCTGTGCACTCTAAGTCGGACCAACTGTTCTGCAGTGACCCGGGCTCTAACTGGGCACTGGCTGGTCGGCATTCATGCAAACAGACTCCAGGTGCCATACAGTGACTTTTGCAGAAGCTGCAAAGACGAGGAGGAAGTGGAATCTCCGGAACATTTCTTCTGCCACTGCCCAGCACTTGCTAGGAAAAGGCTGGAAATCCTGGGAAACTACTCCCTAATTGATTTATCAGAGCTCCGACACATGAGACCGGCCAACATAGCAAAATTCATAAACGCATCTGGCTGGTCAAATGTTTGAATGTTAGAAATGCTTTGGAGGCACGACTGCAGAAGGAAACACCCCCTAGATCACATTCGGTATCACAACGGGCCAAATATGGCCTAAGTGTGTCAGCCCATCGGGCTGACAGCCGATATAACCTACCCTAACCTAGTCGAGTTACCAGAAACATAGTTTTCAATCTTAGGACGAAGTTACCAGCAAGTTATCTTCCAAGTTTGGTCACTCTATCTTTAAAATTGTGGAAGATCTGCAGGCTTATCGATTTACACTTGCCGAAATATCGGCATTGGCGACTATCGGCACAGGTGTGGGCGTAACATATATGTCTAATTTGAGGAGGTGAGAAGGGTGTGACACATGCCTTTATTTTAAGAACTTCGCCAACAACATAACAAGTAAATTTGGTGACTATAACCTTAAAACTGTGAGAGATATGTGGCTTTATCGATATGCGAAGTGGACTAGCACTCCAATTTTTAAACTTTGTCTGACGCGGGCACAGACCATTATGTGTTCCAAGTTTCAAGTCTCTATCTCTAAGTGTGTCGAAAAAAGTCGCGTTCGTTAAGGCAGACAGACAGACAGACAGCATGACGGACATTGCACAAAACCAATACTATTATACCTTATCTATACTATAGACTAATAGGGTTGTGGAATTAATATTGTGAATGAAGTTAACCCTATTGAGGGCTTAAGTATATGTGTAAATGACTCCATCTGGGTATCTCTGTCTGTCTGTTTGATCTCAGAGATTTGAAAGACTTAATTTTTTGTACAAATTTCCATAGCTAAATATATTACTGTCATTATGGTGCATCGCAGATATAAAAATTGATTTCAGAAAAAATTTAAGTAATTTCGCAACAGCAATTGTGATCAGGAAAGATTTCAATAAATTAAGATATAAATATTTTTATAGTCAAAAAAATATTACGAACTATTCCTAAATCTAGCAAATGAGTTATATAATTACAAAATGTTCACATAATTTTTGTTTCTCTCAGATTCATTATTCATAACACACAAAGTGGCAAATTACGATAACAGAAACTCTGGACGCATGAGCAAAGGAAAGAAGCTTCCAGGAAGTGGCCGCTTTCCGGCTCAAGCTCACATCAGCTCATCATTCTGCTAACTGCGTAGATCGGTTGGTGACTGATAAAAATAGTAATATAGTATATATGTTTATTTCGTGTTTTAAGATTTAAAATTCGTTTTGCAAAGAAATGAGCTTGATCAATTTTCGATTTAATTTGTAGAAAGTTAAAATGTGCACTTCATCAATATAAAAAAAACATTAAAAATATATTCCGCAAAAGGAAAAACACTTGAGTTTGTATAGCTTATCGAATTAAATTGAATATCTTTTAGACATCACTGCATTCTGAAAACATATCGCAGAGGCTTCAGTTCTGATGGGAGCCGATGTAGGCGCCGCAGCTGGAGCAGGTGTGCGTGGCGGTCTGGCATGATTTCACACAGTAGGGTATGCAACAGCAACAGATGCCGCTGCAAGTCAGATAAGAGGATTATTGATCCTTGAGTGATTTCCGCTACTTACCCCATTATACAGATGAGCAATGCGAGAAGATGTGTCTTAGTGTTGGGCTCATGGTTAACCGTTGTAAACTGTCGGGCCTGACACGAGGGGCAGGTGGCCATTGCCGACATTGGACCTAAATGAGTTTGTGTCCAACCTGTGGGATCAGTGGGTAATTTGGTGTTATATTAACTTGTCTGCGAATCTGGCTTGACAGCTCATTAACCTTGCATAAATACGTTGGGTTGCTGCACGGTAATTACTGCCGCTGGAGGCGATGAATACAACGTCTCCGTTGGTATCTTCGAAGGTCCACAAAACTCATCATATTGCGGCGGTGCATCTGCCACTTTCGATTCCATTTGGTCAACTGGTACTTATGCACTTATGCACTTGTCAAGTCTGCCGTTCGAGAGGTCTGCTCCGGTTGGGACCCTCCGCGTAACTGAGTAACAATAAATGACTGTCGGTCATTAGAACTGTGGCACGATAGATGTACACAACAAAAGCAGCAAGTGTGAGTGCATTTTGATTAGTCAGTATCCGGCTTAAAGGCAGTTTCCACTATATATCGTCAATTTCAGCAAAGGCCAGCAGAAGGGAGATCGCAGAATTAATATGATGAGCTCGATAAATCTATATTCTTATTCAATATAATTATCTTCATAGATCTTGTTGGAAATACATATTTTAAAATAAAAAGTAGCGCAGATGAAGTAGGAGAAGATGCAGCAATAAATAGTAAAAGCAGCTGTCTTTTTATACCCTTGTTTTATATCCAATTTCTCATCTTGATTATCATTTGAGATCAAAGACCATAAAATATTCATGAGTTATCTTGCAAACTGGTTTATTAGGGATGTACATAATACAAAAAGTGATTCCGAATTACAATAACAGAAACTCTGGACGCATTAGCAAAGGAAAGAAACTTCCAGGAAGTGGCCGCTTTCCGGCTCAAGCTCACATCAGCTCATAATTCTGCTAACTGCGTAGATCGGTTGGTGACTGATAAAAATAGTAATATAGTATATATGTTTATTTCGTGTTTTAAGATTTAAAATTCGTTTTGCAAAGAAATGATCAATTTTCGATTTAATTTGTAGAAAGTTAAAATGTGCACTTCATCAATATAAAAAAAACATTAAAAATATATTCCGCAAATAGAAAAACACTTGAGTTTGTATAGCTTATTGAATTAAATTGAATATCTTTTAGACATCACTGCATTCTGAAAACATATCGCAGAGGCTTCAGTTCTGATGGGAGCCGATGTAGGCGCCGCAGCTGGAGCAGGTGTGCGTGGCGGTCTGGCATGATTTCACACAGTAGGGTATGCAACAGCAACAGATGCCGCTGCAAGTCAGATAAGAGGATTATTGATCCTTGAGCGATTTCCGCTACTTACCCCACTAGACAGATGAGCAATGCGAGAAGATGTGTCTTAGTGCTGGGCTCATGGTTAACCGTTGTAAACTGTCGGGCCTGACACGAGGGGCAGGTAGCCATTGTCGACATTGGACCTAAATGAGTTTGTGTCCCACCTGTGTGATCAGTGGGTAATTTGGTGTTATATTAACTTGTGTGCGAATCTGGCTTGACAGCTCATTAACCTTGCATAAATACGTTGGGTTGCTGCACGGTAATTACTGCCGCTGGAGGCGATGAATACAACGTCTCCGTTGGTATCATCGAAGGTCCACCAAACTCACCATATTGCGGCGGTGCATCTGCCACTTTCGGATAAAGATTCGAACTCGATTCCATTTGTACTTATGTACTTATGCATTCGTCAGGTCTGCCGTTCGAGAGGTCTGCTCCGCTTGGGGGCCTTCGCGTAACTGAGTAACAATAAATGACTGTCGGTCATTAGAACTGTGGCACGATAGATGTACACAACAAAAGCAGCAAGTGTGAGTGCATTTTGATTAGTCAGTATGCGGCTTAAAGGGAGTTCCCACTATATATCTACAATTTCAGCAAAGGCCAGCAGAAGGGAGATCGCAGAATTAATATGATGAGCTCGATAAATCTATATTCTTATTCAATATAATTATCTTCATATATCTTGTTGGAAATACATATTTTAAAATAAAAAGTAGCGCAGATGAAGTAGGAGAAGATGCAGCAGTAAATAGTAAAAGCAGCTGTCTTTTTATACCCTTGTTTTATATCCAATTTCTCATCTTGATTATCATTTGAGATCAAAGACCATAAAATATTCATGAGTTATCTTGCAAACTGGTTTGTTCATTTTTTCAGCTTACTGCTCCGTTTTAAACAGCTCTCAAAATAATTTAATTCAATTTCTTGTTATTTCTATAAGTAAATATTTAAATCAAGCAGTGCAAGTTCTTGATCACTTATAGCTTTTTAGTTAACAAAGGGTATTCAAGCTTCTCCATGTAAATTCTACCATCCCTTAAAAAAAGCCCTCATATTTGGATTGTGTTTGCTCAAATGTTTTTTATTGCCAACTTAATGATTTGGTTTTAATTTAAGCACTTAGCAATGACATGACACAGTTGGAAAATTAGTTGACGGCTTTTCCCAGATACTGATTACAGCAGCTGCAATAATGATCCAAACTGCGGCAACTCTTTAGACAGTAGGGTAGTGGCATAAAGCACCATAGCCTAAACAAAAGAAATTCCGATTGTACAAATTCCGGATATACATAATACATAAAATGTATGCAACACCAGCGGCTCACCCAGTTAGACAGAGAAGGAGGGCTAGTATATGCGTGTTTTTGTTCGCTCGTCGCTCCAATCGCGTCTGCATCAAATTGTGGCAATTCGAGCATTTGATGAGCTGCGGCGTACGGCCCATCAGTGGCATAGCTGCAGCAATAGTTCATCTTCAGTTATAACCTTTATGTTCTATTACTACTTACCATTCGCGTTAAGCATCACCACTGGAGCTGCAGGAGCAGCCGTGATCATAGATAGGTGGTTTGTGTGCTTGAGGTCCATCTCCATTCTGATACAATAATATAAATGCAGCAGGTTTTATTGTCTGAACTGACGGGGGCATACAGTGCGTATGAATAATTATCGCATAATATCGAAAACATTTAGTTGCAGTTAGAAATTAATTTCAATATTCGATTTCTTTATTAAGGTCGAAATACACTCAATTATAATTTGTTTTGGTCTAGCATCAAAATAATGGCACACGAATAAAGATTAAATGCAGTGTGGGACAGTCGTAAATTGAATTTCATTATCGAATAAATGTTTGTATAAAAATGTTCAAAAGCAACTGTTTCTCATTAATTATGCATATAGTAGTTCTATCTATTGCAATTTTAAATGTTAACACATGTTTCTTGTAATATTTAGCAGTTTGCAAAAGGTTCAACAATTTTCCCCTTATATTTTGTTATTATTATTTTTTTTTTGTCAGTGATGTCTCATATGTATTTAGAGTTTCAATTATCTATATAGTATATATTTGTATATCAGTGAGTTTATAAATGTAGTAAGCAGTTATTATTATAAATAAATAGAATAACATTTGCTTAAGCGTAGTTTGACCGTGCGTAAGAACACATATATAAAAAATGTACGTGGCTATTGGAAACATCGACATGGCAATAACATGCTCATGAGGCAGGTGGCCTTAACGCTCATAGTGGCCGACAAAAGCCTTGCACGAGGGGCAATAATGATCCATGTTGCGCGCACAATCGGTGCAATACAAACAGCAGGCGCAGGGCCAGCAACTGGAAGTAAATACGAACAAATAAGTGAAGAACAATTATGGCTTTTGGCTTTTGGTGCTTACCACGTGAGGCACAAAATTAGAGCTATTATGTGCGTCTTTGTTGTGGCCTTGGCCTCGGTGCGCGTTACCACCTGCTGATGACAATTGGGGCATACCACATTGGAGGGCTTTGGACCGACAGGTGTGGACATTTTACTGTTGAATATACAAGATATATGCATATGTACTATGTCTTATCGATTGGAGTCCGTGGTTGACCTTGAGTTGAGCTGCACTTTGCGTGACAATTACCGTTGCAATCAGTGCAATGTCATCGGGAAACTACACTTTTTAAAACAAGCACAACATGATAACATGACTCTAGGGCTAATGGTATTTGAAGCTTTATAGTAATTGCTTGGCATGTGTCAGGCAAATTAATTTTAATAACTCTACCCCTCAAGCTGACACCTTTTGACATCATACAGCTATACAGCTACGGATCTATAAATAGTACAAAGCCGAAATACAGTTTTCGCATATAGATTTTAGAAAGCATGTGTTATTGCCGAAAACACTGCACGGTTGAAAAACCAAACCTAATTTATAAACTCAGTTAATTGGGAAAAAATGATGGGGCATAGAGCTGATCCACAAAAACAATGGCAACGTAGACCGATTTTAGCTTTTGGACGTATTGAAAAGCAAATTAGACCTATAGAAAGTTTTTCGAACGATGCCGATTTTGAAGTGAACTACAGATATCTTTAAAATGTATTTGATTTGTGCGCAGGAATCGAAAAGGATTGCAGTTCACTAGAGAAAATGTAAAGCAGCTTTTTAAAATGTATCAACAGTTATTGAATATACCTAAAACTAATCAAAAATTGAGCTTGCTTTTGGCATTAGTTAAATAATCAAAAAGACTATGTCTATTATTATTCTCTTCTCATAGACTATTATCATTATTGCCATTAATGTATATATTATATATGTGCATTTGATTTATGCCAATCATATGTCCTTAGCGGTATAATTATCAGTTTTGAGGGACGTCAGTTGTGGCGCCACCAGAAAGACGATTACGTCATTCAATGGAACTGGCCCCTTCCCCAATTCGAAAACAAGCAAAAAAAGCACGGGTTCCATTCATTACAACAACTACTTATAATTTCCCACACTATCGAACATGTGTCTATGTGTTAATCGGGGAGTGCCCTTAATATTTTTGGGTGTATCGCCATTTTCATTAACTCTCACTACTCACGTAGACAATGCGTAAGCCTTGCCTGCGCACACATTTAACTAATAAACATTAACAGAGTAATTTAACAACGCAATTGCACTTTTCACACTTTTCATATTGTTTACTTTTATCTAAGTTACGTCTAATGCTTATCATTTAAATATTAGGTAACCTTTCCAGTTCAAATAGGTAAATAAAAATGATGATCCATCGTTAAAGATAATGAGATTATTTGCTCACAGGAAGATTTCAATTTACACACTTACAGTGATAAGTACGCCTATACAAAATATTTGTAGTTCGAAGAGAGACACCTCAGATACAATTTCTTTTAAAAAGCGCTCCTGTCGCGAACTTGTTGCACGGTGTGGCAACGAAAACGTTCTGAAGTTCACACCGCAGATGAGCCGCAAAGGCAACTGATTAACCTCAGGCGATGCACAGTGGTTATCTGCTCTCTTTTTACTTCGGTTAGAATACATTTCTTCTGTGTATGGTTAAATGGTAAATGGTTAACATTCACAACATATCATTAGAAACAGTTTAAGTATGTATTTTTCATAGAAATATGTAGTAATAACTCGTTAAACTTCTTCTTCTGTTAATTACATTAATAATGTCTAAATGTAATGATTTTCAAACAACTTCAATTAAAGTTTAAACAAATTGCCCATGAACCACAGTGCCATGACAATTGTATTCACAACATTTCTCAACTGTCTCAACACGTGATTTGCAGCAATATGTTGCTGAAACACAAGTTAGAAATTTCAATGCCTGCGGCAGCCAAGACTCATAAAAATAATATTTTTGTAAATTTGATATTTGACTTTTTGCTGATAACATAAAACGGAGATGCAGTTTCAAATCAAAGGAGTGTGTGCTCTGTTATATGTCGAAGATTTGTGAGTATAAGATATTCACACAAATCGCAGAATACAGAAGACAATTCAGCTGATTTCTAAGTAACTCAGAACATTACTGCTGATTCAGCAGTAATTTTACTGCAGAGTAGACAATTCAAGACTCCATACGAATATGGAGATCCTATTGTTTATATTAAATGTATAGGGTTATTGTCATGGTTTATTTTCTTAATGCTATTATGTCCCGTAGCCGTCGAGTCGCTCAGAATTCGCCCAGGCAGGCAAACAGACGTATGGCCAGCAGCTGTGTGTAAGGGAGGCAATTGAATGCAATTAGATACACCGAACAAATACACAATCAGAATTCGAAAATAGTGCACCACATTAATCACTTCGGTCGGTGGACGTGGCATAACATACGGGGGTGGCGCACTTGGTGGCACTTTCTAGTCGGACAGGTCAGCGTCGTTTGCCTGAGGCTCTGGATACAATTTGTTGTATGGCATGTTTAGCAGCCACTCGTTTCTATAAAATGCAATTATTAGCAGAATTAATTTCACGATAAGGAATGTATGCACATGCGTACAAATAATCAAATTTTATTATCTGAGTTCAAAATATTATTTCAATAATTGAAGCAACTAGCGTCGTCTACTGAGAATAAAAACCAACTGAACAAAGATTTTGAAAGAAAGCGACACAAAGAAGCTCGTATTTTCTATGGAGTGGGCAACCCTCTCCTTGTGGAGTATACTAACTTCGCTAGGTGGCGGAATGAGTATCTGGCGGACAGTTAAATTCGAAAAATACATTTTAAGGGAGCGAAAGTTTGCCAAAATTATAAATATAAAGAAAATTGTTTATCTAACACCACAGTTGTTCTTGAAATTAAATTATAGGTTCAACCCTATTGGAGCTCTAATAAAACTATTGTTCACTCGGTTGGTGAACTTTCACAGCGCCACCTTGTGTTAAATGTAGTCATGAATGCAAAAAACTGTAAAATAGATAAGACTGTAAGACATAAGTTGTTGTGGATAAAATATAAAATTATTATGTGCAGTTCTCCAAAGCTTTGAGTGAGTGTGGACACAAACCACATTTAATTGAAATGCACAAAAGTATGCAAATAAATTTATTATTTAAATTCAATTTCAAAACTACTTTTGCTAATGTTAAAATTTTTTGTTGTGCTTATGTCAATAGTAGCCATAAGCAAAGCTTTCACATTGTTATTGAACAAAAATGATCTTTGTCATGTGCTGTTGTTATCTGCTCGTTTCACACTGGTATCAGAGTATTCTGCAGTCGTTTATTTCCGACTGCAACGTTCTCACTTGATTTTATCATTGAAATTACTTTCTCGAAATTGAAAACTTGTGCGAGTCCACAGAATACAGAATAAAACCAATAAGCGTCATCAACGATAAAATAAAATGCTCGTATCTAAATTAGTTTCCGTTGCGTCGTTGTTTTATTATTATTAATCACTTGAACTAAGTTAACAAAGCTCTGTCACATTAGGTCAGTTCCTTTAATTAGCCACACTCGAGTAAGTAATTCACTACAAATTTAACACTCGTTGGCCCACAAGGGCTTTGCAGACGGGACAGTAATGATCGGTCGACTTGCAGGTATCCATGCAATACGGTATACAAACACAAGGCCAGCACCTATTAAAAGAGAGAGCGATAGAGAGAGAGAGAGAGAGAGAGAGAGAAAGAGCGATTAGATAAAATATTGTGTATTCGTGTCTTATTCGTCGTTTAGTCGTTTAGATTGTGAGCTTTTATACTGTTTTGTCAGCACAATTGTCAAACATTTTGTGGATTGTATCATATTCAACAAATGATTGAAGGTTTTCTAGATAACAATATAATTAATAGTGACTAAGAAGTGTTTTACTCATGAGGCCAGAGGGCTTACTTCGGTACTAATATCTTACCCAATTAGGCATAAGCCCATGGCCCACATGTGCGTTGTTAAGGTGGGCGCCTTGTGAATCGTGGTGACCACATCGTTTTGGCAGAATGGGCAACGTAAGAATTGCGGATCCGTGCCAACGGGCACTAAGGGTCTTGTGTGTGTTGTGTGTATGACAACCGTGGTTGGGCCCGACTGCTGTGCCATAGGCGGATAGAGCGGCGGCTGTGTTGGTCCACCAGGATACGGCTGATAGGTCTGCGCTGGCGTAACACTAATCGGCGGCTGAGTCGATGCAATCGGTGGCAGTGTCTGCTCCTGCGGCATTGGTTGCTGTGTGTATGGAGGTGGATCCGTTTTTTCCATGACTGTTCTGTGATATCTTCTGTCAGTGAATGTCTTTATTATTATCCCAGCGAAAACCAAACTATTCAGTTTGCACTTTATTGTTCTAATAAATTGGCTATGCAGAAACTGAACATTGTTAATAGTAATCAGTATGACCAATAAAAATTATCTATAAATATTTACTGATAACGAACGATAACATAAGTATTGAAGCGGTGTTGCTGATAGGGATTATCGGTAAATAGCTTCTGGTAAAAGAGGGATTTTTTGTTATCTTTTTACTATAATGATATATTTATGTAAGTGTTCGCGATTAAACTGAATTTATATTCTATTTGTACAAGCGTCAAAAGCTCCTTTCTGATGAATGCATAATAAAAAGAATTTATTATAATTTCGTGTTCAATTATTTTATTTACACCAATTAAGTGATTCGATAAAATATTTATATATTTTAATTTTCAGAAACATTTTTTTTGTAGTCTTTGGTTTTATACAGGTACCATATCACTTTACTATATATCTTATGACACATATTGTTTTATTTTTAGTCTAAGTTAGCTAATCGAAAATAAACAATTTCTAGTTATAGAGGGTTGTTGGGCTAGCTTTCGTATGTGCCAATGTAAGCTCCGCAATTGGGGCAGGAGTGTTCGGCATTCTGACACGAGTCAATGCAGTAGGGCACACAAACACAGGGCCAGCATCTGCAAAGCAATGAAAGTCCATTATAAAAAGACAGATAAGGAACGCCGCATGATTCATCGGCGAATGAACGAGCGCTGATTGCGCACTGATGATCATTTGTGATTTGTGAACTTACAGGAATAGGCACAAGATCAAGGCAAAGCAATGTGTACGTCCTGTGGGCTGACGCTTCACAGTGGTCAGGATATTGGCATGACAGGAGGGGCACTGAACCTGCGATGGATGACTCCCGATGGGCACCACATTCGATGTGGTTGTTGTCTGTATAATTACTGGTCCTCCGGGCTGGTAGGTCTGCGCTGGTGTATATCCCTGACTCATGTTGCCTAAGAATCGTTTGTTAAGTGTTTAACCGAACGGTTTGAACGTTTTCTTTCAACTGAAACCTACTTTGTGTGTTGGCCAATTGAGTTGTCTCATTAATATATAGAAATGCGTTATCTTGTAATGTGCGCCATAACTGATAAGCATAACAAAAAGAGACAAACAGACAGATAGAGAGAGAGAGAGAGAGAGGGAGGGAGAGAGAGGGAGGGAGAGAGAGAGAGAGTTAAAGTTATAGAGACGGGGATTTTGTACGATTAGTCTGTTATTATTACGTTCAATTTGAGAGTTGAGTCATCGCTATAGTAGCCATACGAACAATTGCGAATTATCCGTTAGTTAAGTATTTACAACTAGCATTGATATAAAGCTGACTAATTCTTAGTTAATATATTTCAAAAACTGCTGATAAGCATTGAAAATATGTTGGAATCCTCTAATCGACAGACAGCTGTCGATGATTAATATGGGATAGGGCAAGGTATATTTCCATCATATTGCAAGATTATATCTTAAGAAATTATAGCTATTATCGAAGGTGTGCCCTTTGATGCCCTTTTACAGATACTTATTGACCCAAAGTGAAAAGAAGTCAGCCAGGGAATTGACACTTTTTACAGGGCTCCAGATTTCTGGTAAATAAGTCTCAGAAAGTACAAATTACAAAGTTCATCTAGGTATTCAGCAACTTGCATATGCAACTTATTCACTAACTTTTCCCAACTTTTTAAGTCAAGTCTTCCTCTTCAGAGATCTCGTAATCTGAGATAGCTTTGTGGACTGTACTAATAAAAGATAATAAAAGTTGTGATCCACAAAACATTAAGTATTTATTTATTATTAGTTAGTATGCCGCTTAAAATATGAAGACATTTTTTAATCTATAATTGATTCTCATTTCTTTATTGAAATAAATACGTGATCTATCTTGACTACAACAAATACATTTATTTGTATATAGAGCGAAAGTGTTTTAAAAAATACAATAAAGAATAAAGTTCTCAAAAATTCCAAGGGAATACTGTGCGATAAAAGTTGTTGCAAATAATAATAATAGTTATTAATTTGATATACTCGTATATTTACAATCTTTTCGTTTCGCTTAGTCAACAATATTATAATTCGTTCAGTGTGAAGATATATAGATCAAATATATATATATATATATATATATATATTAATTGTCGTAGGTGCCTATATAGGAGCTGCAGTTGGGGCAGTAATGATCGGCATTCTGGCAGGAATCCATGCAGTAGGGCAGGCAAACACACGGCCAACAGCTGTAGAAGAGAGGAGAAATGTTTTTCATTATTAATGAATTTACAAACTGATGAAAATATTATCCAAAATTGCGCATACAGAGCAATAACTAGTTCAGCAAGTGAATAGCTTTTATAGTTTTTATGAGCAAGTGTTTTTGAGCTACTTTGTAAATATTGTATAAATATATTTGTATGAATGATGACTGGCCTTACATTCTAACGTATACAAGTATTTGATAGCGCCTGCAGAAGTGTTTTTTTTAACTATTTAGAAAAGTACTCCAATAAAACCTTTTTTCTCATTGAAATATGGCATTGTGGCAGTTTAACGCAGTTGTTTTTCCTACGTTATCTCACTGAACTCCACAGCCAGTTGAGATAACACACACACACACACACACAAACTCCGACACACGCACACATTCTTATATATACAACTACAATCACAAAGATAAGCGTCTGGTTTGAGCGAATGTCACTTTGTTGTATACGCTTCACATAGCAATTGATATTGTTTGAAGTGATTCATCTGTCCACCCATATACTTACATGAACAGACAGAGAATGAGGGCCCAGCAATGGGTGCGACTGGAGGGTGTACTCTTAACGGTGGTCACCACCTCCGCCTGACAGGATGGGCAGCGGATGCGCGTTGGTCCACTGCCAATGGGCACCAAATTCGATGTGGTCGTCGTCTGTATGATCACCGTGGATTGTTGCGGCGGCTGTGGCATAGGGGGATAGAGGGGCGGCTGTGTGGGCCCAGCCGGATACGGCTGATAGGTTTGTGCGGCAGTAAAACCGGGTTGAGGCTGCGGCATTGCGCTATATGGCGGCGGCTGCTTGCTGTCCATATTGGGTTCTTGTGTCTTACTGATGACTCTGTTCGCCGGACTCTCGCTCAACTGCACGACTTGCGGGCTGGCGTTCAACTGAGGCCTGCCAGAATACTGTTGCCCGACTATACGAATAAGCCTATAGCTGCGAGCAAAAATTAGGCGTATCTTATCAGTTGATTTGCTGTTTTGGTTCCCTTCTCTGCGATTATCTGGCAAACACCTTGCCACTTTGTTTGGCAAATTAGTGCAGTTAGTTAGCTTGTTTCCGCTTACCTATACTTGCTTTTAAATGTATATTTATTTAAAGATCAGTACGAATGCAGCCATGATTCACAATTCTGTGACGTCTCCTCACATTTGAGCTGAGCTTTTGTTTCGCTCGAAGGGAGCTGGGTCTGAGTATTTCACAACAATGATACACTTAACGTGTTATAAAAAGCTAAACATATATATTATTAATTAGCCAGCGATAAATTGCAGTTGTGCACAGTGACTGACTGCTTACTACTCTGTTTTATATAAAAGCTTAATAATTATTGAAGTGGGAGAAGAAGAATGTGTGCCTACCAATAATATTGTTATTGTCATTCAATATTATAGTCTACAAAATGTATTTTGGTAACTAAATTTTTATTAAAGAGATATTTAGCAAGGGGTTTCCAACAAATTTGCTCTATTTATCTTTTCAGACAGTTGATTTAAAGACATAATTAAATTGTGACATTAAGCCCAATCGACCCGTTTCCCCCTTTTTGCAACAGGGCATTGCAAGATCTCAGAATAATCTAATTATAACGACTAAGGTATCACTAGGAAATAGGTCTTAGCAATTGACGTCATAGCTTCTCAAATATTTAACTAAAAGCTTAAGTGATAAAACAGCTTAAAACATATTCCTTTATATTAAAAAGCGATCGATACGAACCAAATACCAAACCTAAAGCGCGGCTCAGACACTGACAATAACAATAAATTATTTATTGATGGACACTGACAAGCAATAATTTTGCTTATCAGCGCAACTGTCTCTTTGAAAAGAGAGACAGTCTCAAAACGTTAGCCAAGCAAAAGCTCACACACGCGACCCACGCAATAAATATATATTGTGAATGGGTAGGCAGAGCTTTCTGATATTAGTGAAAGCTTTTCTTATAGCGTTTGACTTTTTCAGTCCACCTTGGCGCTTTCAAGTTCAAGCGTTCAACAGTCGAGCCATGAAAATAATGTTAAGCAAATACGAGTTGGCTGTGATCAAAACGAAGAAAATAAAAAAAAGACAGCAACAGAAGAAATAACAACTGGTTTTCAAAATTACACACTCGGTACTAGACAAACATTTTGCAAATGTTTTTGTTTTAAAAAAATTTGTATTGTACAATAACCCAAATTAAAACTCAATAAGAAACACTTGCCGCTGCCAACAAGCTGCACAGTTATTCGAAATGAGCCGGCAACTGAAGTTCAGCATCCAATCGCCAGAGGGTGAAGAGTTCCACTCGGATCTGGTGGAGATCAATTTGAATGGTAGCCGCGGTCAAGCGAAACAGCAATCGGCCCAGGCGCTGGACGAGCTGCTCCAGGGAAGAACGCTGCCCACGCATCGCGGCTATCCCTATGGCTATGGGGACACAGATGACGAACCGGACTTCTACTTTTGCAAGAAGTCCAATTCGACTGGCCAGCTGGCCGAAAAGGTTTCTCCGCCCCCACCAGTAGCCACCAATATCAGCTGCCTGCGGCAAATGTATTGTCCCGAATGCCACGAGCGATTGCACGAGCAAGGGGTTCGCCTGGAACGACTTATAACCCTGTGGTGAGTATGGCTGCATATCCATAGGGCAGGGCATGCTCGCAGCTTATACTAACTGTTTAAATGTTGTCTAATTGAATGTTGCTGCTGCAGCTGCTTTGCCATGCTGCCCATTTATCCATGCTGCATGCGACGCTCCAAAGACGACTGCAAGGTCATTTGTGGCAAGTGCGGCTACTTGCTGGGCTCCTGGAAGCGACAGTGAAGCACTCCGCATGCTCTCTGCTTTTGCTCCTTTACCCACGTTATTCGTTCAAATTGTTTGTTATTTTGCGTTTTGTTTTGTTAGTTTTCAAGCATCTATTAACCTTGTGATGCGTGGGCAATCCACAATTTATTGTTTATTTGTACACCCTGCACGCATTACGAATTCTTCAAATGGGTATACTGTTTGTATTAGTTAGACAACTATATTTGCTAACCCATAATAAACGAATATGTGTACAGAAGGCTGTAGAGTATAATAGTAGTGCTCTTTGAAAACTTTTAGGTGGTTAAAAAACAAAGGAATTTTCCTTTGAATGGTAAATTTATTGCTGACGATATATTTTATGAAACAATAAATTTTAGCTCCTAAATATTACAATTTTATAAAAAAAAGATGTGATATATCAAAAAGAAAAACTGGTTGGGATTGTGTGTGTGTGATTTTTTTTATAGGTATATCAAGAAGAACAAATGTATTGATGCCAATTGGAAGTGGACACAGGGTATCGGCTAGTCGGGCACCGCCAGATACAGCACTCTTGTTTGCTATTGAAGAAGCGCGTGTAGCGAGAGTGTGAAAGATCCAGTACTTGCTCTCTTTTCTGCTCTTCTCTCTCTGTCTCGCTGTCTCTGTCTCTCTGCGAAGTGGCTATTATTGTATTGCCTGCTTCTGTGCCCAGTCGCAATGACAAGCGCGTCGAATATGTTGCATGATCTGGAGCAGGACGCAGACACTGTCTCTGCAGCGACTGCTACGCTGGAGGTAGCCTTGGAGGTGGATGAGGAGCAGAAACCGCAGTTGCGCTTCTACAGCGTCGGTCCGAGCACCTATCGTGTCCGGTGTCCCTTGTGCCAGCAGCGATCCCGCTCCGAAACGGTGCAAATGACCGGCGCTTTGGGCCAGCTCAGTTGTCTGCTCTCCGTTTTGTCCTGGTAAGCAATGGAAGTTTAAACAGCCAACAGTTATATTTATATTAACTCATATTTGCAGTTGTTTTCCCATCTTTGCACTGAGCTGCGTTTACTCCTGCCTGCAGAGCCGTCTGAAGAGTAAGCGCGTCTTCTGCAGCAGCTGTGGCGGTCATTTGGGCTTCCATTGGCGCCCCATTTAGTTATCTGTTACTGTTTCACATTTTAGACATATTTTTGCAGGTGTCTCTATATTATAAATAAACGCCGTGCGCAGCTGTTGCCAATTTTCAACATTTTCTTTTTTATTATAAGTATATACTCATATTTCGATGAACGCCTCTTGATTTCGGTTAGATTTTTCCATTGCTGTGCTTGTTGTTGCCATTTTCATCAAGGCAGCACGCTCTATCCCATTTTCATCAAGGCAGCACGCTCTATCCCATTTTGTCTCTCTGTCTCTCTCTCTCTCTCTCTCTTTTTCTCTCTCTATTTCACTCTCTCCTTGAGTTTGGCGCCATTAAATTTGCTTTGGCATTTGGGGAGCATCTCTTTTCGCCTTTTTAGTTGCTCTGCGCCCGTCATTGTCATCAAATGGCTATGGCCAGCATTGAGAGTCTGGACGGCAGCGCCTGTGATTTTGGCGGTGTCTCGGCGGTTCCACTGGTGGGTCATCTGCCCACGGACCCCTTAGAGTTTGTCTGCCCCGCCTGCCAGCAGCTGCAAACGAGTCTCGTGGAACGCGAAGCGGTCACTAACCTGCAGAAGATCGCCTGCACCCTGAACTGGTTACTTTGCTGGTAAGTATCTTAAATAGTCTATATATCTATATAATATTTATATTTACACCTCATATTTGCTCAGCTCTCCCATAAAATGGAATGGTCGGCATGATATCAATCATTATTGCAGCACCTGCGGCTGTTTCATTGGACGCCACATCTCGTTGAGTTGGTATAAACGCGCCCTGTTTCGAATGCAGCGCTCCGAGGTGGAGGATAATGGACGCTGGCAGCGTTTCCGCAAGGTGGAGAAGGAGCAGCTGGATGAAAAGAAGCTGGGCAAGCAGCGTGCAGCGCTCAATCAGAACTAGAAGCGAAATCAATTACTTAAAGCACAATTTGTTACACATATAAAATTAAGTTTTTAACAAATCAAAAGATTAACATATATTTTTTAAATTTAAATTATTTATGAAATTATTATAAATAAAATCACAGTTTAAATTTAACTCGAAGAATTTTTCTGTTTAATCAAACACTTTGAACTTTTATCATTTAACGGTTTTAACGGTTTAAATTACTTAGCAAAAGGTAAATGCTACAAAACACTATTTAAATTAAATAACTATTCTGTTTGATAATCCAAAAGCTGAGATCTATAAGAGTCAACGTCAAAGCTCGCTAAGCAGCCTTTTGTCAATTGAAAAGCGTCGCTCTTTAATTTTCGCTCATTCACGACAAAACGTGCTTTTCGTGAAGTGAAAAATCTTATCGCGCCAAAGCAATTACAAAATTAATGATAGACCACCCGGTAGTTCAGTGTTATTTCAGCTTTTGAACTCGCAAGAGAATGAACTCATTTGTTCAGTGTGCCGAGGAATTTCGTCTGGAATAGAGCTGCAATATGTATTTGATATTGCTGGTGACGATATCGCTTGCATTGCTTGTGAATTACTTAAGACGCATTTACACCCACTGGCAGCGAGAGGGCATAGAGGAGGAGCCAGCTAAGTTTCCGTTTGGCATCTTGGATGCGCTCGTTAAACGCCAGCGAAGCTTTGGAATCATCGTTAGCGATGTCTACGAACAACACAAATCCCAGATTGTGGGCATCTATATGATGCACAAGCCGACCATATTGGTGCGAGATGCGCAATTGGCTCGTCAGGTGATGACCAGCGAATTCAATAGCTTCCACGATCGGGGTGTTTATGTCGATGAGAAACGCGATCCGCTGTCGGCGAACCTCTTCAATCTACAGGGTGCTGCATGGCGCAATCTACGCAATAAACTGACGCCCTCGTTCTCGTCGGGTAAGATCAAGGGCATGTTCAGCACCATTGATGATGTGGGCGACAGACTGGTGCAGCATTTAATGGGTCTCATTGAGAAGGCACCAAATGATCCAATCGAAATTAAACAGAAGCTCACAACCTATGCAATTGATATTATTGGCTCAGTGATATTCGGTCTTGAGATTGATAGTTTTACCAATCCAAAGAATGAGTTCCGTGCCGTCAGCGATTCCCTTCTGGTAGAGGATGGAATTTTGATCAAGATGCACAATATGGCTTCGGTAATATTTCCACCGTAAGTAGACAACTCCACTCCCACCTGGCAATCTATCTCTCATGCTCTCCTTAACAGGGTTGCCAAGCTCATGAATCGTTTGGGCTTTGAAAATAAAGTTATGATCAAGTTGCGGGACATTATGCAGCACACAATTGAGTTCCGGGAGCGTCACAATGTCGTCCGTAAGGATCTGCTCCAATTGCTGATTCGCTTGCGCAATACGGGCAAGATTGGTGATGATGATGACGAAGTGTGGGACATTGAGACAGCACAGGAGGAACTCAAGGCCATGTCCATAGATAAGATTGCCGCCCAGGCATTTCTATTCTACATAGCTGGCTCGGAAACAACAGCAGCTGCATCAGCCTTCACGCTCTACGAACTTGCCATGTATCCTGAGCTGCTGAAAGAAGCACGCGATGAGTTGGATGTTGTTATGGAACGCCATAATCTCAAGCCAGGCGATAAGTTCACCTATGAAGCGGTGCAGGATCTAAAATTCTTGGAGCTGTGTATATTGGGTAAGTTTCTTTACGGTAACGCTGGGCCAAGATCAAGCACCAATTCATAATTTTATCTTTTTTAACAGAAACTATTCGAAAATATCCTGCACTGCCTTTTCTGAATCGCGAATGCACTAAGGACTTTCATGTGGATGATATGAACTACACTATCAAGAAAGGCACGCCGATTTTGATCTCGCTCCTTGGCCTGCATCGCGATCCCGCCTACTTTCCGAATCCCATGGACTACGACCCCCATCGATATGATGCGGACAATATGAACTACGATCCGACAGCATATATGCCCTTTGGCGAGGGTCCCAGGCACTGCATAGGTAGGTCGATTCCACAGACTAGTCATGCATCCTTATTTAACAACCATTTCCTCTGTTCTGACAGCGTTGCGCATGGGCAAGGTTAATGCCAAGGTGGCTGTGGCTAAGGTGCTGGCCAACTTTAATTTGATACCAGCTCCACGCAAGGAAATCAAATTCCGCTTTGATCCTACCCCGGTACTGATGCCTGAGGGGGGCTTGAGTGTGCGTCTATCAAAGCGTGCCTGAACATTTATTATACAATATAATATATATGTGCTTATGTGTACAATAACTTTGTAAGTTCAATGAATAATAAATTCAAAACGATATTAAAAGAAATTACGTATTTTGATTAAAAATAAAACGATGCACATGTAGACAAGTTTGTTTTGATAAGCTATTCTAAATACAAGAGTCATCTGATTCAGGGTCTATGTTGGCCCATGAGGGGGCTAAAGTTGCGTTTCTCGAAGCGTGTATAGAGGAAAAAAAACTAGCATAATTTAACAAAAATCTGAAAGCATTTCTGACAGCTCAAGTTGATTTTTCTGTTTGTATAAACCAAATACAATATATATGTAAGTTGTATATGCATGAATGTATACATATGTATCTGGCAGATATTCTATCGATAGTATTTCGTAATGTGTGACGCTGAGAAATGTTTCACATTTGTTAGACAAATAAACAATAAGCAATTTGTTTGTTGCTCTCTGCTCTTTTGGCTGCTGGTTCTGCTTGACATGCCACACATAAAACAGCTCCAGCCCAACGCTGATGACATCATAAATATAGGTATGCGTTCCAACTGAGAGAGAGCAACAGCACACGCTCTGGTTCCCGATCACGCTCTCGATCTCACTCTCGATCACGCTCTCTCTGCTCTTTCGCTCTGCTCTGGTTTTGTGTTTTGTCTGACCCGCCAGTTACAATGGAGACGCAGACGTTGCAGATCAAACTGCTGCCGGCACAGACGGCCGAGGAGCGTGCGCGCAACATCATAGCCAATGTGGTGGTCGAGGGTCATCAGGCATCGCTGGTGCCCTACATGGATGAGCATGAGCATGAGCCTGAGCATGAGAAGATTACGCTACTCACACAGTTAGATGCTACACCTGCTCCCGCGGAGCCACGATTGCGCTACTATTCGGCAGGACCATCCACATATAAGCTGCTCTGTCCGTTGTGCCGTGAGAGAAGCGATGCGGCAGTGATGCGTGCTGCCGGCTGCAAGGATGTCAGCTGCTGCCTCAGTCTGCTCTCCTGGTGAGCCCATCAGCTGACACACGAGAGTTTCTTAAGAGTTTCTAATCTCTATTTATTTTTGCTCAGCGTTATCCCCATCTTTTGGATATGCTGCGTTTGCACCTGGTGCGGCTGCAATCGCGAGTGGACCAACAAGGGCGTCTATTGCAGCCATTGCGGTGGTAAACTGGGCATCCAGAGCAAGTCCGATTAATTAAATCAAATAAATGTCACGCATACGTTTTTGTGAATTAACTCTGAGTTTTGGTTTGTCCACAAGTTAAGAATATAATTTATTTTATTTATTTATTAATCCATTGCTTTTGGTATTACTCGATTATAAATAATTTTCCCAGTAACTTTGCCGAATAAATCGAATAAATAATAATATTTTAGAATTGAGTATTGAGAGAACAAGTTTTCCACCTGAAATTATTTGCATTTCATATTCAAATTTCAAAGTGTGCGTGGATTATGAAATCTACTCCAAAAATACAAAGTCTATTCGCATGATTATTATTCAGATTAAGAGCTGTTCTGTGGCAAAGATATCAATTATTAAGGCAATGAGGCTGAGTGCTGTGAGTTCAATTAAAATGATATAAATGCCATACATAGATTGTTCTAATTCTATTACGCATCTAACTCAATTAAAGACGCACACTAAATCAGCACTCGCTCTAATTCTCATTCTCACTCTCTGGCTCTTGTTGTGCGCTCTCTCCCTCTCTCTCTATCCCTCTCTCTCTCTCTCTCATTGCTCTCACTCTCTTGCTGCTGTCGAAACAGGTTGCCCCTTGTCGTTGGCCATAGTACGCATTTAGTGTAGCATTTTGTTCAGCTATGGCGACAACAAATGTGGAGGAGCAACAGCTGTCGGCCAAAGCCAAAGCGCTCGAGGTGCAAAAGGAGCGCAATATCTATGATAACTTTGCCACACCACTCGCTGGAACTTTTCTCAATCTGCCGCAAGAGTCCGTCGTGCTAAAGTGCCCCGCCTGCGGCATTAAAGATCAGAGCGTCATTGAAAACGATCTTAAATGGTGGGCCAGTGAGATCAATCGTATCGTTGGTTGCCTTTTCGTGTATGTTGCATACCATGCTGACCAAATGCTTATAACTGATCGATTTTTGTACATTTTTTCATAGAACCTTTTGCTGCTGCTGCTGCATGGACTATATTGTGCCCTGCAAGCAAACCGATCGCAGCCATTATTGTGGCAACTGCGGCTGCTACTTTGGGCGTGCCATGAAGCCACGTGCCCCACTCAAAATCAAGGCGAGCGCCAGCAAATAGCCATCCAAAAACCATATACACTATTACAAACAACACAGAGATCACTCTACACATTAGCTCATCACAGTGGTCGCTCGACAACTGGTACGCTTTGTCTCAGAGCTGATTCTAATTTGAGTTTCTATACAAAAAAAAAATTGTGTACTTTAAATGTTACATATTGTTACATATTAAAAATGAAAACCAAAAAAAAATTTAATTTAAAATTTTGGAAAATAATAATAATAAATTATTCAATAACAATAAATCATCATATCGACTACAGTCATATTTTAAAATTTAATTTAAAAGAATTAAAAAGTCGAAGATAATATAAAATTTAAATTAAAATTTCTCTACAAATGCTCGCAGTAATTTCTAAAATTCCCTGTTATCCAACGGATAACAGATTTTTAAAATATAAATTCTATATTCAAATTGCAGTACAAATGCTCGTACTAATTTGTTAAAGTTCTCATTGCGCAGCGACTACTGTGGCTTCTATCTCTTGACTCGTCAATAGATTTTCTAATTTTCCACACGCATATTTTAAATATTTTCGCTGCAAATTAAAGAGCTCTGAATCTATGCTACGCGAAAGCTCTCCAGACCAGCTGCTCAGTATCCATTGGCACGCGGTGCGAACAACACAGCATTTGCTCTCAATTCGAATCTGACACTGAAGAACAGCATGTCTGAGGAAACTAGGCCCGTTTACTTTGCCGTTGGGCCCAATGTACGAGAGATCAGCTGCCCTTACTGCAAGGTGTTGGCGAAGACGCGTCTGGTGCGCTCCTGGCTACGTTGCTGCACCAAACGACATCATTGTGGCGCCTGTGGGGAATACCTGGGCGTCTACAGACGCCCCCAACTCTGAGACACTTCTCCAAACAACATTATGACATATTGCAAGCAATAAATAGATGCTGCTGTTCATGATTTTCATGTGTGTTTTCTTGTTACTCACGAGAGACTAAACATTGCTCTCTCTCTCTCGCTTACCTCTCTCTCTCTCTCTCTCTCACACACTCTCTTCGTGTTTTTCTCTCTCTCTTGATTGGGGTTTCATACGTCTGTTGGGGCGTCGCTGGTTTCAGTTACGCATTGTACGGCAAAGCGCGCACAGCAACATGACCAACGTGGAGCCGCAAGTGATTTCCATTAGCATATCTAGCAGCAAGCCCAAAGTGGGCTACCTGAAAACTGAGTCCACCAGGGTCAATTGTCCCGCCTGCGAGCACTTCGAGATGAGCATTGTGGAACACGAGGTGGTCACCTCTCTGCAGTGGCTGCTGAGTTTAACCAAGCTATTGTAAGTTGAACTACAGTGGGTAATAAAAGCATTGGCACAAAACAACTTTTTTAAGGAAAAATATATCAAAAGTGTGCTGTCATAAACTTTGAAAATAGAGCTGTGCCGATACTTTTTTATCTCTCTGTGTATACTGGGAATATTCTTAATTAAAGTGTACTTTAAAATACTTAGTTGAAAATATATTTTTGCCACTTGTTAATTTGATAGTAGACTAATTAAAGTTTATAAATTATTTTGGCACACTTTTATGTCATATTCATAGATCAGTAGTTAGACTAGACTTTTATGATTGAATTTTCTTTTCAACATTTAACCAAAAGTTCCAAGCGGAAGAAACGGGGTTCGAAGTTTCCAAGTAATACCAATCACGTTTGCTAAATAGAATGCTCAAATGAAGTAAAAACTACACTCGATAGTGCTTATTTTAAACATTATAAATTTATTTTATTAAGTAACCTACATAATAAAAATATACCATTCTATCAGCATATGTAAAGCCCAAATATGATTTATAGCAAGAAGTGGTCTGGACGTGTGGATATCAATCATTATTGCGCTCACTGCGGCTGTTATATTGGACGCTATGTGCCCATTGGATGCTACGAGCGCTGTATATCAAACTCGGCGCGAAAACAGGCAGTCGTGGATGAAATGCGGCTAAAGACGAAACCAAAGGATTGCGCTGTGCGTGCACAAAAGTCGAGGGAAAACATACTGGCCAAACGGGCCGAGAAGCGTGCCCAGAAGCAGACCCAACTCCAAACACAAACGCAATGATGCATTCAAAATAAATAACAGAATAAAAGTTTGGAGTCCGTATTTGATACAATTATCGACTCGGTGGAAATAATCGTTAACAAATATGGTTGCGGTCTTGGCTAAGACAGATTTTAACGACACAACAGAAAACACGAATAAGCTTTTGATGTGCACTTTATAAATATATATTTGAAACGAATTTGCGCATATATCCAATCTATTAAATTTTGGGATGAATCCTTTAAGTTGACCTAATTGCCCACAAATTTGCTATTGGGGCGTATGCAATTCCGCTCGCGATCGTAAATGGCCAGGAAAGTCTTGCAATTGGAGCAGTGGAGATATTCACGATTGTCGCCCGTGCTGAAGCAAGGCAAAAAGCAAAAAGGCCAAAAACTGGACACACAGCAAGAGGAGCAGTCGGTGCTCGCATAGAACTCAGAACTAGTCATGATCAGTGGTCTGCGCTTGCAGCCACAGTTGGGACAATAAATGCAGCCCTCGACGGGAATCCAGCGTTCAATGGAGCAGCGATAGTATTGACGTCGATTTTTCTCCTGAGAGTCAGCCGCCTTCGGCCTTTTCGATTTCGACGACTTCTCAAATTTTTTATCCCCGTTAGCGTCCTTTTGGCTGCTGCTGCGCTGTTTACGCTCCAAATCTGCCATGAGATAGGTTTATCGGGGAATAATCCTGGAATACATACTTTGAACTACTTACAGCGTTCAGCTTTGTCGGCCAGTTCCTCCTCTGACAACCCTGTCATTCTGCTAATCTCCGAGACACGTTCCTGGCTTATGCCATGATCGGCGGCCAACTTGTGTAGCTTTGTCACCTTATCGTTAGTATCGTCAAGCATCTCTGGATGATCCTTCTGCACGTGACGCACCAGACAACTGGTATCATAGCGAGAGCATTTGACTATCTTGAGGCATTTGAGGCAACGTAGATACTGCACATCGGTTGGTTGTGTTGTTGACATTATATAAGTTATTTGTAAGTGATATGATTTCACTCTTTGAAAGTAACGCACATTTTTAAGATAAATGTACGTTGTGTATCAAGAGTCAGAAAAGTTATGAGTTTATATTTACCAGGTCTGACAGCAATGCCATGTGTGTTTTACATTCAGCACAGTGGGAAAAAAATTATAAATATATAAATATATATATCCGTAAGTATATATAGCCATATTTGAAGAACTTATTTTAGCTCCTCTTGGCTTTTTATTTTTGTTTAAAAACACTTCTTAAAAGCAATCTATTTTTAAGGAACGACGAATTAAAACGAAATCCGCTGCTTAAAATTGGAAGGTTTGCTTTCATAAACAACTTTTCCATTAAATACTCATATGCACATCAAACACAAAAATGTATATTTTTATATAATGGAGAACAAGGAATGGAAATAATATACTTTCGGCTTTTATATTGGTGGGATCTGTCAGTTTAAAAAATGAATGAATCCAAAGTTAAATTTCGCTTTTTTATAACTACCCCGCAGTTGATGAATAATTTACAATCAATAATCTTGATCAACATGTGCATCTGAAAGCATTACCAAGGAGCCCAGCCCTGCTAGAGGTTTGGTTTTAGTTGGACTGCCATGTCCGCTTCTGGCAGCGAATATGCTGAAGATGAGGGGGACCACGTTCACGAAACGAGTGCAATAATGCATTTAAAATAAATAGAGGAATAACTGTTTGGAAACCGAATTGAACTTTATTATGTACTCGGTGGGTGAAATTGTGGTTGCTGTCTTTGCTAAGACAACTTTTAACGACGCAACAGCAAACACGAATATGCTTTCGGTATGCCCTTTGTAAATATGTATTTTAAATAGATTTGTGCATATATTTGTGCATTTATTAAATTTTTGGGCTGAGTCCTTGGCCTACCTGGCCACAAATTTCCAATTCGGACGTATGCAATTCCTCTTGCGATCGTAAATGGCCAGGAAACTCTTGCAATTGGAGCAGCGCAGGTACTCACGATTGTCGCCAGTGCTGAGGCAAGGCAAAAAGCAAAAGGGCCAAAAGCAGTGGGTGCTCGCATAGAACTCGCAACTGGTCATGATCAGTGGGCTGCGCTTGCAGCCACAGTTGGGACAATAAATGCAGCCCTCAATGGGAATCCAACGTTCAATGGAGCTGCGGTAGTAGTGACGTCGGTTTATCTCATCCGAGTCAACTGCCTTCGGCTTTTTTTCACATTTTTTATAATCGTCTTCTCCCTTTTGGCTGCTCTTGCGCTGTTTACGCTCCAAATCTGCAATGGGACACGTTTTTCTGGGACTAACCCGGGAGTATATATCTTCAACTACATACAGCGGTCAGCTTTGTCGGCCATTTCCTCCACTAACATCTCAGTTATTCTGCTAATCTCCAAGATACGCTCCTGCCTTATGCTGTTTCCGGCGGCCAACTTGGACACCTTATCGTTAGTATCGTCAAGCATCTCTGGATGATCCTTCTGCACGTGACGCACCAGACAACTGGTATCATAGCGAGAGCATTTGACTATCTTGAGACATTTGAGGCAACGTAGATACTGCACATCGGTTGGTTGTGTTGTTGACATTATAATTATATGTAAGTGATATTATTGTTATATGTAAACGATAAGATTTTGTTGTGTATCGAGAATCAGAAAAATTATGAGGTTTTATTTACCAGCTCTGACGACAAGGCCATCTGTGTTATTTAATTTAAATAAAAAACAGAGTGGGGCAAATTGAATATGATGATGAAATTGATTATTATTGAAGAAACCTTAAAAATGTAAATATTTAATGGATCTTAAGTCGTTGCCAATGGTATGCCATATTTTACATATATTATAAAAATAATAAGTTAATGTACTTAATATATAAATAAGTGAAATCAATCATAAATAAACCAAACCATGGCAAAATTGGGTTTTAAGTAATTTATACACCAACTACCCTTCTTTAGCTAACAATAAAAATAGGATACGAAAAATCCGGAAGCCATTAACAAGGTTCTGGTAGCCTGCACCTGTCAATGTTGCCTTGCATACATATATATATATATATATATATATGTATGTATGTGGTAATTTTATAAAAGTTTCTGTTTCCATAATGCTGTGGATGCGTTGAAATTTTATTGTCTGTCATGTGCGTCGAGCAGCTTCCCTCACCCCGAGTCATGGCAACGAATAAAGTCATATGAATTTGTTGTTGTGCCACATATGACGTGTGGGCGGAGTGGCTGGTGCGCTAGGCTAATGTATGGGATTCAAGGTAGGGAAACGGAAACGGGATCATACATAGACATTCACTCCAATTGGGAGATGGTTTCCTTTTTTCTTCGTATTTGTTTAGCGCATTTCTTCAAAATTGATTTTTTTTAGCTACATTTGAGGAATGAGGTCGTCATCTGGGCTGCTTGGCTTTCACTTTCACTTTGACTTTCGCACGATTCACTGACTGACTCCAGGTCCCGTTCTCCAGCTCGCCCGCTTGCTTGTTATTTGTGAGCGTTAGTCATACGCAGTTTGGTACGCATGGAAAAGCGAACGCGTTTGCATTTCTTTACGTACTTCACGTAATTGCTGCCTTTGTCTGCTTGCTTCAACTTGTCATTAGAGTTGAACTGCAAAATGTGTGGCGCGGCTTGGCTAGGGGATGTTATCTGTCCCTATGTATTGGTTTACAATAGATACAATCGTGGCCAAATGCATAGGTATGCTATTGGTATAAGCACATGGAAAAGCTTGTTCATTTTCTTTGTTCTTTACATTTTATTCATAGTTTTGCTTACACATATAACTCTCGTACATTTTACCAGGCTAATATAAAAATACAGTTTTCAACTTATGTATGGTTGTTTGTTTGTTTTGTTTGTTTTTCTAGTTTTTTTCTTTTTCGATTTTGGCTTTGGAAGCTGTTTTGCTCTTAACACTGAATTACTTAAATATAATTACAATTCGCTGACTCAAAAATGTTAACATGTTATTTCGTTACTCCCCATTAAGTTTCTATACATACACACATGCACACAGACACATACATACATATATTGTAAATTAATAAAGTAGTATATATATATATATATATATATATATAGTTGGTTGTTTTTTCTACGCAGACAACTAAAGGTTGCATCCACTTCACAGTTATTACTATCTGTTGCGGCACAGGAAACGATAAGGTGCACTGAAGTGTGACAAGTACGAAATGCGTTTTTATTTACTGTTGCTATGTATTTTATTATTTCGTTTTGTTTTTTTTTATACGTTCACACAGAATCGCAGCAGTTTCAGCAAATGTGTCTTGGTGGTTGTTGTTGTTAGTGTTTTTGTTTTATATATACTCGTATTTGGACCTAAGCACATTTATGCATCGCATAAGTATTTTCAAACGGTTATAGTTTTAGAAAAATAAAATCATCTAGCTTATAAAATTGGACTATTGCCGAGTTGCATTCACAATGTTTTGCTCGGCTTTTGCATACGTATGTACAGCAATCTTTGTGGTTTTATTACTTATATGCTTTATGGGACTTGGCTCTGCTAGCTTTCACTCTCTTCCTATTTCCTTCTGTTGGCTATTTAATTTGTTTTCTCTAACGTTCCAGTTGCTCTTAACTAATCTACTTTTACACACTTTGAGGCACATTCAGTTTTCGATAAAATTACAATTTTATAAAGTTGCGCTTACAATAAAAACAAAACTAAAAACAAAAAAATCACTGAAAATTCTCCGACAAAACAGTTTTCCTGCCAGCACAGCCCTAAAACTAAATGTAAAAATTAAAAATTGATTTACCCGCGAAACGAATTGGCGCCCTGCCAAATACTATACCCCCCAAAACCTCTTAACCCCTTCCCAACACTCCCTCAACTTCCAGCCATGAAACTTTCTAGTCTGCTTCCATTTTTTATAATTATAACTTCCTCAAGCTCAATGCATTTATCACCATTTTTTGCCAGAGAGGGAAGCGCAGGCATATTTCTATATGTATATGTATATCTATATCTATATATGTGGAACATGTGGAGCACTTGGAATGTCGCCATTTACTTGCTGGATCCCCCTGCTTCTGCCCATGCCCCTACCCCTGCCATTTAAAGCGTGTGTTGTTTGGCCGCATCGCCACATTTGGCGGCAGCTTCAAGGCGCGCACGTGGGCGCCGTTTGGTCTGCAGCGAATACAACCGACCGCTACGTGCTCGCATCTGAGGTTCACTCTCCCGACCAGCACCACCTAAGCCGCCTCCACCTCCAAGTGCACCGCCGCCACTAAGAATGATGAAGCATTTATTAGCTGGTCAGCTGCGTAGTGCAAAACAATTTAAGGCCAACTCACTTGAGCTCCAGTTTGGCCAGACGCTGCTTGATTTTGGCCTGACTGGCCGTATATTCGGCCAACAGACGGGCCAGACGCATGTTGAGGTTCTCCACGGACAGCTCCAGTTTCTCAATACCTCCCTCAATGCTGTCGTGAACGCGCTGCGAATCTGTTGAATGCAAACATTAAGACCGGAAGTGTGCGTTAGTGTTGGCAGGAAGTGGCCTAAATTGTGTATATATATATATATATGTAAGTGTATATGAGCTTCAATTACCGGCAAAGATTTGCTCATCGAGCAGTCCATCCTTCCGCAGCAACTGACAGCCACGTTGGGTGAGCGTGGAGCGTGCCTCCGGATAATCGGCCAAGGTTTCCCATAAATCCCGTTTGGCCAGACAAAAAAGATCGGAATAACCCAGCGAACGGACATTGGCTGTGCGTCGATTGCCCGTCCGATTGCCGGCAATTTCCAATACGGAAACCTCCCCAAAGACTGAGCCAGCGCCCAAAGTGGCCAGCACCGTAATGCCATTGTCACCCACAACTGACAGCTTGCCACGCTTCACGATGTACATCTCCTTGCCGACGTCGCCCTTGCGACAGATGTAATCACCGGGACTGAAGACCTGCAGCTTCAGCTTGAGCACCAGCGCCTCCAGCAGACCAGGCTCTGTATCGTGAAAGATGCGCACCTGCTTCAGTGTATCCATGTGCACCTGTATGGCAATCTCTGCCTTCAGCTTATCGGGCAGCGCTGCCAGCACTCGCTCCTCATCCAATGCGCCGCTCTGGGACCACGTGTAGGCAAACCAGCGAATCACACGTGCCTCTAGCTCGTGCCCCACCCTCCGGAAGGCCATGTACTGCTTGACGCCATCCATGCGGTTCTGGAACTCCACGCGAGCCACGTTCATGTTCGATATCATCGAACCAATGTTACCTATACAAAATGAATGGAAATAAATTACAACATTTGACATCGAACTCTATTTAATGCCCTCTTCATATTTAAAATGGGCATATATATGAGTGCTTCTCATCTGCGAAGCATTTATAAAAATATATATATTTAATCAGCCTAGTCGAATACATGACAAACGCCTCTCTGACTGAGACTTTGTGAATTAATAAATGGCTTCATTAGGGGTTTGAGTAATAAGCTTGGGTTTGTATCACTTTAATGAATTTAATCAATAAATATCAAAAATATTCTGATAAAAATTAAATAAAATAATAATAATTATTACAGAATTAGGTTCTCATTGTAAAAATAATGTTTGCTATTCATTTTTCAAGATCTTATGTTCTCAGCTTGGGGTAAAAAATCTATATAAAGCTTTATTAGCGAAGAGTGATATGGTCATAAATGTTGTCCATGTGCCTATGCTTTCGATATTTCAGTTTTAAGGAAAGACTTAATAACATTTTTCAACCAGGGTATCTGATGGACAAGCATTCAGATCTTAAGCACCCCCTGTTATTGCTATAGGTTTAGTTTAATTTCGACTGCCATTTCCGCTGCTGACAGTGATGATGCTGAAGATGAGGCTTGCCACTTGTGAGTCGTAAATTGGTGAAGGGCCCAAGCAGTGTATGCGTAACGCGTGGCACAAAGGCGACTAATGGCGGTATTTCCGGTGCACAGACGGAGACAAGACGGACATGTGGACGGCATGTAATATACGTATGTGTATGTCTGGGTAAAATATGCCACTTTGACGAAGTTTGCATTCATCATGGTAAGTAAATTTGTTTACCCAGATGTCAGACGACAACCCCCTTTGCAACAGCAGGAGCAGCAAAAGCAGCTGCCCGGTAATGGCAGCGATAAGAAGGACGACAAAAATGATAAAAAGGCACGTTTGCCAAAAAGCGAACCGAATGTGAAGGCGTCGACAGCAACAAATCAACCAAGCACACAACACAACAAAAAAAACAACAAAGAAAAAAATAAAATAAAACAAAACAAAGTGAGACAGAGAAGCATAATGAATAATGTGGGTCGACATGGCGGACACGAACTGAACACGAATAGGAAAGGGGGCTGAGGTGGTGGGTGGTCATGGAGGATGTCTGTATGCGGACGTGTGGGTCGTTGTCCCGTTTGTCCCGTTGACGTGCGTCGGGCTCTGTAAATTAATACCCATTGATGTCCCCAGATGTCACTCTGCAACCAATTAAACGATCAGACGAAATATTTGCGTAAACAATGCGTCCAACACAAACAGCGAGTAAGACCCTAAAGCTGAAAATAAAAGGGAAACGGCAAACACGAACCCAGATCCCAACACACAGACCACAACTCACCCACAATGGTGGCAAAGATGAGTACGCCGGCGAGAAAGTCGGCGACCACAAATAAATATTCCACATCATTCTCTGGTGTCGGTGTCTCCCCAATTGTCGTCAGCGTCAGCGTGGACCAGTAGAAACTGTAGATATATTGACGTTGCAGCGTATTATTCCTTGTACCATTCAAATTATACACCCAAGAGTCGGAGCTGAAGCCAATCTCGTAGCTAATCGCGAAATACATGCACGCATTCCAATGGATCAGCACCAGAATAGCCAGCACCACTTTGCAGATACGAAACGCATTCGGATAGCCAGTGGCTGTCTCTGTGCGATCGAACCACTCCATGAGGCGGGGCAGGCGGAGCAGGCGGTTCAGCCGCACAATGACCGGACAGGGTAAATACAGGCTGGAGCACGTCTCCGGTGGCCACCAGATGTACGCGATGTCTGTGGGCAGCATCGACAGCACGTCCACATACCAGCCCTTGGTGTGAAAGTAATGGCGACGCAGCCGGAACGCATCGCGCACTAAAAGACCCTGGTCCAGAAAGCCTGTAAAACGAGACAGAAGGATTACGAGGTTAACATTTTTTTCACTCCCCCTTTTCATTTGGTTGTTGTTATTGTTTTGCATGCCACATCCAGCGAGATATTTCGCAGTACGTGGCGCCTTTGTTTCAAGAACGTAGGGCAAATGCAAAACTAAAACGAACTAAGACTTTGATACCCTTGCCAAATGGATAATCCGACTACAATTTAAGAGGAGATACAAAACGGATGATTTTTTATTCCATTTCTTTTTGATTATGCCAACAGCAGAAAATGAAACAAAGCTCCACAATTAATTATTCAAGAGCTATTAGTTGGGCACTGAGATAATAAAATATGCAAAGCCAACATGCTTCTACCAGTTTTAAATAGTTGTTTTCAGAGTCATTAATAAGTATATATGATTTTATTATTCTCTGAACAGTTTTTGAAAAAATTTAACCTTTTGTAGATTACTAATTGATATTTCGGCACTTCTTAATTTAAGCTCATTATTTTATTCAAAAAAATAAATCCAATTTCAATCAAAATATTTATATACAAATCGAATAATTTTCATTCCGTGAAACAAACTCATTAAGTAATCAATACAAATGTAATACAGAAAAACTATTAAATTCCACATTTTTATACAAATCTCGTGCACAATATTTGCTATGTGCTGTTCATCTTAAAATGCCTGGCATCTAAAAAAATAAAGCAATTCACTAAATGTGTATAGAATTTATGTAGCTCAATTGCGCATATAAAATTTGTATTATATTCGAGTGACTTTGTTTTGGCTAGGGTATTGCAAAGCGTTTTCGTTGTTGCCATCTGAAATGTCAAGGCTGGTTTATCCCTGCATTTGGCAACTCAGTCACACACACAAACACACACACATGAACACCCCGACAGACACACATAAAAGTCACATATGTAGCTGATATATGTATGCATGCTAGTTAGATGTTGGCAAATGGGTTTGCCATTGTCTGCGTCGGCTTAGTGAGTTAGACCAAAAGTCAGCAAGTCTCATTTGCATAAGCATCCGTCGCACACGGACTCTCGTTATCTCTCTCAGTGTCCTACACCTGTAACTTGAACTTACCTTCGTGCATATGCACCAGCGTATCCAGCAGGTAGATTAAATCGCATAGATAATCCAGCGTATACCAAACGGCGGGCGCACTCTTGTTGATCTCCCAGAAAACGGAACGACCCACCACAAAGATGATATTATAGAGCACCGCTAGCGACACCACGGCGAGCCACTAAATTCATATGCCACATTAGCTAATGGAATGCTAAAAGTTTTTAAAGAGAGAGAGAGAGAGAGAGAGTATCCCCTCTCCCACTTACCCTGTAATGTGACTGCAACGTTGGATCGACGGAGAGGCGATTGCAGAGGGCGCTGGTGCCGCGTATTTCACTGGACAACGCCGCATCATCCATGGCGCCAGTTTTGCCTATTTTATCCGTATTCGTTGTGTTGGAGAACTTCTCGAGGAACCAGTCGGGCGGCTTGGCGCGATTGCGTTTCGTGAGGCGTTGTCGCAACGCCTGCAGCGTTCTCCTCAGCGCGGATGGTTTGCTCCGTTTGTTCGGCTCCTGAAATGGAGGAAGAAGTTGAGTTGCTACAAGTTTGTCGACCCCCATCGGAAAAATGTGCCGCACAACTGTCGTGCGCTAATTGAAACATTTTAATGGCCCACATACATATACATATATACAACAGTGGCCCTTGTGCGGTTGCCATTTGATGGTCGGGGTAACCACATTAAAACTTGGCCAGCATCTTGCAAGTTTTCCGCTTAAATTTGTTATATCTGCACAGCTGCAGCGTGCCGAAAACAGACCGGATGTCCAGAGGGGTAGCGTATATTTATACATACCATATACCATATGTATGTACATGACACAGCTAATGCGAAAGCACAGTGGCTGTCCTTTTATGGCAGAGCATCTTTTTACGCTATTTTTATGGGCTTCTTTTAACGCAGGCAGGATTTTAATACCATTTAAATAATGAGAACTGCCTCTTTATTCTGCATAACATGAGTTTATGAAAAATGAGGAAAAGTAGCTCTCCTTTTTGTAATCCCTTTCCTTAATGGTCTCTCTCTCTCTCTCTCTCTTTCTCTCTCTCTCTCTCTCTCTCTCTCTCTCTCTCTCTTATGCTCTCCATTTAAATTTCTCTTTCTATCTGTTTTCAAACCCAACAATCTATCTGTCTCCGACTACCTCTGTCTGACTCTCTTCTTATCCCCCCTCTCTCTATTATTCCGACTAACACTCTTTTTTTGCTCTCAGTCTGTCTCTCTCCGACTCTGTCTTCATTGTTCTCATTCTGATTCTCAATCTCTCTCTCTCTCTCCCTCAGGCATGCACACTTCTTTTCCATTTCCATGTTTGTAGTACTTTCAGTAAATAGTAAAATACTTGAAAGTACATAGTAAAAAGATAAGTGTTGTTTTAGTGAATGAATAAACTGATTCTCTGCTTACGCACTATTTGCGGAGTATCTCCCAGTCTGTCCTACTTGACAATGCCAAGCTTAATAGTTTTCCTTTGTATTGAATGGACTCTTCACAATTTGCAAGAGGAGCCCTCCTAACAAGTTAGCTGCAGTGCTCATTAAAAGGGGTTTCACCACACAGATACACAGATATGCATACATATAGCACATATTGTATAATGTGCACATACATATGTTAACATGTAGTAAGTTTATGGTTAACACACGCGCATACATACTCCCACTCACACACACACACACACACTCGCACACGTGATGCTTGTTTCGCGTTCACTGTGCACATCCCCAGATTAGGGGCGTGTGCTTGACAGTCTAATAAACGCATATCAGTCGCTGCCAGCGGTTAATCCATTAAGCTATAACCAGATATGTGTGTGTGTGTGTGTGTGTGTGTGACGGTTTGCATGAACTTGGCTCAATATGACGCATACGACGCATTGTACGTGTGCCCTTTGAGCGGAATGATAATGGCAATGCAATACGCCGCCCGCTGCGAACAACTGTTGTGAAGGTCGCTGAGTACAGTAGACGCTCGAATACTAGTACTTTTACACAATTCAATTGTAATTTTTAGCGCACACTTTTTATTTACTGAGCACATCTGGTTTAGTTTTATTTGTTTTTGTTTGTTTTTTGAACAGATGCTCTTTCAAAAATTTTAATTTTTTTTTTTATTCATCGAAGTTTTTAAACTATAATATTAAAATTAAATATTATTCAAAGATTTATCGCATATCTGTCAAAATCTACAATAATTAGTGTAATTTTTTGAGACCGAAGTTTTATAATTTTTCGAGTGACCACTGTTCATATTTATCTATGTGATTGTTATGAAATTTACCGCATCATTCTGTTGTTGTTGTTGTTGTTGTTGTTGTTGGTTATGTTGCTGTCCCGCTATGGCTGCTATATCCAAAGATTGCACCATGGCTTTGACTTTGAAATGTCGCATGCAAACTCAAATGTTAATGGCGCCCACGTGCTGCTGCTGCTGCTTGTTCTTCTGCTTCTTCCTTTTTTCACTTCCACTTTGACTTGTTACTTGAATACTACTCCAGCAAACTGAGACTATTTAACTATTGACGTTAACCGTTAGCTTTATGCTGCTGCGCATGCGCGTTGGCATCGAGTTGCCCGTTAACACTGAAAAATGCGTTGCGCGCTTTGCAATTGCCATTGAGGGCAGCGACAGCGACGCAAGCAGTGTGACGTCAACGTCAACGTCAACATCAACGGCGGCGTCCAAGTCACGAACGCACAGCTGACCAGGCGCATACACAATAACTTAATGTTATTGTTGTTGTTGTTGTTGTTGTTGTTTTCGTTGCTGTTGTTGTCAATGTTCAAAATACGGTTGCTGTTATTTTTTATCTGTTTTGATGCTTTGCTGTTGTTGTTGTTGCTATTGCTGTATTTTGCAATTTTCTTAATTTGCATGTGCCGACATCGGCGACGTCGTCGGCGTTTAATTAATTAACCTGCAAAAGTCTCAAGTGACTTTGGTCCTTCATTGTCAACGCAGCCAGAGAACAAAAGGCGTGTAGTTGTCTGTTGTCCGTTGTCTGTTGTCCGTTGTCCGTTGTTCATTGTCCGTCGTCTGTCGTCTTGGGTGTGTTGTTGGGGCGTTTGGATTGTATGGCCAGTGATGGCAATTTGACAAGATTGATGACACTTTGAGCTAAACTGTGCTGTGCGCGTTTTGTAAACGCTTTTTAATTGTTTGGCCATCATTTAATTAAGCTAAAAGGTGTCGTTCAGCGCCCGTCCCCATCGATAAGCAAGCTAAAAACTGATGCATAAATTAATTGCACTGGCAGGAAGTCAGCGAACTAGTTGCCTTTTTATTTTTTTGATGGATAACCAGACCCCAGAGTCAATAAACATATTGATAAACGATGAACGGATGAGCTCATGCAGTTAGTTGCATAGCACAAAAAATTAAAGAAACGGCTTGCTTATTTATTTACTTTGTTGTGCAAGGCTGCAGTAAAAAGATAAAAATCACCTGATTCGGATTCGCAGCAGCAACGTCTCCTGTACTTGAAATCGCACAATCAAAATCGAAATACAAACCCCTTCCACCAACCATGCCCCCCTGCACCACACTCTACCCCCTGTGTTAACTGTGCTGCTGACACTCGCCGGCTGCCTGATTGGCATTCATAGCACTGCGGCGTGAGCTGCACAATAAATTTCCATAATTGCCCGGCGTCCGTTAGGCACTCTTAACACAGGTAAAGGCGAACGGTGTGTGTGTGTGTGTGTGTGTGTGGAGGGGGGGGCTTACCAGAGGTAACTGGTTGGCTAGACGGAGCTGCCAACATATTATGTTAAGCAAATCAAGTGCCGCTATCATTGATGGTTATAGCATATAGCATGCGTGAGTTTTACGCCCGAATAAAATGGCTTTAAGCGTCTCTTAAGGCCCAAAAACCGTTTTCACAAAAGTGACCAATGGGCATAAAATTGAAATGCCAGCCAAGCTGTGAGCCCCAAACATTAGAAGGTCAGCCCGGCACGTGGCGCTGATTGAAGGGAATCTTAAACATCGAAATGGAAATGGAAATTGACTTGAGCCCAGCATGTAATAGAAACGGTTCTCAATCCACTGTGTGTGTGTCTGTTTGTGTGTGTGCTTTTTTGTGTCTGTTATTTCCGTTTTTGACATGGGCTCGCCCCAAAGATTGAATGTCAAGTGCTTAACACAAAATATTTACTATTTCATTTAAGGCATAAAACGTGTTCAATTTGTTGCAACCCAAAATATCTACTTATGTGTGGACTTTTACATTATAGGAAGTGTTGAATGGGTTACTATTTATGGCCATGTACATATTTATATCAGCAATCTCTAATTTGTATGTTATTTCTGACCGCAAACATTATGAGCTAAAAAATAAATGAATAGAAATAAATCATCAAAACCCTCTGCTAATGACTCACTTATCTGCAGGCTACTTTTAATAATAAATAAGTTGCTCTAACTTGAACAATTCTTGTTTAGAACTTAAGTCTTTATTAAATGAGACATTTATGATAACAGCTCTTGAATGAATCAGAAAGCCTCAAGCAAAGTGTACAATAATTAAACCAAAAAAGTGAATTAAAATTTAAATATTGTTGTTGTTTCATGTCCGCATCACGGAAGGCTGATTTCAATTAGAGAACCACAATATGGCTTATAATTTCAATGCTGTTGAAATTATACACAAACCGTACTAAACATCACAAAATTAGTATATGTGGTCTAATCAGCTTCTCTATAAATTCGGTATCGCTGCAGATAATGAGAATTAAGCCAAATCGATATGGATATGTATATTGTGATTGTATTCACCAGCTGTTGGCCAATATTATCATTGCTGTTTTTGACACTTGGCGCGCTTGAACTTTACTCGATTAGAGTAAATGCAGTTGATGTTGATAGATATCGCCATAAATTATCTGCAGCATATTTTGTTATTTGTTATTTTTGATTATGTTGGTAGAGATTTGGTTTTGCTTATTGCTCCACTGAACGACGTGGGAAAGTATGCAAATGTGCCGCAAATTGGATGACGATGACCATAAACAACACAGCTTATCGGCGACAGCAACAGCAATAGCAACAGCAATAGCAACAGCAATAGCAGCACACACACATACTCTACATACCGCACTCAATTCCAGCCCCAAACCCGAAATTGTGTTGCTTTAATACCTTGTCTACACGAAAAGTAGACACCTAAACAGCCGCATAAAATGATCTGCAAATGTCCAACTGGACCCTCATCAACATGAAATCCAGCTAACTGCTGACATCCTATTTCTGTTCTCTGGCTTAATTTTTAGTCGGAGTTGGCTGTTGTTTACAAAACGCATTAGTCGACTTTTGATTTAGTGTCATTTTGTCTTTTTATGTTCTTTGTATTTTAAAGTCACTTAACGAACTGTTTGTGTGAGGATTCAATTTGCTGTAGTCTGTGTTTCTTTAACATTGAATTTTTTTATTTTGCTGCCGTTGGCGAACGCGTTTTTTGCACAACTGTCGCTAGTAAAATTTGTACAAAATTAACTAAGCGAAAAAGAAAAAACCCTGCTACTTTTAAAGGGTTGTGGAGTGGGGGTTCGGCGGAGGGGATCAGACATTGAGAATGAGCACAGGACTAGGGACACTTTAGCGTTTTGTTTGCTCGAGTGTCCTGCTGTCCAGCTCAAATTGCACAGAAACAATAAGCAAAACAGAGCACAAAACGTCGGCCAATCGAAACATGAAAAATACCCAAAGGTATGGCAAGCAAATAGAGCACATTAATCGGTTTAATGGGCAAAAAGACGACGCTGCTTTGACACTGACCAACTTGACATCTGTTCGACTTGCCAACTTCGAAGTTTAACCACAAGACTGGCGCTCTCCTGCTAGCTCTTCAAAATTTTAAGTTATATATAAACGCTGAACTCAATGCTCAATATATTGTTTTACGGCCATTTATGTGTGTATGTATATATATGTATATTTGTATTTGTATTTGTATTTGTATTTGTGTGGCAAGTTGTATCGTGGCCGCAGTTTGCGGTTTTGTGCCACAGTTGTTGGCCAAACAGACAACACACCTCAAAAGCATTACAACAACCAAGCCAATATTTGGTCGTCGTTATGCGGGTGAAAAGTGGGTGGGTTGTTGGGGTGGTTGGGTGTTTAGTTGGTTGTCTGGTTGGCTCAGGCACCCCCGATACTAAGCGTTTTCCATTTGTATTTATTTCATTGCGTTTTTGGCTCTCTCCTGATGCCATTTATGAAATGGCATTGAAACAGTTTCAGTATCGTTGTCACTTTCATTTTTGTGTGGTTGCTTTCACTCTAGTTTGTACACAGCCGAAGGACCAAACTAACTGACTGGACACTCTCTGGCTCAATGCTCTTATCTATCAAATTGGTCGTCGGCCAAGATAGCAGGCAACCCATACTCTCCAGCCCGCACCAGCTGATTGTCCTTCTTTCACTTACTCAAGTATTTATAGCTCGAGGGTCAAATTCAGTTCGAAACAGACCTTTATTTCTGTACATTGTATGAAAAGAAAAGAAAATCCTAAATAATGTAATTATAAGAAGTTTGCCACAGATAGAATTACTTACTCGTGAAGTTTGTTGGGACCGAAAGAAAACCTCTTTAAAGATATCTGTTTGTCAAATAATAGCTGGAATTGACAGGACAATACTAATCCTTTTCAAAGTAAGTTTTGGCAATTTTTTGGTATTTTTGATATATATATTAGGGATTCTCTTTTTTTGTACTTATATGGAAAAGATTGGTTGCGCTTTTAAGACTACATTTTTTTTCGACAACTTTACAAGGAAACAGTTTAAGTGAAAAAGAAATGAGTAATCAATGAAAGTTGGAATTTTTTATAATAATAAGCCATTGGCTTATTTCAACATTTTCAGAATACACACTGTATGATATCCAAAAACTTTATTTTTAAGTTATTTCTTCTGATTATTCGCAATAAAACGGGAAAATATTTGAAAAAAATATGCTTTCTAAATATGTTATTTTTCTCAACATTTATAATTAAATCAACAACATTTAAAACTTTTTCAAAGGATATATTTGGCTATATAACAAACTCTCAATTTATTCAACAACTTTCCTGAACTTTGTTAGTGTAAAAAAAACTTCGACTTGGCCAACTTTCAGTTTTCTGTTTTTTTTTTTTAAGTAATTTGACACGTGCTAATAAAAATTTCTGCGGGCATAAAAATGGCAGTCGGCTGGCATGGAACATGGATCATGGTAAATGGTAAATGGTGAATGGAAAATGGTATGGTACTTGGAGCTTAGAGTGTTGCGTCGGCTACGTGACAATGGAGGAAGTAATTAAAACGCGATTTACGGCAAGGTCAAGCTTATGAAGGTCCGCAGTTCATTTGCATGGAGCCATACTCGGAATGTGGCAATAAAAAGAAATAAGGAGTAGGAAGAGTGCTCTCTCTCTCTCTCTCTCTTTCGCTCTTGTTCTCTCTCTCTCTCTCTCTCTCTCTCTTTTACCCGCAGCGTTTGTTTTATTGTTACCGTTGCTGTTATTGTTATTGCTGTTGTTTGCAGCTTTGTTGTCGATGGCGTCAATCAATTAGCGCAATTACTTAATTACAGCCCACATAATTGAATAGCTTGGACGGCATCGAAATTATGGCCAGAAGGAAAATGAAACCAAATGAAATTAATGCAACAAATTCAGAAGAGTGTCTGCATTTATCTGCACGTATCTTTGGCCGTTTATCTCTGCACCATTTCATGTATATTGTATATGGCATATTAAATTACGCATACGCCGTGTGATTTATGGATGCTGTCAACTTTACTTACTTGTATCAGCTTCCTGCCATTCTCCAGATAGTTGGCATCGCCGGGAGCCATCTGCTTTGGTTCAGCGGGCGCAATCGCCTCCTCCTGGTTGTCCTTGCCATTAACATCGGCATAGCCAACCACATCTGCCGCTGCAGTCGCTGCCGCCACCGACTCCTCATCATCCTCATGGTCAACGTCATCGTCGTCATCTTCATCGTCGTCTTCATCGTAGTCCGGTTGCGTGCGCTGCCAGCTGCCACTGCTACGCAGATAGTGCAGGCGCTGTTCCTCACGCTCGGCACTTGTGGCTGGACCCATGGGCAACGGTATAGCCGTTTGGTTGGCAATTAAATGCTTACGAGGCAGACAAACGCTCTCGTTACTGACAGCGCCCGTTGGCTGAAAGGGTGCATACAAACCGCCGCTGATCTCCAGCTCCTCGTGCGGCAACGGCAACTGGGCAGCTGTGCAGCTGGAACTGGTGCTACTGCTGCCGCCGCCGCCGTAGGGCAGCTGGGCAGGCGCCGAGGCGGTCGCTCCAACAAAGCGTGTAGTGCGATACATGGGACGGGAGAGGCTAACGCAATAGAGAGATGAGATACCTTTAGGCAGGGGTCTAAATCAAATTGATGATCATAACTTACTTGTAACCGTATTTGGGTGATTCGATTTCGGGGCGTCGTCTGCTGGACATCATTGTGTTGACCCGATCTCCGCGGGCGGCAGCCATCATATAAGTCCACATTGCGGCGCATCCACAGCAGCTACGCTAAGCACATGACGCAAGCAATCAAGCAGGGGAAGGAGCAACAGCAGTGGCAGGTAAATCTCTCCACTCTGGCAAAGAAGCTGCAAACACAAAAGAAACCATTGAAGACATTAATGTCGCCGCTTAAAGCACTTTGGGGGCAATTGCGGATTTTGGAATTGCTCTGGCATTATGGCATACTCATAAAGGGTCTCTTCACCCCAAAGCACACAGAGAGAAAATGTGAAGCTAAAACTAACAATTCGAGCTACATTTAACGGATTGCATTTCTAGAGCTGTCCGATAAATGAGGAGTTTATAGGAATAAAAGAATAATTAAACACACATGCTTGTTTTAAGAGGATTGAGCACTTTTCTCACGAGCACATAATATGTGTAGTAATTCAGTGGGTAATTTCGGACTGGTGCATTAAGACTAATGCTCAATTTGAGTAGTTTAAATCTAAGTACGCCATAAACCTTGCAATTGTGCGTGACAAGTTCGAAATACCTAATTCTTCGCTCTGTATATTAAACGCACATAAAAACGTTGAATAAGGGGGCGTGGCATCAGTGCAGACGTAATTAAGCAATTACAACTCGAGTGACTTTGCTGAGTGAGCGCCGCAAGGTATGCAACATCAAATTGCAGGCCGAGTAGCAGCAATTTAAGCCTTAAGCAGCAGCAGCAGAGGAGAGCAGAGGAGAGCAGAGAAGAGCAGAGAAGAGCAAATGGGGCAGTGGAGCAGGAGCAGACACAGAAGAATTCAAGCTCAAATTGCTTGGGTGCCATTTGATGGTTTCCTATGGTCATAAAATCAGCATAGTCCACAGCTTACTTTTATGTTTGTATATATACATACATATATATTTTTATAGTTTTGCTGTCATTTACATAGCGGACTGTGATTCTTTTTTTCTTGCAGCCATAAAGTGAAATTCAAGAATTTGATTCATTTTAAAGTGCAGCTGTGAAATCTATTCAATAACGCGAATTGCATAATTTAGTTTTTGTTACCAAACGCGATTAAGAACAAATTAAAATGTTAGGAAGAAAAAGTATGAAATAAATAAAATGAGATACAAAAGGAACGAAGACCACAACTATGTAAAATATTTGTAACAAATTTAAGCAAACTTTATGAAAATTGGCTAAGCACTGAATACATCCTACTTAATTTCTAATTTCATATTTTTTGGGATAACCAAATAGAAATGTATGGAATTCATTTTGACATGTGTGAACTCAAATCAAAGTGGCGCAAACAACAAATGCGGTTGCTGTGACAGTTCATGACCCCTGCTTAGGAGACAAGCATATAAGCACCGAGTTTATCCAGTTGCCAAAAAGTGTACAAGTAATGTCCTTTAACATGGCCCCATACAGCATAGACACAAACTAATGAGGCGCAAATGATAAATACAAGCTGACAGCGTAGCAAAATGAAATTTCAGACAAGCATAAGTACTCGCCACCAGAGGCACTGAACCAAACAACAAAAAAAAACACACACAAAAAAAAAAATAGAAGAATATAAATAAAGTGCACAAGTAGAAGGAAAAAGCGAAACTGGACCAGCTGCAAATGTGAGTCACAGTTAAATATGAAAAGTCGCGCAAATTGAGCCAAAATGCAAATTGTGAATTTTGCAGATAATCAAAACGTGCGCAAAAATTATGCGAATGGCGAATAATCTACAGATAATTTCCACTTGAATGGTGCACAAAGAAGAAGAAAAAGAAAGCTACTGCAGAGCTGGATTGCAGCTAACCAGTTGTCCTTTGTGTGCGTTTTCCCTTTGTCTGGCATTTAACTGTCGCGTGATTTCATGTCATAGATTATCTGTGCTGTTCGCTCCTTGTCTTTGAAGCTGCACGCTTGAGCTGCCGCAGCAGCCGTAGCCAATTTTAAGTGCAATTTCGGTTTGCCGAAAAGCAGAAAATAATAGAAAAAATAACCTGCTGCAGTTTGATGAGTCAGGTTCTAAGTCTTTGACCGCATCAACAAAATAGAAAAAGAAAAATTGAAAATCATAGAAATAAAAAAGTAAAGAGAGTGTGTGCGTGTGTGTGGCATGTGCTTGGGTATAGTGAATGGGCGGTGGCGGGGAGGTGGAGGTAGAGGGGGGTGGATCTGCTGTCACTCTGACATTCAAATAGCAAGGACTATGACTACATGGCGCAGCAGCCACATCGATTTTTAGCTATAAAATCAAAATAAATCCATTTATCAACTTCAGCTGCAAACATTTTCGTGCAGATAACGGCAGCAACTTGACTTTGATAAAATGTGTTAGTGCAACAGCAACAACAACACTTGACCAAGTTTTTAAGGACAAGTGCCTTTGAGCCATTAAATACTCATCTCAAAGCGTTAGACAAACAAATTGTTGACCAGCTGCCTGCTGCGTGCTTCGAGCTTAAGTTGAGTTTATATCTGTGTAGATCTTCGTTGTTGGCTCAAAACACTAATCAAAAGCGGCCGCAAAACGCTGCCAGGCCAAATTGTAGCAATTAACGCCTAGCCAAAGGACGATGTCCAGATTCAGATTTAGATAAAGCAACAGCTTCATCTCATGCCCTGCTGCGCTGAGACTTGGACAAATCGTTTGACTCAACTTCAAATTGCTAACGAGCTATAAACGGCATGTGTGAGTGCCTGTGTGTGTGTGCGGCTCATTTGTAATGATTAAGTGGCGCGCTGCGAGCTTGTGGTGTTTATGCCCCAAAGGAATCGTTTACAAAACACATTCCACTTGTATGCCAGGGGTTATGAGTGTCCTAAGCGACCCAGCAGATAAGTGAAAGATAAGCAGAGACCAACAAAAGAAAGAAAAAGAAAAAGAAAAAAACAATTTGCAACACTTTTTCAATCGCAGCTTAAATAAATAAATACACACGCACACAGCCAGACACACATGTGGCTAGCTATCAATAAATAGTAAATAAAGTGTGCGGCAACCAAAACGGAATGTTGAACATTATAAATGAGTCAAACATTATATATCTATAAATATAACGCAAATATGGCTTACAAATTGTCTTGGGTTACCTAAAAGGCAGTTAAATGCTTCATAACTTGGCGTTCAAGCACATATCACGTATACGCCATGTGTGTGGCGTATCAAAACAAACGTGAGAAGCTCAAGCCTCAGTCGACAGGAGCCAGAGTCAGTCAGTGGAGTAAGGGGATGGCAATCAGGGAGTCAGGGAGTCAGGGAGTCTAAGAGTCAGGGAATTGAGGAGTCGCGACTGCGGAGTGCGCTGCAAAATATGCTAATGTCAATTATTTTGTGCGTAATTTGCTTTCATGCTTCGAGCACACATCAAAATGTTTGCACTCGTCTCTCCTTCCATCATTATATGAATATTCATGTATGCCTAACGTTTAGCACAATGCGCTAATAATTCTGAGAGCTGCCTTAAGCGAAACATGCATGGCAAGCAATCGGCAATCGGCAATCGGCAATCGACTTATCTAATCTGTACTTTTATATATATTATTATGTATAGTATATAGTAGTATGTATTTTTCCTGCTAAACGGCTGCCCTGTGGCCGGAAAGGTGAACTGAACTTCAATTAACATTCGTGCACGTAAACGCAATAACGCAAATGGATTGGTGGTTTCGGTTTCATAAAATGCGATATTTATGGAGTTTACTGCCAAACACTGCCCACCGACACCAAACCCCCGCCCCGTCCTACACACAGATAGCGGATGCCAATTAATATGGCACCAAGTTAGATATTAATACGAGTATGTGCGCCCATAGTTAACAATTACGTCTCTCCACTGTATATGGCATTCAAATCACGCTGCTAACTGTCTCCTCGAATAGGACACTTAACAGCAAGGATCACAGCGCCGGTTGCAATCTATATTTGAAGTGGTTCGTTGGCGACAGTGGGCGGTTGAATTTACCTGCACGGATGCCCGGTTCCCTGCTCCTTGTTTGAGTTGTCGTATTAATCCGGCAACTGTAAGGCAGCGCGTAATCCTATTAGATGGATCCGTTGACTGCTGCTGCTGCGTGGTATATGTGGGTGCCTGTTTTTATATTATTTTTATTCTATAAACTTAATTTCTCTGAAATTGCTGTGCAATAGAATTTTTCACTTTTTTTCCACTCACACAATTATTTAAATGCGTGCAGAAATTTCAAATTAAATTTGAATATGTATTTTTGAGCCGCGCATATTTTTACACATACTCACACACACAGACACATACACAGGGGGGACAGGGGATAGAGACGGCACTCCAAATGGGTACCATTAAACAGTTGCGTTGATTTTTGCACTTTTATTGAATAAAAATTCAAATGTTGTTTGGCTGTTTGGCTGTTTTGCTGTTTAGCTGTCGGCTGATGCGAAACCAAATCGCGCGCAACACACAGAAACCAAAATGGCGTGAACGCGTAGAAAGGACGACGGGAGAGGAGAGCAGCAGCAGCTGATAGAACGGCAACTGCAGAGAACGTTGCGCGCCGTGTACGTTCGCATGCCTGGCTAACGGCGCAATGAGCGCCCGTGGGAGAACCAACACCAAAGGCGAATGCAAATAACAAGCAGCGACGTCAGCAGCACCAACAGCAGCAGCAGCAGCCGAGCTGAGCCGATAGCAGACGCGTCGAGAGCAGAGCAGAGGCGCTCGTCTATGTGTGTGTGTGTGCTTTTCATTCATGACTTTGTAAGCTCTTTGCTCTGTTGCTCTGTGTATGTATGTGTGTGTAAAAGCTTTTGCCCGCGAAATATGATGCGTGAACTATCAAGAAGAAGAGACCCCAAAATAGACCTGTTGCTTGCTTTCTGGGATGCTGCCTGTGTGACCAGTGTTGCCACACGTCTGGGAACAGTTGCCAGCCAGCAACAATAATAAATTAATTAAATTGATGTTTAAATGCCTGAGCTTCGGGTGTTATTCACCCCGCCTACTGACACATTGACAAATTGCCACAATCAAAGCATTATAGTAGCATTGAACTACAAGTACACCAGATACCAAATGACAAACATTGCTGAAATTGATTAATGTCGGTCTATGACGATGTCTGCTGCCTGTCTAAAGCACCTGATGCTCACGCGCCAGTTTATTTAGTTTGATTTAAACTTGAGTCGCGAGCTGGGCTGTACTTTATTTACAGTTAATAACTATATACCACTTGTTAATTACACAGCTGCAGAAATTTGTATTTGCTAGAAATGAATTGCTTTTCCCTGCATTTGACAGCTCTACTCTAAAACATTCACTTTTGAGGTGAAATTCACCTGACATTTTTGTATGGGGTACGTGTGGGATTATGTTCATTATGTGGTGTCTGTGTAATGATTATTGCTGTATTTGTTCTAATCTCTTTATTTTCTTTATTTTATTTATATATTCGATGGAGTTAACAAAGACACAAGCATAGTATAGTCCACTGTACACATACCTTTATATATATCATCAATAGAGAGTTCAATAGTTCAAGTCAAGTTCAGTCACCAACCCAGAAGTCAGAATGCCAACAAGTGGTAGCAGACACACAGACAGCCCGCATACATGTACGTGCCACAAATGAGCTGCAAGCTGCGCATAAATTTAATTTCTACGACGCGCCTAAAAGCATGCACTATGAATGTGTGTGTGTGTGTGTGTGTGTGTGTGTGTGTGTGTATATGTGTGTGTGTGCGTGAATAGATACAATGAGCGTTCACACTATTCACAATTTCAGTAATTTGTTATTCAAACACATTTCGAATCGATTATACGCTTGACATGCTCCCTCCAATCGAGCAAATATGTTGATTGACTTTTGTCAAGACTTACGTCTTTGTGTATGTGCCAGTGTATATGTATGTGTATGTGTATGTGTATGTGTATGTGTGTGCGTGTGCGTGTGTGCGCTTTTGCACTGTGCCGTGCAAAAGGCAATATTCGCTTCAGTATATTGGTGTGAATGGGAGAGTATAAGTGTGTACACATGGATAAAATGCCAACTCAAATATAAAATGAGGAAATGTGGATAGTCAACATCTCGCCACCTATGCGACTCCCTCTCCAAACCTCTTCAATTTCAGCCTGAGGCAAGTCTGCCTCCACCACCCATGGCTTTATGAGCGTATGCCTCACTTTGCCCATGATTGTCTGCATGCGATTGTATGTGTGCTGCTCATTGAAAAGCTCATTATCACACACTAACACTCACATAAACATTAAACTGTAAAGGGGCATAGCATTGCTCAAGGTTAAATATTTGCCGTATATTTAAAAAAAAAAGTAAATAAATAAAAAAAACATCCAGAAGTGGGTTAAGGCTCAGCTGGCTTTACACAAATACATACCCACATACATACATTCGCACATACATGTATATATAGAATATACAATAAAACACTCAGGTTGGACACTCTGTTGGGTGTTAGCCAAGATCTCAATGTCAGGCGAACAAAGCTACTACCTGGCCAAGAGTCAGAGTCAGGGACCAACTTGTTGAATTGAATTGATTGCCGCATTGAAATTTAATTGCAATTGCTCGGTTCTCCCATTTGAATGCTAAGATGCGAAGGACATTAATTAACAGCAGACAGGATGGGGGGCACTCAACCAGTTGGTGCCCCATTGAAGTGGCTTTGATTGCGATTGCAGCAGCAGCAGAAAGTGGCGCATCGGACTGCATATTAATTAGAATGAGGAACACTGTTGCGCTATTGCGAATATGCAAAACATTTGGCATATGGCAGATGTTTTATCTGCTTCATGAAAATAATCTGCACTGATGACACACTACAGCGACAGTTATTCCATAAATACGCACATAAAGGACATTACTGTGAAATATGATGCTGACCCTCTCTTCTTACCCCTCCCCCTTCAATCACTCTCTCTGTTTGTGCTATGGGCTGCAGTGTTAGTGTTGTGTGCTTGAAGAAAGGTTAAAGTTAAGCATGACAAATGTGCGGCAATGGGGCGTATACTTCATATATTGACAGCATTATACGCGCATGTTGCTTAGCATATCCTTGGTCCTTGGTCCTACTAAATTTATCATGGCTCAAATCCTCATAATTCCTGCCCAATCAACCAAAGCCGCAGCAACACCAATTGCTGCAACCTAATTGAATGAACAACATATTAAGAGCACGGGAGAGTTGCTCGAAAGTTTTTGATTAAATTATAAATTATGCATATCAATTAATTGATACTTGATTGATTTTAAGCCGATTTAGAAAATTTCCAACATGTTCTTCTCTTGGTGTTGTTAAATTATAGCTCTTTATACACTTATCACTTAGCTAAAAGAAATGAAAAATACCCAACTTTGCATATACATATCTGTAGGCAACGGAGTTCCATATCAGAAAATCCAAATACCTAATTATAGTGTGTCATATACACCTCCTCCATACACCCTACATCATAACTTTACATAGACGCAGCCGTAGGCAGATTAAAAATATCAAACTTAAGATTAAAGTGAGTTTTATAAAAACAATATTACAAAATAAAGATTCTTCCTTCGTTATGATCTTTTCAAAATGTTGCTTATAAATGTAACTGCAACAGAACGATAGAGGTTATAAGGCACATGAGCGCCACCAACAATTGTGAAGCGTCCGCTTACCGTATAGTGTAACAACCACAGGCTCTTGCCGCATAAAATCCGTTTCCAGACTTGCATTTTTCGACATCCTTAACATGAAACTTGATAAATGTATTCGTCTGTGCCTGCATCAGACAAAGTGATAAAACTGGGGTGATACATCCACTAGCCAGCTGGCATATCGATAAAACCACATAAATCCCGGGCACAGCATCCTTAGACTGAGACGAAAATTTAAATCAATTTAAATATTTCAAATGTTGGTTCAGGGCATCTCATTGCCGATCCCTCTAGATTGGATCTTTCTTACTTGTTTACAATATAATTTTTATCCAGTTTTTTAATTGCATACCTATTAAAATTCCACGAAGATTTGACAAAGATTATTAGCAGAGAAATATTTTGGCAACTCCTTTAATTTGTCTTATGTCACGGGGAATGTTTATTTGAATGTGAAAAATTTCTTATTGAAATGATGTAAATATTTGAATTTGAGGAACTTATTAAAAATATTTAGATTTTTCAATTAGTTTGTATGCAGAAGTGATAAACCGGGAATATAACTTAATATATTTATAATTTAGCATAACAAAAAGGCTAATTAGCAATGCCTACAGTTGACTAAACATAATAATTTTACTTTAAAGTAGTTTGTAAATATGTTGATTCTACTGCGTTCACTTTTGAATTGACTTGAGATGCTGTTGGAGTTGTTCGCAACGCTGACACTCTCGGGTAAGCTGCTTGACAGCGGCCGCATACTGACGTTGTAATTCGAGGAGTCCCAGCAGCTCCTCGTTGAGCTCGTCGCGTCGCATTCGCTCCTCATTGTATTTGTGGCGGACTTTATCTTGAGCACTCTTGACACCATCGACAATCGTCTCGAATTGCCGTATGAAATCCTCCCGACCATGCGGACTGAGCATGCCCTCGTTGTAGGCCTCGCAAATGGAGTTAAGCAGCGAAAGCTCCTTCTCCAGGTAACGTTTCTTGTCATTAAGTGTGTTGTACAGTGTGTAATATTGCTTAGTTTCTAAATGCTTGGCACTCATATCGTTGTATAGCTCATGGAAGCGTCGTTGATACTGGGCCAGCTCTGTGCGATCGGGTATCGCGTCCAGTTTACGTTCAATGGCAACAATGCCGCGATTCCGCTTGGCCAAATGCAGACGCAGCTCTTGCAGTCGCTTCTGCTCACCAGCTATCGCGGCGGCCTGCGCCTCCACATCCTGTGCGTTAAATGACTCCAGTTCACTGTAAGGAATGAAAACATATCGTCAGCTAACCGTATTAGATTACTCTTAATACAATTTTACTCGATTCGTTGCTGCAAGTTGGCCAGATCTGTGCGGCAGCTTTCCTTAAACTCCGCCTCGCTCTTCTTCAGCTCATCATGCTGCTGCAGTAGTTTGCGCACCTTATCCAACAGCCTGCAAATGACATATTAAAACAATTGTATTATTTAAATTAGTTAATTACTCACGCAGGATCGGCCTTCGCTTCCGTTTTCTTGTATGCATCCAGCTCTGCATTCAAAGCTCGCAGATTTTGCTCCTGCTTTGCGGTTTCTTGCTTTTGCGTCTCAACTGAAACATCCAATTGCTTATTCTCCTTGCTGTAGCGTTTAATCTTGTGCTCCAATGCTATCTTTGCCGCCTCCAAGCGTTTCTGTTGATTCTGTGTCTTAAGCTCCTGTGCATCCGTTTCCATTTCAAGCTTAAACTCAGCATAATGCTGCTGCAAGGCGCTACGAGCGACTGGATCAAGATCGATGCGCTTCAGTGCCGCGACAGCGTCCACTTTTGTGACAGACAATTGCTGCAGTTTTCTCTCCAATTCAGGCTGCAGTTGAAATATGAAATCTAACTTGTGGTTTGGAAAATGACAATATGCTTACATCGATTTGATCTGCGTTTGATGCTGTCTTTTGCTCCACACTCTGTTTGGACACTGGCCCAGCATCGCCGTATTCTAGCAACGTTAGGCGCACGCGTAGTGCATCATCTTCGCAATTGGTTTCCTGGCGCTCAAATTGCCTCTTGGGACTATAAAGTTCCTGTCGAAAAATTAATCAGATTTAATTTATGATTAAGGTTAAGCACATAAGCAGACTGACCTGTATGGATTTTATGTTGACAGCGGCACAGCGTATCTTTGTGAGATTATCCTTGTCACTTTTATACTGATAGTCATTGTGGAACTGGCCAATAGCAAATCTCTTCAAGCGCTGGCCGCGTTCTTCTCTGTTTTCAACCTGCAAGTGTGTGCAAACGATTATAAATGGCAAAACTAATGTTGGCCAACAACTTACAGACGTCTTAACTAGCCACTGAATAACTGGATGAATAGCGAGAAATTCCAATCCTTGCACCTGATGCGGTTCCAGGCTATGTGGGCATTTCATGTCAATCAGAACCGCAACAATTTTCTCTACAAGAGCGCTAAGAATCGAATTGGATGGGATTACATATGAGGTATGAATAGCTGTTTGTTTTGATGTGGCTTTACATTTTTTGTCCGATTGTTAAGTTTTCATGGAAGAGCAAATCGACGTCCACATCATAGTCGCAGCATTCAATGCACCAGGTCATTCCGCCCACAACTTTGTCGAAGCCTGACAAGCCCTTGATGCGTGCGCGATAGTATCCGGCTGCAACGAGTATGTCAAATGTGTCCAACTCCTTGGCAGCAGCATCCGTATCCTCGCGCCGTTCCACCTACGATCACAACAACAATAAGAATATTGGTAATGACATTGTTTATTAAACTTGAATTTACCTGAATTTCCCGACCGTCTGCATCGTAGCGTGTTGCCAATTTGACATTTGGCAAGATTTTGGAGAACACATCGCGGTTAGCCATGTACAGCAACAACAAATTACATTCTTTTAGAAATAAATAAAAAAAATATATTAGGCCAAACTGCCCATTGCTCGATTGCACACGATAAAACTGCAGATGAACATCGTTAATTTGCCGATATTTTTGATATGTACACACTGACGGGATAGAAATAAAGCCCGCGCACATAGTATCGATAGATAGTATCGATTTCTTATTTACATTTCTTTGCGATTGGAACACATGAAGCCGGCAAACGCATTTTATTTTTTAATATTGAAATGAATTACTACGTCTGTCTGCACCAGGAGGGAATAGCTAGCATAGCTAAATTGATTCAAAAAGCCCATACGAACAACTACAATGTGGTCGCTACATCAATCAACGCCAATATGCTGCCCATGGATCCATTCGAAACAGATCCCACATATCCGGCAATCGCATTGAGCGCCCTCGAGTGGAACTCTAAGGTGATTTTTGAGCTGTCCGATGTTGAGGTCGATTCGCCCAATCCCAATCTTCGCGAATATTCCAAAGCAGCGCTGCTGCGCGACATTACATGGGCAGAGCACTTGCAGAATAACGGCAGCGTCATGGTTCGCATTAGGGGACCAACAAATGACAATTTGGCCGAGATTATCCAGTCAAGGACGAAAGGTGCTTGGCTTTAGTTTTTAGTATTTATTGCACTGCTTAAATAATTATTGTTTTAGGTAACTGGTTCATTCATGTTCCCATTACAAATCCGGAGCTGGCCACATTTGAGCATCGCACAGACGCAACAGAATCGGAAATTGAAAAGGCGCAACAAGTCGATCCCTGGAGTTGGTGGAATGATTTACGTTTTGCCGTCAAGCACAATGCAAAGGTGAAAGTGGTGCTGGAGCTCACTGACTCGGATCGACCCAGCAGGGAGACTGTCCGGCGTTGGATCGGCGAGCCCATAGAGGCAATAATAATTCCATCCAGTTTATTTGTGTTAAATCGCTCCAACTTCTATGTGCTGCACAAGGAGTGGCAGACAATTATTGGCCACTTCATCTCGGTGCGCGCCAACATTATTATCTCCACAAAGCCCAATGATAAAGCCATTTCACAGTATGCGGACTACATGAAAAAGCTGATCAACGATAATTGCGATACGCACACCTTGAACAAGTGAGTGGCACTGCTTCGATTATCCTGTCTTCAAGGATATATAAACTTCTTATATGTTTTACTACATGCAGCTATGAGAATATGTTGGAGATTCCGCTACAGCCACTATGTGATAATCTAGATAGCTACACCTACGAAATTTTTGAAACAGATCCCGTTAAATACAAAGTCTACCAGGATGCTGTACAGCAGGTGCTGTTGGATCGCGTCAGTGAGGAAGAGAGCAAGCGTAAGCTGGTAATCCCAGACTATTAACGATTCAGCTACGCAAATCAATTAAATTCTATGTTGCCCCTTGCAGACGGTCATCATGGTCTTGGGCGGCGGACGTGGTCCTTTGGCCCGGGCGGTATTCAATGCCGCTGAGATCACCAAGCGTAAAGTGCGCGTTTATATTATTGAAAAGAATCCTAGTGCAATACGCACACTCTCCAACATGGTCAAGACACTATGGTCCAAAAAGGGTAAAGCGCAAATAGCTTACAATATTTAATTCTATAATTAGAGTTATTTGATTTATGCAGATGTTCACATTTTCTCCAAGGATATGCGGGACTTTTCGCCGCCCGAACTAGCCGATGTGCTTGTCTCCGAGCTACTTGGCTCATTTGGCGACAATGAGTTGTCGCCCGAATGCCTTGATGGCGCTTTGAAGTTGCTCAAGACGGATGGCATAAGCATACCCTGTAAATCCACTTCGTATATCAATCCAATCATGTCCGCTGTGCTGCACAGTAATGTTTTCCAGTTGACGTCCACGGTGTCCGCCTTCAACTGTGGCTACGTCGTGCTGCTGAAGAACATTTACCACATCGATAATCCGCAGGCTCTGTTCGAGTTTACGCATCCCAATCGCTCAACCACAATTGACAACACGCGGCACAAACAGCTGTCGTTTAAGGTGCAAAAAGATTGTGTGCTGCACGGCATTGGGGGTTACTTTGATACCGTGCTCTACAAAAATATTAGCCTGAGCATTAATCCCCTAACGCATACGCCGGGCATGTTCTCCTGGTTTCCAATGTTCTTTCCAACGGTATGTCACTTAAAATAAGTGTAATCAGTTCTTTTAATCTGTTTCTCTTCTGCATTCATAGCAACCTCAAACTGTGAAGGCAGGCGAAACGATTTCCATCGAATTCTGGCGCTGTGTGGATCCAGAGAAGGTCTGGTATGAGTGGCAGATAACTGAGCCTGCTGACGCCGAGCGCCACAATGTGGGTGGCATGGGTTACAACATGCGCTTATGAGGTTGACGACTCAACTGCAATATACTACAAGGCGAACTTTTTTTTTTTTTTTTACAACGGAGATGGTAATACATCTTTATTAACGTAATGCATAATAATCAAAATGTAATAGAACCGAAAAAAATAACAACTCTATACATAAATTGTCTGCGACTTTTATTTAAGTTTATATTTGAAAAGTTTATAAATATGCTTAAACATAGTTTATGTATCCTTAAATATCTGTGGGGGTTTTGTTGTTGTAAAATTTAGTTAATTATTTTCCTTTTTTTCCTCTCATTTATTTAATTATTTATATTTATATATAAAGCGCTGCACATGATCGCAAAACGACATTCTTTAAGCGAAGGCAATAATTTTTTACGGTTAAGTAGGTTAAAGCGGAGCTAAACTGAAACGGTACGGTACTGAAACTGGGCGGGCGGTCGGCCGGCCAATTAGGAGTTAACAGCGCTCACCTGAGCCATTGTGGCACCGCCGGCGGCACCGCCACCACCACCGCCTCGAATTGCAATAGCACCCTGGCCCGCCCGAATGGGTTTGGCAATTTGTGCTTGGGGTCCACGTCGGCCCAGATGCTTCTGTCGCACTGCCTCCTTGATGCGATCCACCTCGTACTGGTAACGTTTGCGATCCCGCATCGCGCCCTCCTTTGCCTCCTTTAGCGCCGTTTCCAGCGCCTTCACACGCTCCATGGTTGTGCGCAGACGCTTCTCAAGCTTGGGCAGCTCACAGCGCAGATCGGCATTGTCGCGCACCAACTGCTTGTGCACCTTGGTCAACTGATCGAGATTGTTCTCCAAAAAGGAGATCTTTTGCTTTTGCGCCAGCGAGCCACCATCCTCCTCGCTCTCCTCATTGACGACATTCTTGCGAATACGTTGCTGCAACAAACAGAATTAACAATTTTAAATTCCTCAAACCCACTAATTGATTTCATTTCATACTTGCAAATCCTGGACAAACAGTTTGCGCAGATTGTGCAACGTTTGCAGCTCCTTGGCGACGGTGTCCTCCAGACCCTTAAGGTCTTTCCGTGCCTGTTCGCGACGCTCGCTGGTCTGAATGATGTCCTGCAGTTTGTTCGATTTATCGGCCTCGTCCTGCTTCACCTTCTCATAGTCGACGGTCATCTGCTGATGGGCGAGCAGCAGCTTCTGATGCACATCCTTCATCTCGTTCATTTCATGCTGCTTGGCAGTGATCTCATCACGCAGCTCCGACACCTGTTTGGTATGCGCCTCGCGCAACTCATCCATTTGCGAGTCGAACATGGAGCGCAACTCCTCGGCCCGTTGCTTTTCCTCGGCATTCACCGCCGACACATGCTCGGCGGCCTTCAGTTTGGCGCACTCCTCGCGCAGCGAATCGTTCTGCTCTTCCAGATTACGCTTCTTATTCTCTGCCTCGCGCATCGACTCCTGTAGCGATTTCATGCGTGCCTCGTGCTGCGAGATTAGCAGTCGATACTCACCGAGATCCTTCTCATACTCGACGATCTTCTTGTTGGAGTCCACGTTTGTGGTCTCCATATTGGAGCAGCGTTGCGCAATGTTCTTTGCCTCCGTTTTAATCTTGCTGATGTAGACGCGGGCCATGGTAAAGTCCTCCTCCAGCTTGGCGGGATCGGTGCCAGCCAGAGCGTTCATCTTGAGATCGATTGCGGAATCGCCGGCCGCTAGGGACTGGCCAACCTCACCCAGATCGCGCAACAGATTGATTAGCAGTTCGGTGATTCGTTTCCTTTGGTGCGTGGACATGTCCTTCAGCTGCTGCAGCTCTGTTGAGGTGGAATTGAATTGAGTTTTGTTCAGATGCAACTCCTCGTTGAGGGCATCGAGATCCTTGTTCTTGTTATCGATCTCCTGCGACTTCTGGTCATAGTTAACGGCCAGCTCCTCAAGGGCCTGCAGCACCTCCTTGACCTCCTCCTTGGCCGATTCGTTCTCCTGCTGGATGCGTGCCATCTCCGACTGCAGTGCTTCATATTCGCGTCGAGCGTTCGCAATGAGCTCCTCTTGCTCCACAACCTGCTCCTTCAGCTGTTCGGCATACTGGCTCTGCTGGTTGATCTCCTCATCCTTATCGTCCAGTTGCTGATAGAGCCGCTCACATTCTGTGGCCAAACGGGCACGCTCATCGGCTGCCACCGAGGCGGACATGTTAGCAATTGCCATGCGCTGAGCGGCCGCCGCTTGAGCGGCACCAGCGGCCTGCGCTGCCGCCTCCACTTCCAAATTGGGTGTGCTGGCCTCCATGAGATCCTCCATATTGATTTGCTCCTCGGCCTTAACCGTTTCGCCGGCACGCCAACGCGCCAACTCCAACTCCAACTTCTCCACCTTGCCCTTGAGTCGTGCATTCTTCTCCTTCTCCTTTTCGTAGCGACGCTTCCACTCCTCGGCTGTAAGCTCCTCGTTGACACACACCACATTTTTCACCGTCTTGGCGCGACGTCCAAAGTCGAGCGTTGACTTCGTCTCCGATTCGTTGAAGCTCGCTGGCGAGCAACAAATGACAATCGTTGTGCGTGCATTGCCACCGAGCGACTCCTGCAGGATACGGGTCAGCTTGGAGTCACGGTATGGTATGTGCGTTTTATTGCCATCAGCCAGCGCCGAAATCACATTTCCCAGCGCCGACAGCGACTTGTTAATGTTCTTCGCCTCATCCAGCACGGTGCCCTCAGCGCCAGTTTTCGATACCTTCTCCGAACCGGCCAAATCCACTAGATACAATTTGCCGGACAATTTTTTTTGATTCTCCAGATTCTCCTGTTTCACATTAATGAGGAATACCGAGTGCGAACGTGATGAATGCTCGTTCATGTCTGTAAGATATTAAAGGCATATTTAGATTCAACTATATTCGAATTAAAGTGCAACTTAAATAAGCACTCATATCGGAAATGCAATCAGTTAAGCTTCAAGCAGGATTTATTGAATACAAGCTTAGCAATTAATCCAGCTCAAATGCTTTAAGTATGATTAATTGAATGATTAATTGTATGTTAAATTGAATTTAAGCATTCGAATCAGTTAAGCTTTTACAGCTCATAAAAAAGGGCTGCTAGTTGATTATCTAATGAATAAGTGCCACTTCAAACTCACTAAATGCATTTATTTTATTTTCTTTTTGTGTTATAAAATAATTGCTCACTTGTCACCGCAATGTGGCGATTGGATTTGCCCTCCTCGATCACCTCGAAGACCTCCTCGGGCGAGGAGACGAATCGCTCTGTGGCGCCCTTGACATAGGGCACACGATTCTTGTCCTCGTGCACACTTAAATTGATCTTGGATACGTCCAATAGATCTCTGATCTTGTCCATATAGATTTCGTAGTACGAGACCTTAATGTGAAACTCCAGATTCTCTTCCATAGCGTAAATGTGATTGAAAATATCGTTCACAATGCGCGGAATGATGCCCTGCTTCACCGTATCGCCAATGACGCCCTCCATTGTGTGCGTCTTGCCGGAGGATGTCTGGCCATAGGCGAATATCGTTCCATTGTAGCCAGCGAGGACATCCGTGACAATCGACTTGGCCGCCTCATTGTATACCTTCTCCTGCGACGCATTCGGCTTGAAGACTTTGTCAAACAGATAGACTTTACCCTAAAAAAAATACACATACACAACTCGTTTGTATTCGTAGCCAAGTAAAATTTTTGTTATATTTTTTTATTTTTTCTTATTTTTCTTTTTGTATGCCGGTAGTAACATGAATCGTCTTCCTCCGACAAAGACCCCCTTCCCTTACTTTGTGCAGCTTTCAAATCATTTTCAACGCATGGCCGCAAAGCGGATCGTAATTATGTGATGAACAGAGTCAGCCGTACAACAAATGAGTGGAACTTGAAATTAATGAATAGCGGCAAGTAGTCGAAAAGAAAGAGCCAAAAGAGAGCAGCAGCAGTGAGCAGTGTGCGCACAACTAAGAAAGATTCACAAGGGAGAGATTGACTGACAGGTACTCTGCCTTTAGGAAGTTAAGGAGCGTAACAGAAATAAATACAGCTGTGATATAGTTATAAATTTACACTCAATTTAGTATTACATTTTATGTAAAATGATTATCTAAAACAACAACTAAAACTAGACCTAGAATGCTTTTCCCAGCTTTTAACAAATATGAATTCATTTTCAGTCTTTTTTGTGTGTCACCCTATGCCACCTGGTCAGTGTTAACACAAAGATTTTCCGGTAAAAACACACACAAATAGGCAAAAGCTTAATCACATTTTAAATATAAAACCCGTAACTTAACTTTGCTGTGTATATTTGTAAATCAAAAATTGTATTTAGATTAAATGCAGCAGCAGTTCAGCTTTTGCAATTAATGACATAAAGGAAAAGAGAGGGACAATCAAAGACACTTAAAAAGCTGATAATGCTGTGTAAAGCAAGAGTATTGACATACACACGCATAAGTAAATAAATATATATATATACATATATTTATATATATATATATATATATATGTGTGTGTGTGTGTACAACAAAGATTTTATAATGGCGGCCAGAAGAAGAGACAGCTGAACTTTTGGGGCATTCATAATAATAATATTCAGTAAAATCGAAATTCCTCTAGTAATACATATTCATTATTGTTATTTACAGTTTTTTGCGGGCTTGCGTGCATGACTCATTTGAGTGGCAGCAGCTGGTGGCAGGCAGGCAGGCAGCAGCAACATTTTGAGGGCGATGTTTTGCTTTGGGGCCACACACACACACACACATCGACTACCTACCCAGGTTTATGTTATAAGAGTTGGGCGGATTGGTAGACAGGTAGTAGAATATGCATATTGTGTATATATATTTACATATTTATATTGCCATATCAAGCCAGTTAACTATGCAAACAAACAAAAAAAAACATGCCAAGTTGCGGACAAATCGCTTGTGGGTGGCACTGCTCACACACACACAGAGAAATAGCAGGTTGCCACTGTGCGTGGAAAATCAATGGAGCGCTGTTATTTTTGCTCCAATAAGGCAACTATTGCATCAATTTAAAAGTTATTTGGGAAAAACAAAATGAGAAATTGCCCAAGACACGCAAAAATTCGAGCACTAATTAGTTAAAATACAAGCACAACACATACATGCATATACACATGTGTGTGTGTTTGTGTGTAATTGCTTACTCTCTTTCACTTGCTCATACCACATTTATATATACATAAATGTGTGTGTGTTTGTATAATTGTGGCGGTAAGGAAAGGCTAACGTACTGCGCTAATGTTAGACAATGTTCGGCATGACGTCACCGCCATAGAACCGCAACGGCACGCAAAATATATGTATGTATGAGTGAGTGTATGTGTGTGTAATTCGTATTTTTAATATTGTTCAATTACCGCTATGGATATGCAATTCTCCTCCACATTGTTTGGAAACTTGACAACAAACTTTGAGCCGGCCTTTTCCTCGCTGTCGTTGAGTGGCCGAAAGCGACAGACGACTTTGATGCTGTCCTCAGCGGGTATTTCACGTTCCGCAGACATTTCAATGCAATATTCCCTCGTCACCCACACACTTTTCCACAATTGCTGTTGTTGTTGCTGTTATTGTTGTAATGACAACAGCAGAGTTGTAGTTGAGTAAACAGTTGTCTCGCAATTTGAATGGTGGATTTACTTTTTAACTTTGACACTCAGTTTTAAAATTCGATGTAAGCGAAGAGGAATACATATGTAATTAAAAATGAACATTCAATGCAAATGAAAACGACGATGACGATGACGATGACGAAGACAGCTACTGATTTGTGACTTCGATTTAGTGTCGAACCGCTCTTTGCTATAAGTGTGCTTGGGTTCTCGCGCACAAATTGAGCCTCGAAATGCAGAGAAAATATTTTTTTTTTTTGTGGTTATACCAGACACCAACCACAATCACAATGAATTGGATGCAAATGTTGTTGGTATCGCTGCTGCAATGGCCCGTATTTATAATAAATCTGGCTTGTATTTTGGCCCGGAATGATTTGCAGCACGTTAAATGCACTCGCATGCGTTGTGCCTTAAAATTTGTTCCACTTAAATTATATTTTTTAGCTTCAATATCACGTTGAATAAAAAATTATTTGTTGGATAGATGGTCGATAGATTGTGGCGGTACATCGATATAATATCGCTCAAATAGCACAAATGCATACAAACGGCAATTGAAGCCATTTTTATTAATTAAACACACCACAAATCTGATAGGTTCACAAATTAAGCTCCAGTGGTTAATATTCTATGAATTGTCTAAGTATTATTAATTAATTAATGGAAATTCGCCATATCGACTTGGCTTTTTTCGTTAAGTGAGTGTATTTCGTTAAGTATCGCTATCAATTCTGACAATTATTCAACACTCACTTTTGAATTTCCTCCCAAATGAACGAACGTTAATTTCAGCAAAATACTGACATATTTTTGGATTGTTGGAAATATATTGTAAAGTAAAGTTAAAATTGCAAGAAATAAACTGGATGCCATAAGAACTATGCTATGGTCTAGTGATAGTAAAGGTTGGATGATTTTCGAAGTTAAAAGTGTCGAAAAATAGTTGTCCCACAAGTAAAATCATGCAATCTAAAGCCATTAAGCCATATGGATGAAATACAAAAAGTAAGCCGTTTATATCGCGCCAACGAATGCCAAAAATTACTGGCTGTGACAACATGGCATTAAATAATTTAATCTTCACTAAATCTCATATTTATAAGGTTGCAACAGATAAATTAATATACATAAATAAAGTAGGCGAGTGACTGATTCCCGCTGTCGTTGTAAAACGGCAGTTTGCTTTCCTGGTAGACGCCCTTCGCCTCGCTTGCGGCGCTCTCGATGAAATGTTCGATCCTTAAGCACTGGCTGTCCAAATATTGCCCATTTTTGCTAAGCAAAACTTTGATAATCGGTTGCAGACAAGCCTTGGCAAATGTAAAGGACTTGGTTGCAAACGCATCGAATCCTTGCTATCGATGCTTCGAAAGGAGACGTTATTGTAATATACCCGCCAGTTCTGAACTTTCCTGCCTCAAAGTACTCATGCAACATTAGCCATGTTGATTTAGACAAATTTCGAATGTCAGCAGAAATGCAGAACAATCAGAAGGAATCCTAAGTCAACCTACTGTAACTATAGCTGTAGTTTTCTTACACACCTCCCCTCCATAGCTGAATTAAATGTATCTCACTAAGTGAAGACTCAGCTGCTTCTATTATTTATGTAAAGGACTCGAATAGCACCCTAAAAATAGTATAAGCACATTTTGGGGCGTTACGCTTCAGTGCTACATGAGGATAAATAATGTTCTGGCATTCCAGTAAGTTGTGTCGTTTTATTGTTTTCCTATCAATGAACTTTTTCTAATTAATTTATGAGTCTTTGCGTAACCATTCAAGCGTGGCTCCCAAAGCAAATTGATTTTAATGGCTTCTTGATTTTCAGAGATCGCAAACTTTTTAAATAAAACATTTCAATATTTTTTTTGTTTTTACTTCTTTAATATATTATTTTTACTTAAGTTCTTATTATGTTGGATCTGTATAAAATATCATATTAAAATGTCAGGAGATCAACCTTTTTGTTTTCCGTATTTATATATATTTAAATATATATATACGTTAATAATATGTCATCCTTTCTCCTGCATATTTGTAAATATTCTCGCTTGATTTTTATTAATTTATTACAATATATCATTAAATATAATGCTACAGCTAGAAGAAAAATCACAAACCTTAAATCTTCGATTCAATGGACACCAAACAACACACTAAAAATAATATATGATATATATATAACAGCTTATTGTCCAAGCTCAAAGCTGCTTTCACTGCCACCAAAGATGGTATAGGCGGCAGCATCCACATCCTCGCCATTGTTGTCCAGCAAATCGCATAGCGCCAGGATATATGATTGAGCCATTTGCAGGGTCTCGAATTTGGACAACTTCTGGTCGATGGAGGGTGCTGGGACAACCTCACGCAACCGATCGAATGCCTCATTTAATCCATTCATGCGCTTCCTCTCGCGAGCATTCGCCGCCTGCCGCCTCCTCTTCTGCACCGTGGGACTGAGCATCAATTGGCTGGGCGCCGACTGCGCACTCAATCTTCGAGCGCGCTTCCTTAGCGGCTGATCCGAGAGACTTTTCTGCATGGTGTGCGCTTCATAGCTGCCAGTTGGCTGCTGCTGTTGCTGCTCTAAGCTGCTGGTTGCGGCATCCAGGAGCTGCCAATCAGGAGATAAGTATGCCACATTGCTGTACTGCTGCTGATGCTGATGCTGGTGCAGCGGCATCAGCGTCAGATTGTAATTGGGACTGCCCAGATACTGTGAGCTATTGTCCTCGTCCGATGAGTAGTAGTGACTCATTGTGGCTCCAGTGCTGCCTCTGCTCGGCTCGAATGTTGCGCTGCAACTGCAACGGACGCACGAGCGGCACGAGCCGGCCAAGCGAAATGATTATGCGCTGCAGTTGGCCTCAAAGCCACCCCATTTGAGTATCTTGAGTATAAATATTTTTACCGCCGCGCTGACCAACTTACGTATATAAGTGTGGCCCGCAAATGACCCCTTGCCCAGGATCTTCATCATTACCATATCAAGGATCGTCAGCAAAGGGGCGGCTCTGACACTCTCCCTCTCACTCTCACTTGGCCAGTTAGGGGTTAGATGCGCGCCCTTTCCCTGTCTTCCTCCCTCTGTCTCTCTCGCTCACGCCTACGACTTTGACCTTTTCATTCATACATGCTGCGCCATTCTCTCTCTCTCTCTCTCGCTCTCTCCTCTTGGCACTGGCACGCGTCATAGCTTGCCAAATTGCCGCTATCATGGCATGTGATCTCTTTTTCTATAATTTGTGACTTTCACGCTCAACAGCACACAGGAGCGAGATGGCCAGTGCCGAGCGAGAGCGAGAGCGAGAGGGGTGAGTTTGAGGATGAGCTACTGTCGACTGTCGACTGGCACATCAATTAACTTGCTGTGGAACTTCTTGCTGCCTCCCGTCTGCTGACCATATGTTGCACTCTGAGCCGCACTGCAACAAGCAACACCATATGGCTCTAAGCCAAGTCGGGATACTAGCTCAGTTCGGTCGGTGGAGTGGCAATAAATGTCCTTTGAACTACCTTTGGGTTACCTTTTTTTTGGTTTTGCTTGGCGTGCCACAGTTGTTCTGCTAGTCCCTTGTTATGATGCGGCGCAAGGGTATTTATGTTTGGCTCAGCACAATTAAATCTAAAGCACTTCTAATCGAGGCCTTAAATTGTCTATTTCACTGATGTGGATACCAACTGGAGTTGAAATAGGTATAGAAAACAAATAAGATTGGAAGAAGATTGCCGATTGAATATAACAATTCCCGACAGTAAACAGTAACAATGAGCATTTTTGGGACAATATAATGAATGTTATAGATAAAATATTTGTTATATATTTATTCAAATCCAGATATAAATATCCCTGTTACGCATCATAATAAGCGATAAAGTTCTAAATAACCGTAGCAATATTCAAATTTCGAGAAAGAATCATTATTGCGCATTCTATCAGGATGAAGAGGCCAGGTTAATAAGTAATCCACTTGGCCCTTAATAATTATAGTTCCCATAATAATTATATAAATACAAACCTTTTTTTCAAGTTATTATTGTGAAATTACTTAAAATTATTGAATCATTAGCTGTAGAGTTGAAGAATTTTGTCTTTTACAGCATAAAGACAAATTGGTGCCAGAAACGCATATCACATATTCACTTGGCTTAATGAAGTCGGTGCGGGAGGGGGGCAGGAAAAGCTATGATTTGTGGTGCGCATGCACCGTTATTGGGGAAGCAGTGTGTTGCCCTGTCGCTCGGCAAATGATTTGTAGAGAAATACGAGACGAGGACACTTCGGGCAACAGCGAATGGCAGCAGCAGCAACAGGACAGAAAACTTTGCCAAAAACTGAAGTGTTGTCGTTTTGAAAAGGAGACCACAGCAACATTGTCCAAGCAGCACTCCAAGCGAGCGATACAAACCAAACCAATAAATAAAAGTGCAATAAGCAGCACTCGAAAAATTCCGAAGCACTCAAAGCAAGGGACACAAACTGAAAAGTGCGAAATGTGTCTGTATTTGGGAGTCGCCGAGAATTTGGTGGATCTGGTTGCCTACTGTGTGTGCCGCCTGATGGAGGCAACTATATTCAGCTTCATGATGATGTGCAGCACGGCCAAGGCCAAGTTGAGCAGCAACAATCAAATCACGATGGTCGAACAATGACCACGAACCATTTTCGCCGCTGGGCAGGAAGAAGGATACATCACCTCAATGTGTTGAGAGACGGATTGTGGGGGGCTCGAACAATGTATAACATTTTGATTTGAGTGGCTTTTCTATAATCTAAATATATATATATGTATGTAATTTTTGGCATAGCATAAATAAATTACAGAGTACATACGTATATCCCATTCAATGCAAATGTATGTGTTGTGTGTGTGAAATTTGTTTGTGTCTGCCTTGGGATTATGTGGTCAGAAGACAGTCGCATTGCCCTTTTGACCAATGGAGCCATAATTTAGCATAACACAGCAAGGATTTACTTGCTGTTGTTTGTGGTTGTTTTGCTTGTTGTTTGCTCAGCCGCTCATTGTACTTGTTAACATTGGCCGGCGGCAGAGCCATTTGCATGATGATAAAGTATCGACTGGGGCTTACACATGTACCAATTTATTTATTTATCTGCTTTGCTCTTACTATATCCCTCTTCCTCTCACTTTGTTACTCTTTGTTTCGGCGCCTGCAAATATGCTACACTTCCGGAAACGATTTTATTACTGTCTCCCCCCCGCACAACCAACCCAATTGTATTCCCTATTCTACAGTTTCAATTTCAGACACTGTTCGGAGCTCAGACTCCGTTTCGCTTCTGCTTCTGGCCATATTTATGTAGTTGTTTACAGCCGTTACTCTCGGCCCGACCTCTGGCAATGGTTAGGCATAAATTTATTGTAATTGTACGTGCAAATTGGAGTAAAGTTTATTGCGCTGGCATACGCATAATGGCCCATTATTATTATGATGGCAAGTACTTTTTCTTTTGGATTGTATGCACATATTTATTCTTATCATAATATGATTAACACTACATGGTTGGCAACAATGTCGCTTCGACGAAGCATTTAACAACTGATTCAAAACAGCGCATGTTGATAATTTGAAGTGTCAACAAATCAGGAGCATATTCTAACACCTATCGCTGATAATAAAAAAAGTCGTGTATAGGTAGTTAAGACTTCATTGATATAGCTTCCATAGCCATTCAATCAGTTTTCTATCAGACACAGAAATGGTTTTATCAGGTCAGCGGATTTATCTTCTTCAATCAGAAATATCTTATTCTTCACAAGTTTATAAAAGTCACTTTAATAACATTTCAGGTTGATTTCTTTTAAAAATTCGTTCAAAATTTGAAAGACAGTTAGCAGCAGACACATACGCTGGTATAGACCATAAGACAGTTAGCAGCAGACACATACGCTGGTATAGACCATAAATGATTAATTGTCAGAATTATTGGAATTATGCAGAGGATTACGATAGTAAAATTGGTTTTCTTTTTACTCTTTTTCAATGAAATACATCAAATATAGCCTTAAATAGGAAACTTTGTGTTTTGTGTAATTGTTAACGTTTGGAATCAGAATTTAGAATGCGAAGTTAATTCATTGTAGTCGCCTTGTAGCTCCCACTCCCAAACTCCCAAATTCTCCCAAGCGGCCCAGTTCGACCCGACGCAGAATGAATTCGCAGCGCACTGTTAAAACGAGGTCCACACAGACGGCCCGCCAGCCGGAACCACCAAGAATATGTGTGCCCCTGCAGATTGTGGATGATGATGGGAAGATGCGCTACTGCTACCATGGCGGTAAATGCAAATGCGAAAACTGCCGGATCACATGGCAAGCTCTGCGGGACGAACTGGACCGCAATCTGGATGCATTCATTCCGAACGATCGCCTCAAGCTGGAACCGGGCATCCGCCACGCCAAACAGAAGCCATACAGACTGGACGCAACTCGCGTTTCACCCGAAATGGAGAAAATGTTACTCGAGGATCACGTTAAGCTTACGACGGAAATTCCGATTTATTATCTACCCGACAAATATTATGTTAAGAATGCTTGGCGACTTGAGGGTCCCCAGCAGAAGGGCACTCAAACCGAAATAGTCATTGGCGGCTTCGGTATCGACGGTTGTCCCTGTCCGGACAAGACTGTTTGCTGGGACATCTAATTATTTAACAAAAACAAAAACAAAATCAATAACTATTTGAATAAATGGGTTGGGATGCAAAAACTAAGAGCTGTGAGTGTAATCTTTGATTTAGTTGATGTGTCTTAAAGCTCAACAGGATGAACCTAGTGAAATAGTGCCTCTCTAGCATAGCACATAGCAAAAAAAATTATCATGTATCCGGCTTCAACCAGTTTAAAAACAATACTGTTTTGATATATCTAAGTGACTTATGGAAAATATATATTTAAATTATATATATTATTTAAATTAGTTTTTCGCAACCAAATTGGCGCATTGAACGCAGCTGGAGAACAATGCTAAAAGCCCAGAGCCGATCGCTACTGCTGAAGAAAGCAGCATATCCTGTGGCCTGGCGTCGCAACTGGGCCGATACATCCAACATAACGGGTGTCAATGCGTTCATGGCCAAAGGAGACATACGCACAGAGAGTGTGAGTGTGTTGCCCAAAACCCAATACGGCGGAATTACGCACGTAACTTTGCTGTGTGGCGAAACCATCATTGGTAAAATGGGCGCCAAATATGTAAAATCGCTGATGAGCAGCTCTCGCGTCCCAGTGGATACACAGCGCATCTTTGTGGATCAGGGCGACGAGTATTTTAATTCGGTGCTGCGCAACCGGGCGGCGATACATGTGGATATTGTGCACGATGCACAGCATAAGAAGCAATCACTCAAAATGTGCAACGATCTGGATCTGTATGTGTTCCTGACGAACCTGCGAACCTTTCCCGGCTTCAATTGTCGCTTCCCCGATGTTGACATTCAGTTGATTGCCCAGAACAATAAGGGTAATTACGCGGAACTGGAGTACTCGCCCGTCGAGGGAGTCGTTGAGGGACTGCGTGTCGTTGTCAGTTCGGACATTGAGCGATTTTTAAGATTTGCCTTCCGGGAGGTAATGGCGAAGAAGCGCCAAAAAGTGACCCTTGTGCACAAATCATCCGAGTGGCCAAAGACGGAGGGCGTTTTGCTCGATATGGCTCACCATCTTCAGAAGACGGAATTTCCGGATATTAAGCTAGAGCCGATGGAGCTGGACAAATGCGTTGCCCGCTTAATAGTCGATCCGCAGTATTTTGATGTACTTGTGACCAGTGATCTCTACGGCACGTTCATGGCCACCATTTGTAGCGCCATTTGTGGGGGCGCCAATCTCTTCTCCTCGACTGAGATCGGCGAACATCATGCGGTCTTCAAGCCGCTGCAAACGAAATTATCGCTAACCAACTACAAGGTACTCAGTCCGTATGGCATTGTGTCCACCTGTGTGGATCTGATGCACCATCTGGGTCACGATGATTGCGCAAATGCGCTTTGGCGCGAAATGATTCGCACCATGAACGAGGGCATTAAAACTGTCGATTTTAAAGGCACCGATCGAGGCGAATATGTTATTTGCAACATTATGAACAAGCTGCTGTGCAACATGTTTACTGGAATGAAAGATTAAGCAGATCAATGTCGCACTACATTTATTTTGAACAGTTTAGGATTATAATCAAACAACTAACAATAACAAACAGAATTAAAGTGGAATAATCAAAAATTGCGTCTCGAGATTGTGCATTTGCGCTGAGCAAAAAATAAATAAATTAGAAATACTAAAATGTCATTCGTATATTCTTTGGGACTCACCTGCTCCTCATCGGTGCGCAGATGGCTTTGGCTTTTCAGCATTTTCCAGTCCTCGGTGAAGGTCACCAGTTCCACAATTTGCTTGAAGGATACACTCTTTGTCACCTTTGCTTTTCCGTAGACTCCTTTGCCCTTCTTATTCTTCTTGGCGTATTTCATATAATCGTAGACGATCGGCTCCTCCACCTCCGTCTCAGTCGGGATGGCAGATTGGTCAGCATTCAATTTTGTTGCACCACAGTCCGGTTTGTTTGGCATATCACATTTATTTTCAGCCATACTCAATCCATTGGAAATTTGGTCCAAACTACTTAGTAGATATAGTCAGTCTGCTTAAATTTTGATTTGTAGCCCAAAACTAAATAGATGGGGCCTTTGAAATATTGACTGCAATTAAAACTAGTCAATTTTATAAGAAAGGAAGGCACGCTTTGATATTAATCACCGATTACACCTGTGGGTGCAGTGGTATTCTATATATCTCCCATAGGAATAATCAGGCAATTCTTGTGATAGCATATATTTTGTTATAAAATATATTTGGCAAAATGCAAAATGTGAAAAATGGAACTGGCAACAATGGGTTAAAATGATTCAAATGACTTTTTCACTTGCGTTATCTATTCAGATAGCAATCAGACATTTGTTTATCATCACATATATAATCGGTGTCCTACAAAGCTTTTCGGACAGTCTGCTTAAAACCTTTCCACGCAGCTAACCATTTTGATCAGAGTTACTTTTGAAAATGTCGCTGATTGTTGAGAATGAAATCGAATGGCTAAAAACCAGCATCCTGACGGAGATCTTGCGCAACGGAAGATTGCTGGACAACTACTCTGAATCAATGGCAAACACATTTCAAGTGGATAACATTCAAATCAAATTAATCGGTCCAGAGGAGGCCTACATGTTGACCATATGCTATAGAGCAACCATCGACTTTAAATATGCAGGCGAACAACAACAGAGGAAGCTAATTATTAAGGTAAGAGTATACCAGGAAAATATTTCAGCAATATATTAAATAGTATTAAATAGTAATAATGTTCGTGATATATAAATATTTTACTGTGTGCACGCAAGATGATTATAAAAGTAAAACAAGCGTAAACAATAGATATAAGATTACGTGATGATAAACAAAATAGCTGAAAGATTCATTTATGTTCACAGAGAACGCCAAAGATATCCCGCGACTTATATGACTCGTTGCAATTTTATTATCTGTTCAACAATGAAGTCAACTTCTACACCGAGATACTGCCAGTTATCCAAATGCAAACCAAAGGCCAATTTACTGCTCCAAAATATTATCACAGCGAGATCAATGCGAATTCAGCGTTTATAATTCTAGGCGATTTTGCGATGGATGGTTGGAGTGTGACCAAGGACAGAGTTGGACTCAGTTTGGAGCATGCTCGCATTGCAGGTGGGATACAGTTCAAAATAAACTCATTCCATTTTTTTATTATAGATTTCTATTTATTCAGTCAAGTATCTGGGCAAATTTCATGGCTTTGGTTACGTCACGAAGCACACTGAAGCGGAGCGATTTAAGCAGATAACGAGCAAGTTAATGGAAGCTCGATTTGGCGGCACAGTGTGCACGGAATGGGGCTTGATGCAAAAGGCCAGTGTCAAGCGAGCGGAGAGAGCAACAAGCAAATACCAGCCACAAGTGGATAAGGATTTCATCAGAAAGTTTCAGCAACTTACTTTCGATTTCAGACACTACGGACGCCAGCGAGTGGCGCCAAGAGAACCCCTCGCGACCCTCTGCCACGGCGATTATCTGAGGAATAACGTGGCGTATATGTATGATACGGACAGTAGTGGGAATCCGCTGGATATCATGATGTTTGACTATCAGACGATGCGATTATCTTCGCCCATGATCGATCTATCCGTATTCCTGGCGATTTCCCTCTTTGCAGATGTGCGCTACAAATACTTCGATAGCCTTTTTGATGATTACTGCAATGCGCTCTTTGAGAGCTATAAACAATATTCCAGCCAATCACTTCCAGCGTTCTTGAAGTACGTTTATATCTACAAGAATCAAAACTATATAAATTAAATTTACAAAATGTTCTCTTGCAGTCGCGAAGATTTACTGAAGGAGTACATACGTTTTTTGCCATATTCTGTGTCAATTACGGGTTACTTTCTGTATTCCCTCGTTGATCCTCCAACAATTACACCCGGGGATATGTTTAACGTGAAGCAAACCGATGAGGAGATTGTTAAGCACGCCATGGAGCATGGTGGCGAAATTGTGGATCGTGAGATTGCACATCAAATAAAGGAAATGTTCGAGCTAAGCCTTTTGCACGATGTTCAAATCGATGAAGATATTGATAGCAGTGATTGGATGGATAGCGCATTCAAATTGTTAACAGACAAAAAAACACTTTTTGATTTGAATTAAATTATAATGAATCCAAAAATATAATTGCTATAAAATACGCGCAAGCTTAAAAGTCGGCTGTATTTTTTTTACACTCAACTCTCTTCGCATTTGAAATGTTCTATGCAAACCAGTAATTTATAATTATAGGCTCTCCCTCCGCTGGCCTTGCCTGTCAATGTAATTTGTCGAATCTTGTCTCAAAATAGGGAGAGCACACACTAATTTTCTATTTGAGCATTTGTGTGAGCGATTCAATTACATTCAAAAATTCATTCAATTACAAACAAAACTGACGAAAATCAAACGAAATCAAATACAAACAAAAATAATCAAAGACACAGATAAAAAAAATGTATATATGTGTTCGACAATCAAATATAAACAAAAATAGTCTAAGATACAGATAAAAAAAATATGTTAATATGTGTTCGACAATCATTGTTTATAACGAGCGTCGACAACTGGCCGAGCGACTAGTTGAATAAAATTCGTGAAGCCGAGCAGTTCTCAAGATACTCTCTCGTAAATGGCGTTGATCGTTGATAAGGAAATCGAGTGGCTGACAAATTGTGTTTTGCCGGAGATTCTGAAAAATGGACGCCTGGTTGACAATTACAATGAGTCGCAATTCAATACATTTAAGGTGGGGACTATTCAAATCGCCGTAATCGGGATCGAAGAGGCGTTCATGTTGACCCAGTGCTACCGAGCATCAATTAATTTTGATTTCGCTGGCAAACAGCAGCAAGTTAAATTGGTTGTCAAGGTGTGAATACAAATACAAATAAATATATTAAGCTTGCATGTCACAGATTTTTACCTGACTTTTTTTTTAACAAGCAATATGCAGTTATTGTAATAATATATTTATATTTGTTGTACACACAGAAAACGCCTGAGATATCGACGGAAGATTACAATGATGCACAGTTTGATGATCTTTTCCACAATGAAGTGGTCTTCTACACCGAAATACTGCCACTAATCCAACAGCTGAGCGGTGGAAACTTTGGTGCACCCAAGTATTATTACAGCGAGATCAAATCGAACTCAGCATTGATAATCCTGGGCGACTTTGCAACGGATGGTTGGAGTGTGACCAAGGACAGGTTTAATCTAAGCCTGGAGCATGTGCGCATTGCAGGTTAGCCACGAATCAGAGTTAATCAAGTAATCAAACTAAATATTGCTTATCTTTTCAGTTAAATACTTGGGCAAATTCCATGGCTTCGGCTATGCAATGAAGAATAATGAAAACAAGCGTTTTCAGCAGCTAACGAAAGAGTTTAGAGAATCACGTTTTACCAGTGATTCAATGAATCCAATGTGGGATTTAACATTGAAAACTGGACTAAAGCGTGCACTCAAAGCAACTAACAAATACCATCCAGATGTTGATATGGATTTTGTCAAGAAATTTCAGCAATTGGTATTCAGCTATGTGGGTTATGGACGCCAGCGTGTGGCGCCCAAGGAACCCTTCTCCACTATCTGCCACGGCGATTATCTGAGGAATAACGTGGCCTATAAGTATGATACGGACAGCAGTGGGAATCCGCTGGATATCATGATGTTTGACTATCAGACGGTGCGATTATCTTCGCCCATGATCGATCTATCCGTATTTCTGGCCTGCTCTGTCTTTGCAGATGTGCGTTACAAGCACTTTGATAGTATTTTCGATGATTACTGCAATGCGCTCTTTGAGAGCTATACGAAGCAGTCGAATCAACCGCTTCCCGAATTCTTAAAGTAAGTAAGATGACTTGAAGATTTTAACTTATATATTAATGTGTGTGTTGCAGTCGACAGAATATGCTGAATGAGTACGTACGATTTTTACCGTACTCAATTAGCATTTCGTCATCCTTCCTAATGATGCTGGTGGATCCACCTCAAAATACACCAGCAGAACTGTTTTTGATGCAAACAACAGAGGAGGATATCATAAACAATTGCATGACGCAGGGTGGCGAAATTGTAGATCGTGAAATCGCACACCAGTTAAAGGAAATGTTTGACCTGAGTCGCTTACACAATGTCGAAATCGATGAAGATATTGATAGCAGTGCGTGGATTAACAGTGTGGTTTTAGAATAACTAGCAAACTCACGATGAGTTGAATTTTACGGCACATTGTGAACCGATAAAAAAAAAACAGTTTGGCATTGGCAGCGACGAAAATAACTTCCGAACTAAAACTGTTGTTTGTTTATACTACGGGTTATTGGTGATAATTTTGCTTATATTGCGATGGAGAGTCGTTTAATATTGATCAAAATAGTTAAATAAAAAAAATAAAACAAAGAAATATTTATGTCTGAATTTTAATATTGTTGTGATTTGCATGCATTTACATCAGCTGATTAGGAAAGCACATGTGAGGCGCCCGGCTGGTGGGCACCACTGTTCTATATAATCTGGCAGCACTATGCATAGTAGTCTGGCAGCACAATTATTTCCAGTCTGGCAGCACGCTTATTTCCAGTCTGGCAGCACACTTATTTACAGTCTAGCAACACTGTGCTTTATAGTCGGTCATCACTGAGCTCATTAGTCTGGCAACACTGTGTCTTATAGTCTGGCAGCACACTTATTTATATTCTGGCAACACTCTTATATACAGTCTGGCAGCACCATCAAACATACGTTCAGCCGGACAAGTTCCTGTTGATTTCATTAAGAAAAAAAAGATGTTCCAACCCAGCAGGCAGCAAGTTCTGCGTCTCTATAAACATCTCATAAAATACGGCAATCACTTAAAGCTTACGGATAAGAACTACTTCTTGGGTCGAGTGCGACACGAGTTCCGCCAAAATCGCCACCTAATAGATCCACCAGCAATTGAGTTCAACTTCAAGGTAAGTTCACATTTTCTTATATCACTTAAAAAAGAAAACTCAGTCGTATTTTTATAGCTCGGCGAGACATTGCTAAAGAAAGGCCGCATTCTCTAGTAATGCTGCAATTGCGATCTTTGGCTGCTGTTCTCTCCAGCAGCCTGTGCCACCGTCTGGCCTCCAATAATGCTCATTTGGATTATTCCCGATATCCAAGTCTCCAGGAATCTGACATCGAGGAAACGCTTATGCGCGGCAGCGGTCCCGGCGGACAAGCGGTGAACAAAACCAACAACTGTGTCTTCCTGCGACATCTGCCCACTGGCCTAACCGTCAAGTGTCATCTGCACCGTTTGGCCTCCAAGAATCGCATAGAGGCACGCAAAATACTGTTGGACAAGCTCGACGCCCACCTAAATGGAGAACAGTCGATTGCAGCACAGTTGAAAGTATTTGATCAGAAGAAATCCTCGGAGCGCAAGCGTCGCCAGGGCAAACTGCAGGAGATGAAAAAGATGTGGCAGAGTCGTGAAATGTCAAATGTTGACGGGGAGACTGAAAAGTGAAAGAGATTTGTGTGCATGGTAAAAAGATTTGTTTATTAAAGCTCAGAGCTACCAACTGGAGAAATTGCTGAAGCCATTAGCAGTTTTTTTCTTTTTCGCTGCAGGGGCTTTGGTGGATTCTGCTTTTGTAGGTGCACTTGGCTTAAGGTACTTGCCCACACCCTCGCGATAAACCTTGAGCGGTTCGTTTAGGCGTTTTTGCTGCGCTAGCTTTGTGGCCTCCAGCTGTTTACTGGCAGCTTCCTCTGCTCGCTCTTTGGCCAACTGCTCGACAGCTTCCTCGAATGGATTGACAAATACCTGAGAATTCTCTATAATGATATCTTCAATGGGTCTGTCCTTGTTGTCCACCTCGATATTCTCCATTTTCTGCAGCGTCTCCAATCCGCCAACCAGTTTGCCAAAGATCGTATGCTTCCCGTCAAGCTGCTTGCACGAGCGATAAGTAATAAAGCTGCAAAGAAGTTGTTGTGAACAAGAGTGGATGAAGTTAATGTTGCAAGTGTTGCAACTGTCACTTACAACTGGGAGCCATTTGTGTTGGGCCCCGAATTAGCCATTGAGAGCACACCACGTCCTGTGTGCGTCAAATTCGGCTTGAATTCGTCCTCGAACATATTACCCCAAATTGATTTACCACCCGAACCGGTGCCTGTAGGATCACCGCCTTGTATCTGAGGAATGAAAACAAATTTATCTTTCTATTACATTATCAACTGATGGCGACTCACAATGAAGTTTCTTATAGATCGATGGAAAAGGACATTGTTATAATAACCATCTGCGCAATGTTTGATGAAATTGTCGCAAGTGCGAGGCGCTTGGTCGCAATACAATTCCAGGTTGAGCGGACCAAAATTTGTATTGAGGCGCACGTAGCCCTTCTTCTTGACCCGTTCGTACTTGACAAGATCATCGTCAATGATGGCTGCCTCGATCTGCGACACGGGCATCATAGCAGTGGACGTAAAGCTGGCTGCAACTGCGCCCGTCGAATAGTGAGCGGCATTAAATTTGTCCGCAGTGCGTCGCGAGCCGGACGGAATCTCCTCTGCTGGCTGGTAGTCTTTCTGCAGCTGGGCAAGCGTCTCTTTCGTTTCTAGATTCATTGTTTTGATGCGCCCCTGGGGATCCTTGCGTTCCAGCTGCTCTTCCTCGGTGAGGACTCGTAGATTTTTGCGAATATGATAGAATTTCGATATGTCATACTTTTCCAAATGTTGCGGATCCTGTATGGTGATTATATCCTTGCGTTGGAAGGGTGTGTCATCAATCAAATCCTTCCAGTTCTTGGTCTTAATGTTCAGCTGATCGATCGCCTCCCAGCAGTAAACGTTGCCCGTAGTTCCCACGGCTACGATGTGCGAGTTTTTGCTGAATGGCTTAAACAGAGCTGGGCAATGGTATTCATCGTTGGCGTTCTTGTGAAAGTTCAGCTTAATCAAGGACTTTGAATCTATTTTTTGGCCAGTTATCGGATTTAATTTGAACTTTTTGAGGAACGTCAATATGGCCTCGTACTCGAAGACATTGCCATTGAGATCACAATATGGCATCTCAAAGGGTGCCATGGTTATACAACAATTACCAAATGGCAAACGTTTAAATTTAATATGCTCATTTTCCAAGGATTCCGTTTTTTTGCCACCATAAAACTCGCTCCACTCGGTGTATGTTAAATACCTGCACGAAATGTTGCATGTAATTTAAGCCGTTTATATTGCAACTATATAGCTTACATTTTATCCTTCTGATGCTGTCGTTTACCCATTTTGGCTGCTTCTTATTTGTAGTTACGAATAATGAATAAATGAAAACAATTCGCGAGATGCTGTTGAATCCAGTGAAAGACCGATAATTATTATGCTCGATTAGTTATGTTGTTCGTGGTAGTATGTCGATTATTCATCAAAAGCAACTTTAGAAAGCAGCTGTGAAATGTTGTGGTCACACTATTTATCCAAGGCGAAGCCGCGTCAAATTTGTTATTGTTTATTATAAATCCCCACAGCAATGTCGCATTCGATTAAAAAACCTGCATCAGAACCAAATATTGAGGAAGCATTTAATAGGCACAGCCCAATTGCGGCTAAAGTAAAGGCGGAATATAATCAATCGCTCATGGAAATGTTTGCAGACATGGAGCAAGTTTTTGTTGGTTTTGATTCGACAAACAGGCTGACTTATAAAGTTTTTTATTTTATGTAAATTTTCAGTCCAGTGTGCTTGGAGCCGTTTGCAGCCATTCTATTGGAGCATGAGAATACAATTCTCAGCAAGGATACTTTGATCGAACGTATGCGCTCAAAAATGACCCATGTGCTGCTCAATATATACGAGAACTTTTTTGTTGCCCACGATGTGGGCAATAAACTGATTACCCTGGAGGTTCTGAAGGAAAAATTCGAGCCCCTTAAAAGCACCAACTGGTAGGCGGAGATCGTTGATCGTTTCTTATATCAATAAAATAAACCAAAAAAATCATTGTAATTTTGTAGGAACGTTAACAAATTAACGCCAGAGGAGCGGACAAGACCGGTGCGCATGCGGCTGATGGATTCAAGCATTCGATTTATTGAAAAACAGCTAAACTCACAGGAAAAGGCTTTAGGGGTCTGTGATTCCTCAGCAAGAACAATTCAAATCTTCAGATCTTACAATGTTTTTCTTTGTGCTCTCAGATTGCCCTGGCGAAGAGCAGAGAGAATCGGGAGCGTTTACAGAATATTCAAAATGAGCGTGTGAAAACCTACGCCTTGTTGCATCAGCAGATGGATTACTACAAGGAAATGAGCCCTAAGCTAATGGAACTAAACAAATTAATGATAGGCAAAAAATCAATTGAATAGTTTTAATATCGATAAGTTCAACTATCATTTTTAATACCTAAATAAACAATTTTAAATATAACCGAAATTTTCAAGAATTTACCACACCTATCGAAAATGTAATTAAATTGTTTGATCGATCAACATAACAGCCCACTTTTAACAGATTTACATCAGGATAGCAGCAGCTGCACAAAATCCGTAATTCGCTGTTCATGTTAAATCGTATCCATTACAATTCTTTCATTATCCCGAACAACATCATTCCGCGCTCGGCTTTAGAATTTGTTCCTTATTTTGTGAGGATAATTTACAATTCGAAGATAATATTGGCAGGATATGTTACAGTTCCTCTTGACTATCAGCAATGTATTAGGATATTTATTTTTTGTTAAGCAAATCTTCAGTTTTTCGGCTGTGGTTAGTGTCAATTCTTTTTATTTGACAAGCATTGCACTCTTCACGGCCGGATAAATGAGGGTCTATGTTAAACAAAATTAATAAAAGTGTTAAATTTGCAGTTCGTGTTTAGTGTTTTTTCCCGCTTAAGCATCTTGCAATTTATATGGCTTGCAGTTATCTGCATTAACCATTTTCAGGATGGAAGCTGTGACAATATGTAGGTTTTAATTAATTTATATTTCATATATTGCACACCTCCCGGCCTATAAATGATTCTTGAGCTCCTCGATTTTGTTTATATATCTAAAGTGTTGAAAATTGGAAAGCGTCAACTAATTGTGGACATTTTTAGGTCGTGATGTGCGCAAATATGTTTGTATACATTATTTTAATCATATTGCACATATCCCGGCCTATAGGTGTGACTGCAAAATTCTGCAAATATAAATATCGCTTTTGTATGTATGTATAATTTGTACAAAAATCAAGTCCCGTTAAGTCGACGATCTAGTATTCAGAACAGCGAGTGCGAACGAGACAAATATATATATTGTCAAGCAATATCTGTTTGACGGTTAGCTTTTATGCCGACTATTTCTGAGTGTGCTTTGGACGCACTTTTCTTAGCATTTGCTTGCACTTTGATTTTCGTTCGGATATATGTGTGTGTATCTGTATGCATGCAGACATGTAGAACTATATATGAATGTGTTTGTACTTTGATAGCTGTTTTTGCCATATACATGCATATATAAACACATCTTAATATATTTAAAATATTATAGTTGATAGAATTGATCAAATTATTTAAATAACAAGCATCAATTTATATTATTATATATAAAGTAATAAAGGTAAATGAGAAAGAATGTATGGAGCGATTTAAAATTTCAACGATTTTTTTTTGTGCTGGCGCCATCTGTAGTGAATTTTTAAAAGTGGTTGCACAGCCAACTTAATGCTTGCAGCAAAAACTGCAACCATTTGTAATTAGGCTAGTCCGCATAACTGACTGTAAAATCTGTACATATTAATTTGAGTTAACAGACTGAAAAGCGCGCACATTGAATGTTAATAGATATTCAAATTTAAAATAAAATTCATATTTTAATGATATGCACAGAGTGAAAATTTTATCATTGCATCATTAAATTAGAAAATTTCAACCAAATTAATTATTAATTTTATTTACAGCTGTGCAATACAAAAAATAGTCTTCATTTATGACCTTTATTAATAAGCATAAATTCAATAAGCATAGTTACTTTGTGCGCTTCGTTGACTGTATTTATTTGCACGTCATTTACCGTTTGTTGTTAGCCACTCACCCACTCCTCACTTCCTTTTCGGCCAGCTTGGTTAATGATAGGCGCAAGCTTTTTACTGGTCATTGGTTTGGAAAACTAACAAGAAAATACTACAACGAATAATATGTTAGCCTGGCCTGCCCAGCAATAAACATCGAGAGCGTAAAGTGCATTTTGTGTGGAGCACACGCGCGTCCAGCAAGTGTGAAATTGAGTGCATATAACATGGCATAATGGCCATAATGGCCATAAGCCCGCTTCAAGCACCAATTTCGAGGCAAATGCCTTTGACTTGGGTGCCCAACTTGACTGGCGGCAACTGCACCAGATGACCACCAAAAGAACGGTTCTGCCTGCTTGAAGGTGTTGCAAACCGCGAAAGCGGAAGTCGTCGTCGCGTACAGTGAACTCTCGTATGACGAACTTTAATTTGTTAGCATTTGATGCTTTTGTTAGATTAGCTAAGTTTGAGTCTTGATGTGAGAACCTTCATTCTGATGGCGACAATAATTAAATGTTTGCTTTGACAACAACACACAGCCAGCCAGGCAGATAACAGCAAAAAAAAAGACAGTCAACAACAATAATAACAGCAATAATGCCAGCAGCTGCTGTGCGCTACAATAACAAAAGGCAAGTTTATGTAATTACTTGTACAACAACAACAATAACAAAATAAAAAAAACGGAGCTCCCACAATTTCTCATTTTAGTCATTGGCAGCCGGCTGATTTTAATCTGATTCTCGATCGTAAAAATGCGAGAGAGAGCGCAAGAGCGATCCTTTAAGCATGGCTGCCGCACGCTCTCTTACTCTCTCTCTCTCTCTCTCTCTCTCTCTCTCTCTCTTTCTCTCTTTCTCGTGCACACCAAATCTGCGTAGCTTTTGCCCACCGATAGCTTTTTTTTTTGGATGAAAGAAAGCCAAATTTGCAGGCTGTTAATTTAGCAGACTTCAATTTTGCATGCTTTTAAGTACTTACTTTATTATTAGAAGCGACAGCTGCTCTTCCCTAACTATACTAAAAAGCCTTGGAGTGACCCTCAAAAGCCCCGTACAGTGGCTACAACGGCTGAACGGAGCGCACAACAAGAGAAGCAGCAGCAGCAGACGTCACGTCAAGTTGCGCAGGCGTAAGCCAAGTCGAGAATTCAATTGATGCTCGGCTGAGCGGCGAATATGAGTATTCAGTTACCTTGCGACCAGCGTGCGGCTTGGACGTGTGTTCGTCGTGGTGTTCAAGCGTGTTAAGTTAGGCGCAATCGTCCAGTGCAGTGTGTGTGCTTCTCTCTCTGTTTGCGTGTGAGTGTGTGTGAGTGTTTCTGTTTTTATTTGCTCGTTGATTTGTTGAGTTTTTGACGTTTTCGACGTTTACCACACTAACCGTTGGCCGGCAGCCTCGGCCACTACTTGACTGGCATTCTCTTTAGCACTTCAGCTTTTGTTTCATAATACAAATCGATATGCATATGTATATATGTCTGTGTGTGTGCCTGTGTTTATGTGTGTGTGTGTGAGTGTGTGTATGTGAGACTGTAAAGAATATATTGAAATGAAATTGTGTGGAGTATGCGCCGTTATTTTATATTCACAGTGTGCAATCGAATAATACAATATTATTAATAAATGGCGTTTGTCTTTCCGTTTCTACTAATTAGCGGCAAGTTTTAGTGGCGACGAAAATGTTTGCAACGCAACAACAACTAAAGCTATGGCAGACTTTATGCCTGGCTACATTCGTATTTTGTGGATTAGCACATGCAAAAGGTAAGTTAAATATTCAAAAACATAAAAACAATTGGCTTATATGGTCAAATGCAAAAAAGCTTTTAACACAACTGCAATTAAGTTTTGCCTCTCTCATTCACACTCAGAGAGATATATTTACGTACACAGCTTAAGCTCATGATGTCATTTTTGTGCGCAATGAAATACGAAAATGTTTATTTCGCCGCAAAACTGACCCCGTTTTCGCTTGAACAACGCTCGTGTTTTGCGGCTATTTTGTGATGCTAAACGATCTTAAACTTGTGCGGGGGTGTTTTAATCTGTGTACGTGTATAGGTGTGTGTGTGTGAGGGGGTGCTTTTAACGGTTTTTTAGGACAGCAAAAAAAAATCAAAACAAATCAAATGACTGTGGCACCGAACTTGTAGCTAATAAAGCTGCTGGTCTCTCAAGTGTGGGCCCAGCTATTTGCTGCCATGATTCACTCACTGCCTGTCCATTCCTTATAAGACGACACAGCACACAACACACAATATACGACAAGACAAGACAAGAGAAGACAAGAGAACCACCTCACCCACCAGCAGCAGCGACCAGCGCTCATAAGCTCATGCATATTCACACACAAAAAAACAAAGACTCACACATTAGTCATTAGCTGCTGCAAGTTGCCATACAGAGTCAAAGGCAAAGCCAAAGGCTGGCAAACAAAAGCGGCTAAAACAAAAGAGCAACACGACGAAGACAACAACAAAAACAACACAGCATTAACAACAAAATGAAAAGAAAAAAAAATACACCTACACAAGCCACACAAACACAGGAAGGGCAACATGACACGCTGAAAATAAACAAAAAAAACTATATATCAACAGATAGTAAAGCAATATTGAGCACTGAAATACCCTAGGCACAAAATGTGCAAATGTGCATAAATTATATAACAGAATATGAGCTACAAACTTCTGCCTAATGGGCAAAACCTGACTGAAAAATTATAAAAGAGAAGCTAAAACTAAATTTAAATTACTCAGAATGTGCTCACTAAAATTAATTAAGCATGTGCATTAAACAATCGTGTTCATTAGAGTTCATTCTAAAATTGTTTTAATAACCATTTTAGTGTAGGGCATAAAAACAACATGGCACCAGATAAAATCAAAGCCGAAAGGGAGATAGCGAGACAGATAGAGAGAGAAGGCGAAATTTATGCCCACACTCGATACAATATGATGCATCAAATATATATATATATATATAGATATATACATATATGTATGTTTTCAGACGTGTTGTGGTGTGATTATTAAAAGGCAATCATGCGCTCATGGGCCAAGCCAAGACTCACTTATTTTACTTATTGTAAGTACAGCACAAGACAAAATAAAAAAATAAAATAAGAGAAAAAAGAACACGCGGCCAATGGGCGCATGACATTGGCCTTTGTGCGAGTGAGTGCTGCCTGCTACCTGACCATATACGAAAAATAAAAGCCAAGCAGCTTTATTTATAAACGCGATACTCAAGTGCAAAAATTGCGCAAAAATGAAGCGATAAAAAAGCGCGACACTCGGCGTGTAGGCGAAACAGGTCTCAATTGAGTTGGTTAAAAACAAAATGCAGCCTAATGTACACAAACAGCCAACAGATACATTGACATCAACAGAAACAGATACAAATATATATTTTTTCTATATATATATATATAAATTTATGTATGTCTATGTTATATATTATGTGGTCTGTCTGTACAAGTCTCTGAGCAGCTGCTGCTGCGGCTATAATTTATGAGAGAGTCTCGCGAGAACTGAGCGACAGTCTCGAGTAGCTTCAGAGTACGGCTCTATAGCTGGCGGGACAGGCAGCTGTGGCAGACAACAACAGAAAGCAACAGCAGCAGCAGCTAAAGCTGAAAGCTAAATTACTGGGCTGGCAGCGTGGGGCGTGCCTGGAACATAGCAACAACAAGAAACTCCAAAGCGAAACTTTTGTGTTTTGCGTCTGCATTAGAAAAAGTAAAAGTTACCAAAAGGCAATTGGAAACTTATCAAAGCATTGTTTTTAGATCTCAAAAGAGATCTGATAACTGAGTTGTGAGATTGCAATTTGGTGATCTTGCTAATGTGATTTTACACTTCAATAGATGAAAACGATCTTGGGTCATTAATTAAAACGTTAAACAAAAAGTCAACTAATAAAAAAATCACCTTTGAAAAAATCGTTAATAATGAAGAATTTATAGAAACCGTAGTTGTATATATTTTAAGTATTTAGCATAGAACCTTTCAGAAACTCGAATCATTCGCTAGCTAAAGTCATCATTTCAACTGAAGTCATTTCAGGCTTGAGCGACCACTTTATTTAAGTGTTAGTTAAACAATTCGTTGTATTGTTGTGGCGGCTCGTCACAGTTTTTGAAACTTAGCGTGGATGATCTCATTGACTTGTAGCTTATGGCCTTAAATAAAAACTTCACAGCTGAGCACACAATGCCACAGTCCGCAGCGCTTGCCTATTTAACTAACTGCAAGGCAAAAGGAAACTGACAAATCATCGAACTGTGATTAACTCGTTTAATTGCTGCTTGAGCAGCGCACGCGACTTCATCGGTAACGGCAGCGACCTTGTGTTGGGCCTAGAAAATATGCTCCTCCCTCTCCCAACATCCCAATCCTCCCCCTCCCCCTCTGCCTCTGTCCGTATGGCTGTTTGTGCATCATTTAATTTATGGCCAGAACGAATCAACAGCAAACGAATGACTTAGACAACAAACTTGCCATGGCATAATATATCGATGCGCTGCCGACGCTGTAAATCTTGCAGTCAAACGGCTTGCATTTAAATAACATGCAACAACAACAGGAACAGAGAGAACAGAGCTCGCATTAAGACAAAACATTGACAATCGCGTTGTGTGAGGAGGAGCAGCAGCAGGCACAACATAAACTAGCCACAAAAAAAAGAGCAACAAAAACAACAATAATGATCAGTGCGCTTTGACAAGCGACAGTCGCCACAGAGTTGTAGGCACTGCCTAAAAGGACAACAAACGAAATGCCCGTAATAATAAAGAAATTGCGCCCCAAACGTTGTCCAGCCTCTCTCTCTCTCTCTCTCTCGCTCTCTCGTTGTTGTGTGCACATTATGCCAACGGGCTGCCCAGATCCAAGTTTAACTGCATCAACAACAAGAACAACAACAATAGCATCAACAAAGTCCAACTTCTAACTCCAACTCAAGGCCAGTTTGGAGCCAGAGCAGGATGATGATGAAGCTGATGCCACACAAGGCAAATAAACCGCTTGACTTTGCCTCTGTCTCTGGCTCTGACTCTGACTTGGACGTGGTCTGCGGACTCTTGGAGTCTTGGACTCGCGACTGCGCTTTACATTTTTGCCTTATGTGTGTGAAAAATGCCAATTTTAGAGCAACGCCAGCACATGCCTACATATGTGTCTGTGTTTGTATGACTGTGTGTGTGTATGTGAAAAATTGCCCGTCTAGCCAAGCGCAGCAGCCGGAACAACAACTACAGCAATCAAAGCCTTTTGCTAAGCTAATAAAATCGAACTGCGATTGGGGCAAATGCAGCCACAGCAGACTCGTGTCTTCCCCTGCTGCCATGGGCCACATGTTGTGTCCATCGCCTCCCCTCTGAACCCATCTTAACCCATTGTTTGCCACTTATTTTATTTTTTAGTTATTCTCATTTATTTTTGCGTTAAGTTTGGGGCACTAAAAAGTTGAGTAAAGTGCATAAAATAAGTCATAAATTTTCAGAAAACCACTTGACTTGAAAAATTGGTTTTTTACTAGTTTCTTATTGATTACATTTATTATCATATGTAGCTTGAAGACTATAAATATTAAATCAACTATGCTAAGCTCGTCATTTACAATTTTAACACAACTTTAGAATTTATTGCCTTCTGGTTTAATGTGTTGTATTCTGATGTGAAAAAAATATGTTGTGTATTTATCGAGCTGTTCTTTTATTGTTACAATTGAGATTTTAATGTTAATAAGGGATTAACTTGTATTGCCTTTCTTGCTTACAATCCCAGCAAAAATGTAACTACGTTAAAAGATCTACAGAGAAATATATACGAGAAATTATTTTAATTTCTCTTTTATAGTTCCATTTAGCTGTCAATCACAAGAATTATTTTTCGACCAAATCACATGCTCATCAACGGGTTAAGGTCGGCTTCGGGCTCAGCAAAACAAAACAATGCAATGCTTACACTCAGCTCCCTACTGGTTCTCCTCTTGCTCCTATTCCTCTGCCTGGTTTAAGTGCCCGCTGTGAGTTAGCCAGAAATAAAAGCTGGGCAGACGCTGAACTTTGCAGTTTGCCGAGAGAGACTGTGCGGCTTTTGGCAGATTAAAAAACAGCGATAAGGAAACGAGCAAATCGAAAGGCGTCGGCTCGCTTTAAGGGCACGCTGTCTGCCCATGACTGCCTCCGACTGCCCAACTCCCCCCTACCACTACCGTCCCTGCCCCGCTCGCAACCCTACTGTGTGCGCTGAGGCATTTGTCATCAAGTGTTGGCCATGTTTGTGCCGGCATTTTATTGAAATACAATCCGATTGGATGTGTATCGCGACTGCAGCTGCAGCCTGGATGGAGCCCACTGTTCGACAAGGACAACTCACTCACGTGTCGCCTTTAATTAGCCAGCAGCCGCAATGTTACAATCTATGTATTTATAATAAAAATTCAAATCAAGTGCTGTTCGCTTCGAGACGGCCATGTTTTTACCGTTATGCTGACCATTTTGGCAACGGGCCGAAACAGAAAATCTGACATACTGCCTGGCAGGCGGAGCGACGCGGCCAAAATGAAAGCCTAAAAGGCTTTAAACTCCACACAACTCTTGGCCGGGCCGCCGCACAATCAATTCGCGCTCCCAAGGCATTTCAATTGGCCCAGTCGTGTGTGTGTGCGGTGTGTGCGGAGTGTGTCGCGAATTGCGTATCGTGAACCTGGCCAGAAGAGACCAAAACTCTAACTGTATACCACTCGCAACACTCGCA